GTTTGACTATCTACCTAAAGTCAGTCAGTCAGTCAGTCAGATGCAACGTAGAACTTTGTACGTAAGTACATCAGTTCATGTTGCCATACCACATCAGCACAGAGATATAATTGTCAATTCAAATCCAATGGTAGAAAAGGTAGTAAAGGTATTAGAAGTAATCGGAGAGGTTAGGATAGAAATATTATTCAAGAATCCAGAAGATTAGGATTTGAGAGAACACAGAGAATAAATGCACCGGCGCCATTGCGAACGATTTTGAGCCATGTCATTCAAGGTCTCTAACCATCGATTAGTATCATCTCGCGGACCCCAACCAGGTAGTCGACAATTACCGACATGGCTCAGTCCACTCGTCAATGACTTCATGGATTTCTGCCATGTTTTGGTTTGGCCGCTCCTAACTTTCTTCCAACCTATTCCTACACTACAAAACAAAGCTCGATGAGGCAGTCGGTGATTAGGCATACGCAACACTTTTCCCAACCACCTCAACTGATGAAGTTTCACCACTTCATCGATTGATCTGCCATCCTTACCTAGTACTCGTTTCCTAACGACAGCATTGCTTACTCGGTTGTCCCACGGTATACGAGCAATGCTTCTAAGACACCTACGATCGAAAACCAGTAACCGACAAATATCTTCTACTCTCACTGGCCATGTTTCACAGCCATATAGGAGAACGGAGCGAACTGCTGCACAGTACACTCGTCCTTTGGTTAGCAAACGGATATCTCGCCTACGCCATAAGTGACGCAGGTTGGCAAAAGCCAATCGAGCCTTCTGTATCCGTGCTGAGATTTCGTCATTCACCAGGCTATCAGCGCTGATGAGACTCCCAAGATAAGTGAAGCGGTCTACACGTTCGACTACTTCACTCCCTATCACTAGTTCAGGTGCCGATGCAACCCAATCTTGAAGCAACATTTTGCATTTCGAGGGAGAAAACCGCATCCCGAACATGCTTGCATTGTTGCTTAGGGTAGTCAGAAGACTCAGCATTTTGTCAGCATCTTCACCAAGTAGGACAATGTCATCGGCATATTCTAAGTCAATAAGCGAGCCACCTGGTAGAAGGTCTACTCCTGAAAATTCAGACGAGGATAATGTTATGTCTAGGAGCATGTCTATGATAAAATTAAACAAGAATGGAGAAAGTGGACATCCTTGACGGACACCACTTGAAGTAGAGAATTCCGGTGACAGTTCGCCATAAGCCCTCACTCGACCAGTGGTGTTCGAGTAAAGGGCTTGTATAAGGTTAATGTACTTCTTTGGTACACCTTTCAATGACAGACACTGCCACAGAACCTCACGATCCACAGAGTCAAATGCCGCCTTAAGGTCCAGGAAGACAACTATTGTAGGACGCCTAAATGTGTGTCTATGTTCCAGGACCTGTCGTAGTGTGAAGATGTGGTCTATACAACCACGTCCAGGTCGAAAACCAGCCTGGTTTTCTCGAGTCTGCTCTTCACGAGCTTTCGTTAAGCGTCGAAGTATTATTGAGGCCAATATTTTAGATACTATATTAGTTAGACTTATTCCCCTGTGATTGTCACAAGAAGACTTCTGTCCTTTCTTATAGATTGGGACAATCAGTGATTGAGACCAGTCGGATGGGATCACGTCCAGTTCCCAGATTCTACCTAAGATCTCAGTCAGCCTAGTTGATAAAACTGGACCACCATCCTTAAATATCTCAGGGGTCAGTCTATCAGGACCTGCAGCTCGACCTCGCTTCAGATTTCCTAACGCTTTTTCAACTTCATTAAGACTAGGGGGACTTAGGTCGATTTGCCATTCAGGATGACTGGAGATCGTGGGTAACCGAAGAGTGGCTCGTGGCCAGTTGAACTGATCCCTAAAGTGTTCTGCCCATCGATCCAGTCTCCTGGATTGAGAATAAATAATCGTACCGTCATTTTCTGAGATAGTCTCACTCACATTCGGGTTCCTAATACCAGTTTATTTCATAAGGCGGAAAAGTTGTCTAGTGTTGCTTATCGCCGCTGCCTTTTCCATCGCTTTTACTTTCGCCACCCACCACTGTTCGCGGTCGTGGGACAACCGAGTAAGCGATACAGTCGTTAGGAAACGAGTACTAGGTAAGGATGGCAGATCAATAGATGAAGTGGTGAAACTTCATCAGTTGAGGTGGTTAGAACATGTGTTACGTATGGCTAACCACCGACTGCTGCGACGAGACTTGTTTTGTGGTGTAGGAGTAGGTTGGAAGAAAGCTAGAGGTGGCAGAAATCTATGAGGTCACTGACAACTGGACTAAGTCATGTCGGTAGGTGTAGACTGCTACCTGGTTGGGGTCCGCGAGACGACAGTAGCCGATGGTTAGAGAACTTGAACGACATGGCTCAAAATCGTTTGTGATGGCACAGGTGCATCCATTGTTTGAGCTCTCCCAAATCCTAATCTGCTGGATTCGTCAGTACCTCTACCTTTGTCTTTCTAACCTTATTTCACTGAATTATACTTCTTGAATAATATCTTCGAACCCTAGTCTTCTTCTTTACCATTAATACCTCTAATATCTCTATCACTATGGGATTTCATTTGACAGCTGCGTCCTTGTGCTAATGTGGTATGGCAACATGAACTTATGTACATACGTACATAGTTCTACGTCGCAACTGACTGACTAACATTAAGATTACTAAGGTCAAAGATCTGAAAGTGAATAATATTTCCAATTTAGTTCCATGAATTATGTATACCGTTGTAATTGTATTACATTTTTATTTAGGCTAGAAATATATCGATTTCATGCATACTCTGGTTATTCAAGATGACCGTAATTTCATGATGATTCGTTTTTTTTTATACATATTTGGAATCATGAATTGATCAGTCAGTCAGTCAGTCAGTTGCAACGTAGAACTTCGTACGTATGTACATAAGTTCATGTTGCCATACCACATTATTAGCACAGAGACGCAAATGTCAAATCAAATCCCATAGTGATAAAGATGGTAGAGGTATTAATGTTATAATAAAGAAGACTAGGGTTTAAGATATCATTCAAAAAATATAATTCAGTGAGATAAGGTTAGAAAGACAAAGGTAGATGTGCTGACGATTCCAGAAATACGATGAACTACTGTACAGCATATTGAACTTTATCTACCTAAAGTTCAATATGTTGTACTGTAGTTCTTCGTATTTTAATTTTCAGACGTGAATTTTAACCATTAAAAATTAGAGACATGTCACTTTTAAGCATTCGATGAAAAATACGACTACACTGTTTCTTCTAATTATGTAAACTATCGGATAAGTTATAACAGTATTCTAGGTAAAAGAAAAGTAATTCAGTCAATCTGGATCGTTTATAGTATTAGCCTGATTGAAGTGTAAAAGTTTCAGTCTATACACTGTTGTGCTGTCTTGTAAACCGGTATTTTTTTTCCTGTCTAGTAACAATATTTCATACTTTTAAAATAGAACTTTGTGTCCGTGTGTTTGTGAATAAAAGGATTCGTTTGTCGTGCCTTAGCGCCTTAGATATAAGTCACTTATTCGCAGTTTTTCCACAATCACTTTTTTATAGTGGTATTATTTGGCCTTCTTTGTTAACTCATGTCTAGTTTTCAGTCGTCGACAATCAGTTTATTTATTTCAAAAATTTGATTCTTTATCACTGCCATCTTACTACTTCCAGAAATCTAAAACGTTCGATTTCATTATTATTCTCCATATTAATTTCGTGTTCAGTGTTCATTTAACATTTCTGGTTTTTCACAATGTTCTAACTTTTTCATGATATCAAATGTCAGTTACTTTTAATTTTATTCTGTTCAAATTATTGTTATTTTTTAACCGTTGATAGTCAAATTGTTTCGATTATAATATTTATAACTTTGCTAATATTGTTAACACATACATTGTTAACTTTGCTCTTTTTCCAAGTCAGTTTAATTTGTCTCAATATTTAAGTAAATATTCATATACAGTTATCTTTAAGTCACATATTTTATTCAATCTGAAAGAAACTACTTAAATATTTAAATCCTAATTGTTGAATTGACCAATTACCAAACCAGAATATGGTAAGAGAAGTTTTTATCTCTTTTCTAAATGATTTATCACATCAAGTAAATAATAAGCGATATTGGTTTACATCATGACAAATTCTTTGAATTGTTTTATTAGACAATCTTATTATTATTGTTTAATAATTTTAACCAAATATAATATATTCACATGAGGAATTCTAATCTGAATTCCTCATGACTATTTTCCTTGTCTCAAATTTATTTCACTAGAATATATTCTCTGAATAACATCTTTAAACCCTAGTCTTTCCGTTTACTGTTCACACTTCTACTACCTCTACCATTATGGGATTCGAATTGACAATTTCATCTCTGTGCTATCGTGGTAAGGCAACTTGAACTGATGTACATACGTACGAAGTTCTACGTTGTTTCGAAGCAACACTTAGCGACAACAGAAGAAGTTCTAAGTTGTTGTTGATTTACTGACTGATAATCACATATATTACTCAGTAATATCTTAAAACGTTAATTTCGATATCATTTTTATTTACCATGTAAATACTACAGTATTCACGATATATATATATATATATATATATATATATATATATATATATATATATATATACTCCATTTAATATTTTTCTTTATTCCAATAAAAGTCTAGAAATTTGATAAAGTAGAAAATGTAAAATCGACAAAATATTTCCTATAATTTATCTGATTTCATTTAACCATTTAACAAGTTCCATAAAGCTTGTGAATCCGAATTATCAAAGCAAATCCCAAGTTTACTTAATAAGTCAATCATTATCCGTATATATCATGTTTACTAGTGAAATCATTTATTTTTTCATCCTTCATCATTCTACCTTTAATTTTCGCCTTCATTTTGTTTTTCTCGTAAGACTACTTTGCTTTTCTTACCCCACATACACATACCTATTTGTTCATTATTTATATTTATTTTGTAAATCTCTATAGGAAGCAGCAAGCTACAATCCAAATCATGTAACACCACAACAATATTTCTCGCCTAATATCAGTACACAAATTCATTTAGATGATATTGGTCGACCGAAAGTGATGACAACAAAAGTGAAAACATTTAAGGCACGTTTATGGATATGTCGTGATTATCCTTTATCATTGAAAGATCAAATTATACCAATTATTGATTTAATGTCTGAATATAATCCATACTTTCATAAATTAAAAGAATTTCTTACTAAACAATTACCTAATGGATTTCCATTGAAAGTTGGTAAGTTATTTGAAGCTTAACGAACAATGTTTCCTTGAATGATTATTATTATTATTTTTATTGTTACCACTTTATATCATTGTTTTTACTATTCATTTATGTATAAATAATTATCAATCAATGTATGTGAATATATTCGTCGTTTTCATTTAAACAAATCATTATGTATGTTTTCGGGAAAATGTTTGTTTGTATGTAGGTGAAAGTATCTGTGTGAACATTCGTTTAGTATTTGAACGAAAATTTGAAGTTCAGAGACATATATAGTTGAATTTGTATGTTGCATTATATAAAAAGTTCCTCTGAGACGTTTTTAATGTGCATGAATGCTTTTTGCTGGTGCTGTGTTCTTTTTAGCGATGTAATTGTTACTGTAAATGTCCTGTATTAATAAAAACTATGTAATATCTAATAGTTCGAGATCGATGAAGGTTAATTTATGGATTTTTTTTATTGATATCAAAACAATATATTTTATGATGGCCATGTTTTAATCTGATATTGTTTGTGACTTATACGAAGAGCAATAAAGGATGATTGTAACCTCTTCTATGATCAAACTGAAATGGTATTTACACTACTTTTTCTTTAGTTAATCATCTAAGAAGATTGTAAATATTTTTATCCTAATAGGTGATAGCATTTTCTAGTTGTCTCATGTTTTATAAAATCTTAGTTCTGAATTATGGTTGGCCTTTACTTCATACTTAGTGTAGAGGCTACTGTGAAGACATCAATGGTACAAAGGATCACTAACCCTCTTCACCCATACGTCGACTTATTAATACACTAAACATCAATACATTCTTTGCTATAAATTTTTATTTGAGCGTTGAACGTTTTCCTTCTGTTGACTGAGTCATAAGTTTCAATTGGAATTTACTCCCTTCACATCCGCTTGTACAAATGTTTTTTGGAGTTATCTGTTGACAAATGAGGTCATGTACCATCTGTTTGATTGTTTGTTTCGACTTTTTTTTACTAATTTAAGGTCAAACTCAACGGGATATAGCCATCGTTGTGCTTGTATTTAATCTAATCACTTGTATCATTTTGATTCCATCATTCTTAGTCCTGTTTCCTATCTTCACTAACAGCACGACGTTTATATATCAAACAAAAATTTTCAAATTATAATATTCATTCATAACTTTAGTTACATTTTTTTAACATGTTACAGTTTGCCAAAAAAATTTCTATTGTCTACCCCTTTATTCGCAATTTTTTAGTTGCTTAGACTATGATTAGTTTTTGCAGGGAGATTCGAAGTTTTCTTGTCAAAAGCGTATAGGTTGGGCATTTATGAGAACCATAAATAGCCTTGGATACCAGTAATGATTCATGAATAATTTTTGACTAGTGATATTGTAAATTAAAACTATCTTGGAATTATTTGCTTTTATTGGAGATATTTGAGAAGAGTTCTAACGAAAACGAATAACTCTGAAGTGTGACATTTTAATATTCGTAAAACTATTTATATGTACCAGCATTAAATGGATTGTGTCATACAATTTAGAAATTGAAAACTATCTTCATCACTTAGTGTATTAACTTTGCATACATTTATTACATTAATGAATCGTATACTAAAGGATTTTAAGGTATATATTGTCCTTTTGACGAGATCGAAATGATAATGATAATACTAATAACAAATTTCACTTATTCGGACTATCAATTACCTGGATTACTGAACGATTCATTACATTTTATCTATTACACAACAACCTCAATAGGTGAAAACTCTTTAAAACAGGTCCTGTTATTGATGTTTACTGGTGTAACTACTAATATTTGGTTGTTCTAATCTTGGTTTTTTAGGGCGTCCTTCGAACTTGCGTCCTAAGTTCTGATATTAATGAGCCCTACAACTCCACCAAACGTAAACGTTTGAAACTTATCTGTACCTAGATATTGAAAATTAATTCATCGTCAGTGTTTTCTTTTCTTACCGAACATTCTGTTATCTACTTTTTCCTTTTCACTCTCATATATTAATCCAGCACATTCCTAAGGAAGTATTTCCTTGTATTTTTCTACAAAGTTTATTTTCCTTACTTTTGGTTATTGAGCAGTTTACTAATTTAAGACGCTTTTTTTGTATATTATTATAATGCATTGGAATCGATATCATCTCTTCTGTAGAAATCACTGCATATCTTATTTCCTTTTTCTTTTTATTTTTATGCCCTAAAACCCATAATTCATATTTCATTCATTATATTGTTATTATTCCTGTTGTTATTTGCATAAATTGGATTCATGCCAGTTAAGAAACATCTAGGAGATTGAATTTTCTCTCTCTCTCTCTCTGCTGTTGCGATCGATATAAAGGCTAAAAATATATTTGTTATGGTTGTTTTTTTTTATACCATACGCTGTTAAAGATAGATACTAGTCTTATATTTATGGTTGTTTGACGTAAAAACAGAAAAACAACATCAGCAGACGGCTGACCACCACCATAATCAACAACAAACACATTAAGATTATTTAACCGATAGGAATGATTTGTTTTGATTATATATGTATATTAAACCACTTAGCTGTCTTCATGAAATATTTTTATTCGAATTTCTCGTCATTTCTTTCTCAATGCTTGTTTTTTTTCATTTATTCTTAAGAATTGGCACTAACATGACTAATTATCATTGAAAGGAGATAGACTGCTGTTTCATAAGTGAATTTACTTATTTACAGAGTTTAACCAAACAATTTGTCGATTCGTCTACTTGAACTATGCATCGCATACACATAATTCTAGATAGTCAAATCATTTCAATGTGATTTATATTTTTGTCCATTTCTTATTGATTGTTAAAAGAAAACATAATTTAACTATACGCCTATCAGTCAGACATAGTATTTAATAGAAACATTGAAATTTATTTCTAATTGGTATCCACACTAATGTTCAAATAACTGAAGATCAGAGTAAGACTCTGAAGTGTATTGATTTAGTTTTTAATATGATTCATATTCCTATACTCATCTAATTGTAACGACTTCGTGCAAGACTATTCATTGTTATCACTTGAACTCAGTGCTGAATGCTACTGCCAGTACGAACGATTTTATGGTTATGGAATAACTGTTATGTGCTACTTAGTGAAACGGAACGAGACTGCTATGTTGATCCAAGGAAGGAAATAAGACTGTAGAAGAAGACTAACTTATTCACCTACTCTAATCAAATGGCGTCCGCAACAATAATTTAATGTGCGAGCACCGCCTGAAATCCTTCTAGGGTTACTGCCATTCCCAAGTTCTGATAAGGGAAGGTGAGAACTTCTATCCCATAGAAAACAAACTCTCTCAAAAAACACTAACCATTTAAACTCGTTTAAACTATGTGAACTCTGTCCTGTGAGTTGAACGGTTTTGATTTAGAAGATTTATGACACCTCATGGTGAAAGCCGAAATTCCTCAGAAGTCACGAGGTCAATACCCCCTTCTGAAAATCAGACAAACAATTAATATATGAACATGGAATGTTTGCAAAATGTGGGAGATAGATGGAACCACCCAAGCTCCTAAGGAAATGAAAGGCGACAACCTGGAGGTACCTGAAATAAGTGAAACCCATCGCACGCAGGCTGAACAAAAAAGTTTGCTTCAGGAGAGATAATGTTTTACTCTGGCCATGAGGATTAAAATGCCTCACACAGACAAGGAGTTGAACTGATGCTTTCTAAAGCACAGAAAACATTGATAGGACATAAATCTTATAGACCGAAAATCATCAAAGTCTACTTCAAGACAAAGAAGGAGGGTATTACAATGAAAGTAATTCAGTTCTGTGTGTCCTCTTGAATTCCTATTCAGCTTGGTCTAAAAGCGTTTTCTCCATCATGCTGTAAATCTTGTCAATATGGGACATAATTTTCTACATTCATCTCTGTATTCGACTTTATTGCGTTGCTAACAACAGTGTTTCTTGAAACGATAAGATTTTGCAAAATTGCGCTATTCATTTTAGTACCAAAGAGCTGATGAACGTATTTCTTTGCTACCAGATTGTGAGGGGTAGTTTGATGATGTTGTTGACGTTGCCAGCGCATGTATTGCATTAGATTGTTCCTATCGCCGATCTCTGTTTGTATATGTGTATGAATATCTTACATCCCTCAGGGATGTTGCTCAATTTTACTGTGAAAATATTTACGGAATTCTACAACTTTTAGAGAGCATGGACCTTAGACGAAAATGAAATATTTGAAGTCATCATCTGCGGTAGACCATAACTTGAAGCATTCACGTTCTCTATCAATAATGTTTGTATCAGTGACAGAGTCATCAGATTTTCATTTAGTAAGCTTTATGCACTGATATCGCGTATGGAAAAGCGAAGAGTGATCTTCAAAACTCACAGATGATTTCTCACTGTGTCTTCAAAGTTGAGATCGTGTAGTTGGTATGGCAGTCTAAAATATAAGTACTTTTCGTGCTATTTGATGCCATGCATACCTTCCATCGGCAATTTAGCTTTTGCTCTTATTTTCTGTACAGTTTTTAATCAAGGGTGTAACGACATGGCTGTGAACTCGTATCCGGACAGACAAATCAAGTAACTCATTTTCCGAAAACTCATATCTAACAACCTAATATTTACGTCTTCATCACCGCGAACTGGAGTACTTTTTGTTTGGCTAAAGATATTTTATGAAGTCAATAAATAAAATAATTCGATTGATTTTCGAATTTTATGTTCAAAAGCTGTGGTATCACCAGTTTATATGGAGGGAATATATAATATTCTCTTACTTAACTCTTATCAAATTCAAACTAAGATCTCAGTAGCTTTCAAAATCATGAAATTTCCACATCACATATGAACTACCAAAATATATTGTGTGTTATTTTATTTCATAAAAATTACAAATATAATGGAAATTTTCGTAATTAAAGAATAAAAGTTTCTGTTTGTAAATCAGGTGATTATTGATTCGATTTCTTTGTTTACCTGTGTAAAGTGAAGGTGATTAATATGCATTTGTTTGCGTTTGTTATAACTCACGTGTTATTTTTATCGGTGGAAAATATAACACTGGCGATTGTTTTGTATAATAGGAAACCTCTAAATTACAAAATCTAAAGAAAACAAGCGTCTTTTTTCAAATCAACTTTTCACTTTTATCTTCCATTGTGATTAAAGTTTTCTAAATTGTGCTAATAGATGTTTTTTCATGCTGATAAAAATTTCACTTACTAGTTGCATGATTATATATATAGACCACCGATCGTATAATTTCTTACTCGTATAGGATTTAAGCCAAGTACGTGAATTCATCAGTTGGCAGGCTTCTGATTACCCCACTTTTTTGTGCCACATTTCAAGTTATTTGTTACTGTACGTCTACATTCTTAAACAATCAAATAACTGACAAATTCTTGTTTCTATCTGTTTAACTGTCTAATTATATGAAAGCAAAGCTATGAAAACCGTTTAAGCTTTTCTGAGTAATGTTCGTCCTTGCCTGATCAAATCATATTGCTTGTTCCGGATGTTTTCTACTACTATTTATGTTGTTACTATTTCTACTATTCTAGTATCTTTTTGAGAAATTCATCCTGATGTGCTTAGCATAGTGCAGTAATTTGAGCCGATCATATATTCTGCTGTGTTTGTGACTGACTACTCTGAATAGAGTCACCTATGCATGTCATTTGTTATTTCAAATTGTTGAGTATTCAAGCACTCACCATTCCATAACATTGTTATTTCGATCAACTATTTCTTGCTTATTGGCTAGTAAACACCTATTTTCGCTTTGAAACCCACATAACAATGAATTTCAGATGTAAAGGTGTATTTCAATAACGTTCACTTTTTAATGCAACAAAATGTTTGTTTTGACCACAGAATTGATATTTGTCTACTGGTTGACTGCTTCACTCTGTAGCTTAAATAGTTGAGCTACCTATTCCCTAACATCGAAATATTTCAACAAGTTACCTCTTTCTGTTTGTTACCATGTCAATTATGTATATTAATGGCATAATTTATTCATATGCATACACACTAAGTTTACGAGCTACTCACTTTACCAGATACAATTCGAGACATCATGATAACTGGCGATCTGCTGAAAGAAGGATAAACGTTGATAAAATGTCATTTCCTGACCAGCTTACTTCCAACTCCCAATCACGAAATGTTTCGTAAAGGAAACTTGTGGAATTATTACGTGCGGAGAAATCCATATTACACTAAACATTTAATATTGAATAAAGTTATTAGTATTATTATTACTTCATAACTTTTTATTTTTGTCAGTATTGGTCAAAATTAAATTGTTAAATTTGAAAGAATTACTATCTGAAAACTATGTATCAGTGAATAAATTAATTTGAATACATTTTCCACCCAATATTTTGAGTCGTCGGAGCTTATCGATTGTCAATTTTATTGTAGATTTTATTTAATTTAAAAAGTTTGAGTATATTTCTTAAGTATGAGATGTAATGATAAACATTTATCATTGCATTGATTCGCATTTTTATATCGTTCACTTCTTATTTTTTATATAACTCATTTAACTTTTTATGCGCAGCATTTACATTGGTTTCAAACAATTTTAATATTTGTAGAAATTCCGCTTTATCATGTCTTAAATGCATGCGTCTCATTTGGCAATTTACATGGTCAAGATAACAGTGTATATGGTGTTTCTACTGTACCTATTGGTAATAAAGATACTGGTCAGCATCATGCATCAGATTCAGCAGATAAGAAAATAAATAGTTCCACAACTAGTAATCAAACTGATCAACCATTACTTGAATCTTCAACTGAATCCAGTTCATCATCACAGGCAGTTAAGTGTGTAATAGATGAAAGTGTATTCGACGTGGGCAAAGGATATCATTTAATAGGTAAATTTTAAAAAATTTGTACTTAGTAGTTTCTTTTTTATCGTCTGTGTGATGATTGACTTCTTTTAAACTGTATACATTATGACAAAATATAAATATATGAGTTATGTGTAGATTTGCTTTCATGTATAGTGTTATCTGTGGATGAATAGTATGTAGCCGTATGTAGCAAACCGTTGTTTTTATGTTAAAAGCTTACGAGTCAAGTTATCAAGAAATTTTTTTTTGTAATTTATGCACTTTTAAAGTAGACTTTTTACTGTCAGCTTTCTATTCCAATTTACATCACTATTTTCCTTCCTCGGATTATCTTGTTATCATTGTTGTTATACTGGGGTATGCAGCATAGTAATCTGAACTGATACAATGGGAAACAACACAAACCTGGTGATAAACTTATTTTGACTATAAAATTCTCCTCATTAAATCTGTACTTACTAAACATATAAAAATAATTTTTATTTTTTAAAGTTGAAAATTCACCTGGACACTATGGAGCTTTGTATGATGAAGAACAAATGGTTCAAATGGCTGTTCAACGAAGTTTGGTAGAGTATGGATCATCTGAGAATTTGATACAAAGAGATTATTCATTGGTAAGTTGTTTGTGAATGATTTCTCATCTTGAAAAAATTGATTGTCAGTATAGGCTTTTTTTGAAGTTGACTGCAGTCTAATTAATCGAGAATACATTGTCTAAAACAACATAAATCATCTTTTCAAAATATTTCATAGTTATAAAGTAAATTCTTCTGATAGTCATAGGAAATATATTGAATTCGAACTGTTCTAAAAAATATACTTTATCTCCCAATGTTATTAAATTATAACTGGTTGAAGATAGATATCATTTCATTTTTAGCTTTTGGTATATCAATATTGTTCGATCATACAGTTAATCGAAACTAACCAACGTATTTAAATAAAGGTTATTTAGTGCTCGTATTCAATGTGTTGTTAGACATTGATTACTCACCATTTGCTTTATCACACACTAACTTCCTGACTCGGCTCCATTTTACTGCGTTCCATTATGAGATGATACTTTCATTTTATGGTTGATCGGTGTTAGTAGTCCTTTTTCAACAAAACTTGTTCAGTTTAAAAAAGATAGGATCATCCTGTTGATGATATTTTGACTGAAATTTGGTTGACATATGCGCGGATTTCGTCACCAAAGCTATTGTGACCCAAGTTAGCATGTAGGAGATTGAATGTAGATAGCGGTGGAATTCAGGACTTACTTTTTTTCTATTTGAGACTTGTCAACTAGATGTAACTGCATGTACCCGAATCGGGATTCATACTCGTTACATAAGTGAGTAGTTATTTGAACTCTGTGGAACTCTAAGTGGGTAACGCGATGGCATTTGAAGCGAACAGTACTGATTTTGAGTTCCCAAGTAAACATCAACTCTATAATACAGGTAGATCAAGCTGACTAGTCCTACATTAAACGAAATGCATGTGCTGGATTTCATTGTGATATGTTCGGCACTTAGTAGTATGCTTGATGCTATTACGAGTTTACCTTAGTCGATAAACGCGAACGATACTTTTACCAGCTTCCAGGAAGGCTACCTTGAATCCAAACGGTAAAACAGAAGTCTTGGTAAGCGTAGAAAGTATATTCTACAAGCACCCAGCAATCCAGTACAATCAAGCATACAACTCTCGTTTATTTATACAACATAACAACGTCCTTGAGACAGTTAAGAAAATAGCATACTAAAATACACAGCAGCCAATCACAGCCATGGATTTTCCTGGTGGGAATTGAAATCTCAAGGTCATTTGATCAGCCCCTGCTGGCGAACGTGAAAAACCGAAATACGGCATTATCAAGCGAATTTTGGGGATCTAACATCCCCAACACTCCTCCCCTTTTTAATAGCGTGTTCTCCTGTGGTTGACTTGCATCTTGACTATTGTTCGCCGCTGTCTGAGGGGATACCTTCGGGAACGAAGAACAGCTTGCTGCTGAGTTTCTTCTCGTGGCGGGGCTCTCGGTAGGTTGAAGGTATCAAGCAAGATGTCAAGGGGAAGGCTTTCTGCTCTTGATGGGCGATCTGGGGCTAGCCGTCTGCGTATCTGATTGCGATGACGTGACCATTTATCACCTCCTACCTCTACTTCGTACATAACTCGACCAACCCTTCTGACCACTCTCGCTTCTACCCAAGGACCATGGTTCGTTCTGTAGTCGCGGGCAAACACAGGGCATCCTACTTCGTAAGCGGATTGTCTTTGCTGCTTTGTCTCTACTGATGAGGGTGCATTGGTCGGATGCATCAGGCTGTGAATCGTTTTCAATCTTCTTCCCATCAGGATTTCAGCTGGGGACTTTTGCTCCGGTAACAATTCATTTGGTGTTGTCCGATAGACGTACAAGAAATTTTGTAACGTTTCGGCTGGCGTCCCCTCCCCTTTTGACTTGAGCAGTGCTCTTTTAAACGTATCCACAAACCTTTCCGCCTGCCCATTCGATTGCGGGTGGTATGGTGGCGAGCGTAAGTGTTTAATAGCTAGCCGTTGACAGAAATTCTGGAATTGGGAAGAGGTGAATTGAGAGCCATTGTCGGATACGATCACATCTGGTATGCCATTCCGTGAGAAAATTTCAGTTAGGAGCTGTATAGTCTTAGTTGTAGTGGGCGGCGTAACGGGGCTGATTTCCGGCCATTTAGAAAAGGCGTCGACGACAATTAAATACATAGTTCCATTTATTGGGCCCGCGAAGTCGACATGTATCCTGGACCAAGGATGCTCAGGTTTGGGCCATGAAACCGGCGGAATTTTGGCATTCATCTTTGCCGCCTGTTGACACCGCATGCATTTTTCAACCAACGCTGTGACATGTTGATCCATGTGAGGCCAGTATGCATAACTTCTGGCTATGGACTTCATTCGTTTAATCCCAGGATGACCAAGATGGAACTGTTTCAGAACTTTTGCACGAAGGGATGCTGGCACCACTACTCTTTCACCAAACATCAGACAATCGTTGACGATGCATAGTGACTCCCGCCGCTGATACAGTTGCTTCATGTCACCTTCAAACTTTTTCGACGGCCAACCTTTAGTGACATATTTCATCGTCGTCTTGATGATGGGGTCGTTTCTAGAAGCATTTTGTATGTCTGTTGCAGACACCGGTAATGCGCGAACTGCGGTTGTCAGATAACATTCTGCGTGGTCTTCTACTGACAGAGATGCGATCACCATGTTTTCCTCAGCCGCCACTTGATCATTAATGAGTCGTGACAAAGCGTCTGCTTGACCGAATTGTAGAGTACGTCGATATTGGATTTCGAAATCATACCCCAAAAGTACCAAGGCCCATCGCTGAAGACGATTTGCAGAATGGGCTGGAATGCCGGACTTTGAACCAAATATTGCTAACAGAGGCTTGTGATCTGTGAGGAGCGTGAATCTCCGACCGTACAGAAACTTATGGAAACGGCGAACAGCAAACACAAGGGCAAGAGCTTCTTTCTCTATCTGGCTATACTTCTTTTCTGCTGGGGTCAGTGTACGGGATGCATGCATAACGGCTTTTTCCGACGCGTCTGGAAATTGATGTGAAATAACAGCACCTAGGCCATATGCTGAAGCGTCTGCTGCTACGATGATCGGCATGGATGGATCGTAGTGTGTTAATAACAATTCCGAGCTAATTATAGACTTGAGTTTACCAAAAGCCGCGTCACACTCTTTATTCCAGTTCCATGTGCTATGCTTCTGCAGTAGACAATTCAATGGAGCGCGAATATCATGCATCGAGGGAACAAAAGCTGAATAATAACTGATCAAACCGAGAAAAGATCGTAATTCGGAAACATTAGTGGGAGTAGGCATCAGTTTGATAGCTCGGATGTTTTCAGGATCCGGTCTGCGACCGTCGGCATCAAAGATAAATCCCAAATACTTTACCGACTGCAATAGAAACTGGCATTTTTCTGGGCGTAACCGGAAACCATTGTCACTGATGCGTTGTAGTACCAATGTCGTGCGTTCCCGTAGCTGTTCTAACGTCTTCGCAACAATCAAGATATCATCGAGATAAGCTGCAACCCCTGGGATATCTGACAGGATTGTATCCATTAGTTGTTGGAAGATAGACGGCGCAGTCTTAACTCCAAAAGGTAGACGGTTATACTGAAACAAACCGCGATGAGTGTTGATAGTAAGCAGCTCTTTAGATGCTTCATCGACTTCCACTTGCAAATAAGCATCAGCTAGGTCAAGCTTTGCGAAGAACTTTCCCCCATTCAGCATAGTGAACAGATCTGCCGGGACTGGCAGAGGATAATGATGCTGTTCTAGAGCTGCGTTGAGACCTGTAGAGAAGTCAGCACATATACGTATCGTGCCGTTGGCCTTCTTGATAACGACTATAGGTGCTGCCCAACTGGAGTAAGAAACGGGAGTAATAACTCCTTGTCGTTGAAGGCGATCCAGCTCTTCATCTACTGTTGCTAATGTAGCATACGGTACAGGTCTCTTTGGACGAAAAGCAGGCTTAGCCCCATGTTTCAACCGAAGTGTTGCTTTCATAGCAGTGCACCGACCTAATCCAGGTTCAAAAATGGTTGAAAACTCTGTCATCAGCTTCTTCGTATACGCTTCTGGGTCATGTCGTTGTGATACCAGGTTGCATATGGTATTTAGCGGGACATCAGCCAATTTTAGCTGGTCGAACCAATCTAAACCAAGTAAATTTAGATCAGCTGGCGTTATATAGCATACCCCAGTAAACGACGAATCTCGGAAAGCAACTTTACATTCCAATTGTCCTAACAGACGAAGATAATTACCACACGCTGTGCGAGGCTTTTGTGTTGTGTGCTGCAGGCTTGGGCTGCCCAACTTGGTCCAATTTTTGCGTGAGAGGATAGTGACATCAGATGCAGTATCTATTTGCATTCTACACAAATAACCGTTAATATTAAGAGTAATAAATTTCCTCTCACCTGGTGATGAACTTTGGCAGGAAGATATTAGGCTCAATGCATTGGTACTGGATCTAGGAACAGGCTTCTTAGCACTTCTGGATCGCTTTGGCTTTTTCTGTAGGCAAAAGCCATCTTTATGACCGATGACTTTACACTTCCTGCATCTATGCTGCCTAAATGGGCAGTTCCGTACATAGTGCCATGAACCGCAGTGCCAGCAAGCAGAAGGTGGATTCATTTTGGGTTTTTGGGCCGAATTGGAATTTTTCTTTTCACTAATGGAATGCACGTATGATGAGAGGCCCTTGTTTTCGACCATGGAGGTATCATGCTTCAAGTTTACTAATCTCTGGCACTCTGCAGTTATTTCTTGAAGCGAGATGTTTGGGCACTGTTCAATTTTACTTAGGATTCTGGTTCTTATATCAGCATCGTCGGGAGATTGTAAGCTGCACATAAACACAAGGCACTTAAACTGATCTTCCGTCATTGATGATAATTTAAATCGTTCGCATTCACGATTTACTAAGCCAGCATGCTTTACCCAGTCATCTTCATTTGACTTGATTATTTTGAGGCATTGATAACGAATATTAAAGAGAGATGACTGTTCAGAGAAGATTTGCGACAGCGTATCAATTGTAGCATCAAAAGAGAAATCTCGTGGGTTCTTTGGGAGGATGAAATTACTGTAACGTTCGTGTTCGATTGTGCCGAGCTTTCTCAAAAGGATTCTGACTTTGGTGGCGTCATCAAGATTGTTGAGGTCGACCTTGAACAAATCCTCATACTTCTTAAACCAAGACTCGAAAGTCACACCAGCAAGGCCGTCAAAATGAAATTCATGAATGGAATTAACTATCGAGTCTGTATGCGGATTATATGAATCATCGGCAAAACCTCTGTGATTCAAATTCATTTGTTTCATTAACAGCTCCAACATACGTTCCTGGAACTGTTCATATCGTTTACCTTGACGTTCCAGTAAAGATTCTAACTGTTCAAGATTAATTGACATTGTGAATTGTGAGCCCCGTCGCCACTGATATGTTCGGCACTTAGTAGTATGCTTGATGCTATTACGAGTTTACCTTAGTCGATAAACGCGAACGATACTTTTACCAGCTTCCAGGAAGGCTACCTTGAATCCAAACGGTAAAACAGAAGTCTTGGTAAGCGTAGAAAGTATATTCTACAAGCACCCAGCAATCCAGTACAATCAAGCATACAACTCTCGTTTATTTATACAACATAACAACGTCCTTGAGACAGTTAAGAAAATAGCATACTAAAATACACAGCAGCCAATCACAGCCATGGATTTTCCTGGTGGGAATTGAAATCTCAAGGTCATTTGATCAGCCCCTGCTGGCGAACGTAAAAACCGAAATACGGCATTATCAAGCGAATTTTGGGGATCTAACATCCCCAACACATTGCTAGCCACATTCCATATATTCAATAAAGACCTCATACTTCAACCAAGTATCCAAACGCCATCAGAATAAGATGATCTTACTAATAAATTTTATGGGAAAAAATTTTATGCATACGACTTCCTTCGGACATTAGTTTCATTTACTATTGAAAACAGTCTGTTTTGTGAGATTTTATTGTAATAAGATAGTATTTTCTCAAATAAAACTTTATAGATATGACCACTAATTTTGTTTCTTTTTCCGATTCTCCGTCATCAAGTCTAAACGTGGAATAATCGAAGCAAGAGCTGATGAGTACGTTGAACCCGAAGAAGCTTGGCTGCAACAGTGAGTATTCATAATTTTGTTACTTTTTATATCTACATCATGTATCGCTTTTTAATGAAGTATTTATAAAATATGAGTTTATTTAAAACGCTGAACAGAAAAAAGATTGAATACATCCAGGTCATCGTGACTAGTGGTGATGTACTTCTCTATACACAACTATGGTAAGTACCAGGTCTTCATTCGATCACTAAGAGACCATTATAGTTTCATATTATGTTCACGCAGTCGCATTATAAATGTTCACCCTAAAGTTCTGTGCTTCGTACTAGGTACTTCGATCAGTACAAAACTAGAGTGCAGTCTCGTCAAAGCAAACTGATGATATTTAATATTCTAACAGGCGAACAAACAGAAGTTTACACAATCAGCCTAGAATTGTTCAAATCATTGAAAGCTGCCAGTTTAGGTCGGTTAAATGATTTTTCTCAACAATTATAGAACAGTTCACAAATACAATGAAAGAATATTCACTTAATACGATGATGTAAAAATGATTGTTGATTCATCAAGTGACTTTTTCTATCTGAGAATATCTACAAATTAATCAATAAGCTCTGGTTGAATTGATGTAAACAAATCACGTTCAACATTGAAATTATTCAGTTCAGTGTTTACGGAAATAGTATTTAATTTAAAGTTAGTAGATTACATCGAAAATAAATGAGTAATTATGGTTAGCCATTTATTAAAGCTTTTTGTCTTCAAAACGAAAGCAAACTTATTTACTTTAATTCACAGCTTTGCTCAGTGGATTTTTTTCTTTCACTCTCTATTTTCGTTCTGAACTTTTATTGATCGGCATTAAGGTAACGCCCAGAAAAATGCACTGTCTATAAATATAGGTATTTCACGAATCCTAGAATTTCAGAATAATTCAGTCATGATTTCAGATAAACAAAAAATATTTTTTGCCTAACTTCTACATCAAAATTAATTTCTAGTGCTACTTATTAGTGTTTGGCCATTTGCGTAACTTTCTAATTGTTAAAGCTTCCCTTTCTTTCCCTCAGACGAATGCTTTTTGATGATAGTAGTAGTAACATCTCTAACACCAGACCATATTGTGCTCTCTGAGCTACTACTATAGTCTGTCTGTTAAGTGCTTAGTATACAACTTGTTTATAAGAGCATTACATCTCTGGTCTTCAAACTATGGTTTCGGTAGGTATCGTGTGAATAATTTACAATGGTAGTTTCATCATTTAGTCACTATGAACCTAAATCAAAAATGGAAAGTGGTTCTCAAATTATAATATGACACCTTTTCATGAAATTGAGTTTAACAAGACTGATAACTGTTGATCTACTACAGCTTACTGCTTGAAATCTCAGAGATCATGCAAATCATAAGTTTGATACATTATCAAACATGACTCTAAATAGAAGTTAATAAGTGTCTTTCTGTAGTTTTCTATTACATTTTCGATAAAGTTATGACGAGCCTTTTTAATTAGAAAAATTTCCCTTGTTTTCTTAATTGAATTATATAATTTATTGAATCTTATTCTAACCTATTTATTCGCTTATTGCATAATCTCTGTTGTATTTATTTTTGGTGCCCCAATGCATCAATATTTTATAAGTAAACAAAAATGACTAATTAGTACAACTTTGTGATTATAATAATAAAATATTAATGTCTGTGATGTCCCAAAGTAGGAATTCCCGACTTTTTGTGACTTAGTGTAAGGCACTTCGTCAAATTAAATAAATAATCGAATTAAATTAACACAAGTTTAAATAATACTGGAACCAAGTTTCATTTCAGAACCTTATGATTTTGACATAAAATTAATTATAATGGCTAATAAAATTATCATAGAACTCCTTTTTCCAATAGAATCTCATCTAATTTAATGAAACAATAAGTGGATAATCCATAGGTGGCTAGTTCAAACCCATACCATGTTTCTTTTTTACACTTGGTGTCATATCCTTGTTCAAAGATGCTTCATTAGAAGTTATCTTAGATAATATAATGAAGAACTAAATTTAAATAGGCTATTCACTACACATCTTAGTCTTAAATTCATTAGATATTTCTTATATTTTGGTGTTGTGAACAAACAAATTGGAATAAATCAACTAAATTTCCGTAGCATCCAGCTCTATATTATTTAGAAGTACTGCCTGTCACTTTATTGTTAAAGTACTCCATATCGATCGTTCCTGCGCAGTTATATATATTAAGATAGTTATAAAACTATAAACAATAACGCACATTATGTTCATTTTCACAAACTACCATCTATTTAGAAAGCATTTAAGGTTTTACAATAAAATATCCTTGACTTCTTCAATTGAATACTCTTGTATGAAACAAACAGACAAACTAGCATCTTAGCTTCACTAAATACTGAATATGTAAAATAATACAACTAAGTTTTCTGTTATCCTAAATAGTCTTGCAGTTAGAACCACTTGATCATCTTCGAGGTCACTATGTTATTGTGATGTTAATTGGAACATTGATTAGATTTTACAGTATATTGAAGATAGATGAATTAGTATTCTAAGCCTTTTCACTCATTCAACTGTAATTTGTTGACATTGATCTTATCTAACTGGCGATTCATAAATTCTATTGTAAAATTTATTTAGATACTCATTGTTCTTAGTAAATCGTTTAATTCATTTTAATGTTTTAACTCAATCATGTTGATATTGATTGACATTTCAAGATGAAATTTCGTTTAATTAGAGAATAGTCATTCACATCTTAATGGCATCATTTTAATCTAATAACTTTATTCCTTCTAGAGCAATTGCAGCTAGTTTAAGTCTCGACGGTGCTGAAATTCCTTTGACAAGTGCAGATGCAGCTTATATGAAAGCTTTAGAAGAATCTCGTATTGAACAAGAACTTGAAGAAAAACGTCGTCGAGCTGAAGATGAAGAACTAGCACGTATACTTGAATTGTCAACCAAAGAAAAATAATTCATTGTGTTGTTCTGTTTTACAAAATCTTTGTTCATGTATCCATATATGTATCTTTCAAAAAACGCTTACACGCAAATATATATTATTTTGTCAAATAATACTAATAATCATCGCAATCGCTTATCCATATCACATGTGATATAATGACAAAATTAATCAGAATATATTGTATGCTACTAACTTGATCCCTGTATACCACTTATCCTACTAGATGATAGTCAAACAAATCGCTTTCTTACGTCTACTTACTCCAAACAAAAAGTTCACATAAATAACAGTCATTTAGTAACGGCTTTTAACAATATATGTAGCCGTAACCGCATTATGTTTGCCTTCCTGCTTTGAAATTCCTAATGAAATTTAACGCCGAATAATATCATTTCAAGTCTATTCATAATCTGTAACCTTGTTTAATACACTCATCTTACATTTATTACTAGTTGATGATAATGTAAAACAATTTTCACAATGTTGTCTTTACTGCCTTTTGTTTATCAAGTATAATATATGCTGTTAGTGAAAACTGTACTGTATAATCACATTTTTCTGTTCAACCAATGCTCTCCGTTGTTTTATTATTTCTTACGCTTGATGATCATCATTCTAGTCAGTGGGGATATATGAATATCCTAATCCTTCTTTGTTGAGCATTATATTCTATTAGTTTCTCCTATCATTTGTGTAATTGTTTATTTTTCTTTGGTAATATCCATATAATTTGATATATCATTCTTTATGACCATTATTGTTGCACATCAGGTCTCTCTGAACATGATGTTTGCTACTATTCTTATTGTCTTTGGTTTTACATTGCTTATTTAATGTGTTCAACTGATTTCTATAATACGGTTGATTGATGCTTTTATATTCATTCTTTTAGTTGAGTAATTGACGTAGTATGACACAATATTAGTTAGGCTGCTGCATCCACTCTTTGTGTTCTCTCAAATTCTAACCTTCTGAATTCCTCATAATCTCTATCTTTCTCCTTCTAAATTTATCTTACTGAATTATACTTCTCGAATCATATCTTCGCTCCCTAATCTTCTTCATTACTGCTAATACTTCTACTATTGCTATCACTCTTGGATTTGAATTGACAGTTGCGTCTCTGTGCTGATGTGGTAATGGCAACCTGAACTGATGTACTTACGTACGAAGTTCTGCGTTGTATCTGTCTGTCTGTAAAAGTACCATCAGACTGGAAAAAAGATATCTCATCAAAACACCGAAGAAAGGGAATCGCAGCAAGTGTGAGAACTTCAGAGGCATCACTCTTCTCTCAATACCAGGCAAAGTCTCCAACAGGGTATTGTTAAACAGAATGCTGCTACATCATACTTTTCAAATGAAGTTTTCGAGCCCTTGGTTATTAGGACAGTAGAAATAGTTTTCCCAATCGCCCAGTACTAAATCTGTCAGGGAAGTTATTAATTCATCCTATCCGATACACATCGATCCAAGTGAAAGTTAAACATCTATGAAAATTATTTAAACTCTCTTAGCCCTTTCGAATCAGTTATCTTATGGATTAATTGATCTTGCTTATCTTAACTTTAATATTGCCATCTCTCCTGAGATCAGATCTATCAATAGTTTATAAATTCATATAGCATTTTAGCATGCATTATTCGGTTTCCCTGTCTCTTCTAAACTAAAGACAGATATTTGTCGTAAATATTCCGCGTATAATTGGCTGCTTGCGATAGACAGTCAAGCTAAGGCTAATCCTTAATAAAACTCATTAAGTATTCTATAATTTCGTATCTGAAATGTAACTTATCGACAAAAAATCCCTAATCCTTTTTCTTTTGTCAGATATTTCTCAAAAATACCTATTTTAATCTGATGTGCTTACAATCAAGTGGGTTTTTTCGAAGTATTCGCTCAAACTAGCAACGTAGGTGTGTCTGTAACTTCTGCCTACCATCTCCGTTTCAGAACAGTCAGTTACAACGCAGAACTTCATGCATGAGTATATAAGTTCAGGATGTCATACCCCATCAGCTCAGAGACGCAACTCTCAGTTCAAATACACTGGTGATAGCGATAGTAGAAGTATTACTGATAATGGAGATTAGGGTTCGAAGACATAATCCGAGAAGTATAATTCAGTGAGATAACTTTAGAAAGAGTAAGAGTTTCGGGACAATGATAGAAAGATATTCCACTTATAAAGCAGATTAAGCTTAATTAAAACACTAGGGAGACAAACCACGAAATTATGAGAAAATATATAGTGTTTAATGTAGTGATTTACGTAGGTCTAGAATTAGAAAATACAAGTGTTTATCAACAGCTGTCTACGCAAAATACTTTGTATTCGTTGGCCAGACACCATCAGCAACAACCTACTATGGGAGAGAACAAACCAGATTCCAGTGGAGGAGGAGATCAGGAAGAAGCGGTGGAAGTGGATAGGAAACACACTGCGAAAAGCACATAACTGCGTCACAAGATGAAACCTCACATGGAACCCTCAAGGTCAAAGGAAAAGAGGAAGGCCAAGGAACACATTACGCCGAGAAATAAAGAAAGATATGAGAGGAATGAACAAAAATTGGACAGAACTGGAACGGGAAGCCCAGGACAGAGTAGGTTGGAGGAAACCGGTCGGTGGCCTGTGCTCCAGTGGGGGTAACAAGCGTAAGTAAGAATTATGTCTATAACTGTTCATTGCTCCAGTCGCTATTATGAAGTGAGAAAATGTTTAGTTGGATTTTTTTGGTAGCTCAGAAATAGGTAGTATGATGTTATCACACGACGTGCACTGATATTTATCCCCAAAAAATGTGACTTCGTCACAGTTTTGGAAGTTAGATGTACGGAGTTCAATGGCCGTTTAGAACGAAATTATTAGTTACAATAATCGTGTATATTATTCATGAAAGGTTTTTCGTATAGTTACTGTTATTGAATGTGACCATTCATTCGCAATCGCATTTGTTACAATAAATAGATGTAGTTAGTTGTTATTAGTCGAAGTCAATATATATAAAGGATTGTCATATGGATATATTTTCCTTTGTTTGGCTATGTTTAACAAAACACTGCATTTTCCTTTCTACATATATATATATATATATATATATATATATATATATATATACACGAAAATGTTAGGATTTTTTGATGTTTAATAAAGCTTTTTCTGAATAAAGTCACATTAAAATACAAATATGCTGCAGTTCTGTTGGTAGCTCTATACTTTGTGTTTGTGATATTACTTGTAGAGCAAAAGTTAATTGAATAATTATATACATGTATGTATAGAATACTTCTACATTTGTAATGGTTTTCTTAATGAACAATAGAAATCGCTTTTTTACTGTGAATATCGATTTATCTACCACTCATAGATCATAACTAGGAAATAATTCATGACAAAACCAACCTTTATTCTTATGTGAATTTTGTGTTTGTACATCAAAATGTCATGTTATTTTTTAATACTACATTTAATCACCTTGAGTATGGTGCTTTTTATACGCCAGTGTTTAAGACTGTAATTTTTTGATGAAACAATCAAGCGGCTTTACAACTTTTTCAAAAAAATCAAGTGTAACAGAGTAAATAAACTACATTGTATATTATCTTCAATTGATAACAACTTAAAGCAATTACTAGAATCAAAATTGTAACTTTATGAGCGTGCAAAAAATTACAAATACTTCATGTAAGAAACTATCAATTAAAACTGAAGAATACGTAAAATAAATCCAGTCAGCATAAATTCTATAATTCAAGCAATAAACAAATAGATATCTAGATGAGAATTTAAGACTGTGTGAATTTGAAATGGGAAACAAAGTAATGATCATTATAATACCAAGAAAACATATAGGTGATAAGATCGTGGAAACTTAAATCACTAATGTAATGTAGGTGACAGCAATATTTTCATAATGATCACAAACGATGGATAAAGTCGATCAATACACTTACAATCCTGTGAAGTTATAGGTATGTCTTTCGTACCAGAAAAGCGATTACCAAACGTTTTCAAAACTACTCGGTAGTAAAATGTAAAACTTTTCAAGATTAAGTCGACTAATCTGTACCTAGGTTTAATAGACTTACTTACTGGTGCCTGTTATCCCCAATGGAGCTCCTCCACTGGAATCTGGTTTGTTCTCTCCCACAGTACGTTGTAGCTGATAGTGTCTGGCCAACGAATCCGAAGTATTTTGCGTAGACAACTGTTCATAAATACTTGTATCTTCTGGATGATAGCTTTGTTAGTTCTCCAAGTTTCCGCTCCATACTGTAGAACCGTCTTGACATTTGTACTGAAAATCCTGATTTTGGCGTTGGTTGTTATTTGTTTGGAGTTCCAGATGTTGTCCAATTTTAGAAATGCACCCCTTGCTTTGCCGATCCGTGCCCTAACATCTGCATCGGATCCACCTTGGTTGTTGACGATGCTGCCAAGATAAGTAAAGGTGTTAATGTCCTCCAGAGAATCCCCATCAAGAGTGATTTGGTTGGCGCATGTCGTTTTGTATCGTAGAATCTTGCTTTCCCCTTTATATATGTTGAGACCTACTGCTGCTACACTGGTCGTCTTCTCTTGCATTTGTTGTTGCGTGTGTGATAGAAGAGCCAGGTCATCTGCGAAGTCCTGATCGTCCATCTGCATCCGAGCTGTCCATTGGATACCGTGCTTCCCTCCAGGTGTCGACGTTTTCATAATCCAGTCGATCACCAGGAGAAAGAGTGAGAGCAAGCAACCTTGCCTGAGACCGATCTTCACCTCGAACGAGTTTGTTAGCTGACCTCCGTGCATGATTTTGCAGTTTAATTCATCATAAGAATTCCGTATGACATTAACTATTTTCTCAGGCACACCATAGTGTCGAAGAAGCCACCACAGTGTTTTCCTGTCCACGCTTTCGAATGCCTTCTCGTAGTCAATGAAGTTGATGTAGAGTGGTGAGTTCCATTCTATTGATTATTCCACAATGATCAGTAATGTAGCAATTTGGTCAGTACACGATCGATCCTTACGAAATCCAGCATGTTGGTTTCGTAGTTGGGCGTCTACGAAGTCCTTCATTCTGTCTAAAAATACCCTGTTGAAGACTTTGCCTGGTATTGAAAGAACAGTGACGCCTCTGTAGTCCTCACACTCGCTGAGACTGCCTTTCTATGGCACTTTGATAAGGTATCCTTCTTTCCAGTCTGATGGTACTTGTTCCTCATCCCAAATCTTGTTGAAGAGAATGTGAAGTATTGTTGCAGTTGCTTCCACGTCTGCCTTCATTGCTTCTGCTGGAACGTTGTCTGGTCCTGCTGCTTTGCCGCTCTTGATTTGTCTGATGGCCATACTGATCTCCTCAATCGTAGGTGCGCCAATATTAATTGGGATGTCCGTGGATGCTGCTTCGATGTTGGGTGGGTTCAGTGGAGCTGGTCGATTCAAGAGTTCTTTAAAGTGCTCTACCCACCTATTTCACTGTTCTTCAGTTTCGCTGATTACTTTCCCTTTCTTGCTTTTCCCTGGTCGTTCTGGTTTACGATAGTTCCCGGCGAGCTTCTTTGTTGTTTCGTTCAATTGTCTCAAATTTCCGTCTCTTGCAGCCTTTTCCGCCATCATTGCTAGATCTTCCACATATTTTCGTTTGTCAGCTCTGATGCTCTTCTTCACTTCCCTGTTTACTTCTGTGTGTGCAGCTTGTGCGGTAACTTTCTCTGCTCTTGTTCGGCTGACATTGATTGCTGCCTTCTTGTTCCTCCTTTCTTCAATTTTTTTAAGAGTATAAACAGAGATCCATTCCTTGTGATGGTGTTTCTTGTGACCCAGAACCTCTTGATATACTGAAGTGATTGCCTCTTTGATCCCTTTCTAATTGTTTTCCATGATTATCTCCTCTCCATTGAGTAGATCCTGCAAGGCCTGGAACTAATTGCTGAGGGCTATCTTGAATTCGTTGAGTTTTACGGTATTCAGAAGAAAGGCCGTATTAAACTTCTGTGATGTTGTATACCCCTTTGGCCAGTGCTTATGTAGTTTCAGTTTCATTTTGGCGACCAGCAAGTGGTGATCTGTCAGCTCCTCTCTTGGTTCTCACATCATCCATGGTCCTTCAGAACTTTTTATTGGTGCAGATATGGTCGATTCGGGTCTGAGTAGTTTGATCCGGTGAAATCCATGTAGCTTTGTGTATGCGTTTGTGCGGGAATATTGCGCCACCGATGACCAGTTTGTTGAAGGCACATAGGTTTGCAAATCTCTCACCATTTTCATTCTTTTCTCATAGTCCATGTCGTCCCATGATGTTTACATATCCAGTGTTGTCCATGCCAACCTTGGCATTTAGGTCTCCCATAAGAATCGTCAAATCCTTTGGTGAACATTTCTCGACGATTCACTGCAGCCTTTCGTTGAATTGATCTTTATCGTTGTCATTTTAGTCATTGGTAGGTGCATAACATTGGATGACGTTCACTGAAATGTCCTCTTTCTATGTTTTGAAGGATGCTTTAATGATCCTAGGTTCATGAGATTCCGATTTTATCAGTGCCTTTTCTGCTTGTTTGGACAGCATTAGTGCAACTCCTCGTGTATGTGAAGCATTTTCCTCTTCATGACCAGAGTATGACGGCAGTTCCCCTGAAGCTAGTCTCAGTTGTCCTACCTGTGTCCAATGTGTTTCGCTGATTGCAAGCACCTGCAGGTTGTATCATTTTATTTCTGCAGCAACCTGAAATAGTCTTCCAGTCTCCCACAGTGTTCGAACGTTTCATGTACCCAAAAGAACGGTTGCTCTGGTTGTTAGAAGAGACATCAGCCTCGTGACTTCCGAGGGAACTTGGCTTTCATCACGAGAAGTCATAATTCTTCTTCCAACTCCCAGGGTACAGTTAAAATGGTTTGGTTTATTTTCTCTGGTTAACGCTTTTTTGTCAAGTTAGTTTTTCTGGTGGGATGGGGTTGCCAAAACCATGCCCAACCCTCCTCCTTTATCCAGGCTTGGGACTGGTAGTAGCCCCTAAGGTTCTACAAGTGGAGTTCTAGGTTTAATATGATCCACTAAAAGACAACGCAGTAACAGTTAGTCAGTCGGTTACAACGTAGAACTTCATACATGAGTACATAAGTTCAGGATGCCATACCATATCAGCACAGAGACACAACTGTCAATTCAAAACCAATAGTGGTAGCGATAGTAGGAGTATTACTGGTAATAAAGAAGATTAAGGTTCGAAGATATGATTTGAGAAGTATAATTCAGTGAGATAAATTTAGAAAAAGAAACAGAGATCAAGATGAATTCAGAACGTTAGAATTTTAGAGAACACAATGAATGAATGCACCTGTGGAGGCAGTCGGTGGTTGGGCATACGTAACAGATGTCCCGACCACCTGAACTGATGTAGCCTCAATACTTCATCTACTGGTTTGCCATCCCTACCTAGTACTCGTTTCCTAACGATAGCATTGCTTACTCGGCTGTCTCAGGATATACGAGCGATGCTCCGAAGACATCTATAATCGAATACTAATAGCCTACAAATGTCCTCTACTCACACCGACCACGTTTCGCATCCGTATAGTAGGAAGGAGCGAACTGATGCACAGTACACTCATACTTTCGTTAGTAAACGGATATCTCACCTGCACCATGAATGACGCAAGTTGGAAAAAGTCAGTCGAGCTTTCTGCATCCATGCTAAGATTTAGTCAGTCACCAGGCCATCGGCACTGATGAGACTCCCCTGATAGGTGAAGCGGTCTAGTTCAGGTACCGATGCAACCCAATCTTGAAGCAACATTTCGCATTTCGAGGGGGAAAACCGCATCCCGAATATGCTAGCATTGTTGCTCAGGGCAGTAAGAAGACTGCATTTTGTCAGCGTCTTCACCGATTAGGGCTATATCATCAGGACACCCTAAGTCACTAAGCGTTTCTCCTGGCAAAAAGGTCCACTCCTGAAGAGTCAGACGATGATTATGTTAACTCGAGAAGTATATCTACGACAAAGTTAAATAAGAATAGAGTGTGGACAGCCCTGACGGACAACACTTGAAGTAAAGAATTTAACATGTTGTTTAGAATAGTTTGTCGGAAGACTAGTTGTTATTTTTCTTGTACTCAAATCGTTTGCATCAGTGGTGCAGGATGATAACGGGATATGAGAAGGGTGAGACATGGAGATAAGAGAGATGCCAGGGTGTGTAGGAAGGATTTGATTGTGACCAATTCAGTCTCGTGTGTTGTTACGAGCATGAGGGCGAATGTCACTTCCCGGCTGCCCACACCGTGGGTGTTTCTTGAGGAACCTGTAAAGGAAGGCAGATTAGTGTCGGTCTTGGAGACCTGGTAGCGTGACCGCAGAGCCCAGGGGTCAACTGCTTCCGGCCGGTCACACACCACCTTTTTATGAGACACTTTTAAAGTGTTAGCTCCGCTCTTGTTTAAAAGCCTTACTGCCGGAGACGAAAATCCGTGAGGAGTGACATTCTTAGAGTCGACCTTTTCTAACCCTTCCTTCCTTGCGAGAAGGCAGATTCGCTGCAGATGCTGGTTGTCCGAGGGAAACAGCTTACTGTTGTCACACCCCTCTGCAGTCAGCAGTACGACTTCGCCCTCAGACCTTCAGTAGCTGCTTTTAGTCTCATCGTTCTCCGATCGACCTGCCTGGCATGGTAGAACCTAAAGGAACATATGTTCCAGCCAATATAGGCCGGTTGGGTCATCACGATAGACAAGCCCGACCACCACGACATCGTAGCAGCTATGGTCGAGGATTAACCAGAAAGTTTTAGACAAAAGCCATATGTTTTGAGAAGAATTTATTCTTAAAGCCCAGAGCATCCAACCAAACTGACAATACCATATCCGAAATTAAAGTTTTTATCGAGTTATGAACAAAAGAAGAAAAATTTAACAAAAGAAAAGAAAAAAGTTAACAAACGTTTGTGTGGAAATAGGTTTACTCAATGATAAATACATATTAGATTTACTAGGAAAATAACATTAGGTATCACTGGCGAGTAGTATCCTGTCTTTCAAGTCCATTATGTTTCTGATCGATTTGGGTACACCAATCTGGGACTAAACCATTCTCCAAGAAACTAGAACGATTCAGTGAACGTCCTGGTAGACACTCAAGCGCACCGAAAATCGCCCCTGTAGAAAAAGGATGAGGTAAATCAACTTTATTCTCTACTAAAATGATTTATTGAAGACTTGTAATTATGAAAAAATCAGATTAGTAAAAACTTGAACTACTATTCATAGATCATTTCATCAAAAGTTATGTCATCCGCAAGTAAATAGGTTTTCTCGATTTTCCTTTGAAAAACAACAAATCACTATCGCCATTTATATATTACTCTGAAAATTTCTCAACACCGTACCAGCTGCAATGTTTAAGCAACTGAGTAATGTGGATAGCTCAAAGCAAAGTGAGCAGAATTAAACTTGGTTACTGAGTTACATACACTAAGAATGCACTACGTTCGCTAAGAATCATTTGCGTGCTTTGTTTCATGATATCAATGTGGAATTATTGCTTATTAGTTTAATTATCTGCCTTTAAACCAGATGGCCATTTACAACTGTAAAGGCTCTGAGTAATACAAATATCTAGTACATTTTGTTGAACATCTACCGAAACTAACCCATCAAGAACACATGGTTGGAACACTAGCACAAGCTTTAATCATTATTTTTACCACGATTTAAGAATAAAACGCTATGAAAGTTAGTTTACACGAGAAAAGTTTATGAATTGGGTCTTTAGTTATATAAACTGTATAAACATTAGGCACTACACGACTTTGCTGAAATCTAAAAGCATAGGACCGACGATAAGCCTACAATTCAATAGCTGAAATGCGAATAACCACATAACTGAATTACATTTCCACATACGTAATACTAGCATGGAAAGTAGGAACTACGAAAGACGTCAATAACTAATTGTGGTGAACTTGTAAAATGGGATAAAAATACTATGAAAGATGTAGTTCAAACACACATCACACTTGAAACAATTTAATAACGATAAGATCCATGTTTAATGTGAGTATTCTGATTACATTCGACTAGTAAATTTGACTTACTTAAAAAACTCTAGTAATAAAATTCCAATGCAATTATCGCAACATGCATGACATAAACCATTACAGGAAAGCTAAAAGCAATTCTTTTAAGGCTACTGGAAAAACAAATCTAGGTAACCTTGCCTAACTTATATCAGACAGACAGACAGATATCAATTTACACAGTAGGTGACTCCTGACCAAATATTTATTTTAATTTGTAATTACACTATTATCTCTCTTAGCCCTCAAAGTTACCTATATTTAGCCTGACCATTAATCTGACAATTTCATTTAACGTATAAACTTATTCAAGTTAATATTTTATATTATTCAGCCCGACATTAACGATTTTGTTATTTTACACACATAACAGAATCCATATATACCTTAATATTGGATGAACAATTTGGTGATTACCATGTCAACTATCAGAGCTTAGCATCAAAACGTTTAAATATGATTATTTAAAAATGCCCATAGAATATTCAACAGAAAGAATATTTCAGTGATCAATTTTTATTATTGTTCTTCTATTTATCCATTAAATTCCGCCTACTAAGCATTTTATTCACAGGATTAATTGTACACTATATTGATCATAACTTGACACCTTACTTTGAATCATTCTGATCTTTGTTAAATGATCTTTCCAATTTAAAATTAACACAATCTTAAAGCATTTATACAATAAGAGTAGCAAATTTTCACCATTTTCGACGTATAACATTGTCCGATCCATTAATGCATGACTTCTTTTGGCTTTGCAAAATAACACAACAGATATGGAGCCTGATAACGGAGTTATTGAAAATAATTTTTCGCCCAAATATTATTTGTTTTTGAATACGATTATTATCAAAACCGCTAAACGAATTCTTTACAAATAAAAAACAGTTATTTTCTACATATTTTAAGCTCATAAAAATTTGTAGCCTACAACCCCTTCCAAAAAAATAGGGGCCCGAGTCAAACAACGTACATTGAATGAGAAATGATCGTTTAACAAATAAGTTGGCTATGAGGAACCAATGAACACTAATTTACTAAGAAATGAAGAATTTGTTCAAATTAAGATAAATAACCCAATACGAAAGTTTATTCTCTATGAAACTTCCAAAAATTTACCACCAAGCCATCCAATATAATTTGCTTCACCAGGAGGATTGTGAAATTTGAACGATCCCTTTAAAGCTTGTAGTTTCGAGAACTCAGGAAGTTCAACATGTGAATTGAGTTCCTCTATTAAACGAGATACGAAGCCAGGAAGCATGGTTGTGCCGCCGATGAGTACAATATTTTCTGCCAGCTTCCTGTCATATGGAGAAGATTACCATAAATTACAGTATAAAGTGAAAATGGAAATCTTAAATAAAGTTGAACGCCAAGAAATACATATTTCTTCAGTTAACTATGTTCACCATGGCTTTTAGTAAGACATTAAATACCAATGTCTGAAACTAATTTTTAAGAACTGATAAAGTTTATCAAAATACGATGTCGGTCACCATATACCGGTAAACTGTTTGTGGAAATCATAAAATGAGTACGCCACAGAAGTGAGAAAGCAAACACTAACCAGAACATTTCATCAAAACCAAATACACGCTTTTGTACGAAGCTATAAGCCATGCATTTTGCGTGGGTTAGTGTTACTACCAGTGTCCGAAACGAAGTAACAGTTAATGTGTAAGAATTCCTGGAATTTCAAAAAATTTCTGGACAACTCTAATTCTAATTATAGGAAAAAATCAACGAAGTTGGCCTTATGGTATTAGAAAGTGATACCAAACGTTTCCCAAAACCGCCAGCCAACACTGTAGCAAGACAGTTTAACAACTAGTGAGCTTTTAAACTATTTTTGTTCCAAAAAATTTAATGACATTTATTGGGTAAATTTACTTGACGATATTTACGAGACTTAGCAAAACTGCTCTGGTTCTAGTATATGTTACAGCGTAAGTGCACTGTCTGTAACTGAATTTCTAGAACTACCTATGTCGATGTCTACTCAGATTGAAATCTGCAAATCTCAGGTTATAGTTTTGACTAAATATTTAATTCGCCAATAACTGAAGTCATCGCATGGCGGTCTTTTGTTTGTTTGACGGGTACAGGCTCATGAATGCAGGGTACTGTACTGCCTAATCGCATTAGCTATGTAGAGTGGGGGTTCAAACTTACAACTTGATGACCTAAAATCGAACACCTTAACAACTGAGCCTTTGCTTAACTTGTGAAGCAATAAGATTAAAATAATTCATCTCATTTTCTTAAATTCAGGTCACCTACCTAAAGAGATACCGCCAGTATTCCAATCATATTACAGAAACCATCGTCAATCTAATGCATAGCTTAAGGTACTTTTACGTGCAAAGATACTCAAGAGCCAATACGTAACGATCACAGTATTTGAGGAAAATTAAAAGATTTATGAATAGAGCAGTTTTTGCAAATAATATTAAATACCTTCTAATATCAATAGGTGCCAACGAAATAGACCGTAAAATTAGTGTTGTGATTGTTGTTTGGTCGTTGTCCCCGGAAAACAAACATTCGACTGCCAGCTCGCGGATATCTGATGGTACTTGAATTGGTCTTTCGTTTCCTAACTTATCTAAGGGGAAAACAAATGTTTCTTGATACATATTGGGCTTTAGGGCCGATGATTCATTAGAATCTTTCCAAGTCTTCCACTGCGCTGCTCTGCTTTGCGGACTAACAAAACATGTACGAACTAAGAGTAAGCAAACATATGCGACACTACACCTTTTATATCTTCAATAATATGTTCCGAAATAAAAGAATCTGGACAAGGGGTTAACTGCGACTCTCCGTTGATAACATCCAGCAACTTTGCATTTTCATTTAAGTAATACCTGATGTCTCTAAAAGTTAGCAGACATTATTGTGTATTACACAAGTTATACTCGTGAATTTTTCTGCCACCAAGCTGGGCCGACTGCCAAGCGTTTAGTAATGTGTAACCTTCGTAAACCTACAAATAGAATGAAAGAGAATTCCCCTTACAGGCAAGACTTGTGCATCCATGTAACCACAGTCCAACACAACGGCTGACGAAATCCCAAGAGTAAACAGTGCCATCAAATGGGAAGTTGCAAAAAGTATAGAAGGAGCCTATATTACAACCAACAGTTATGTGTTTAGTCTTTTACCTCGAAGTGATTAAACAATACGTCGGCCAAAACCTCACGAAATAATGAGGGACATAACACGCTTTCGACTACTACAACTCGTCTGTCCTTCGGGTTTACTAATAAGTGTCTGCGACGTATGAAGTGAATTTAGAAGATTATACCGGTAGTATATATTGTACAGAAATGTCACCAAGAACTCTCGTCTCTCATCCTTACCATCACAAGAGGAGATACTTCTTTTGCCACCAGTGGGCTGAAAATATTAATGTACTTTGAAAGGTCGCCAAACCAAAGTAATCTCTGTTGGTATAATAAACCTTGGTCCAGTTTCTCCAGCAAAACCGCACCTGTCACTTTCGCTAACTGTGTTAAGAACACTTACTTGGTGTAGACTGAGCCTATGTCAAAGACAACGGCTGTCTTTTCACCTAGCATAAGGGCCTCGAGCACAGGCATTATGATTACTACATGTAACGTTAACGATGTATTTCCAACCCTTTTCAGTGCTCAATAGTTTAATAGCTTTAAACTTCGCTCAGTATAATTAGACATTTGTTAACTACTTAAAGCTCATGTCCGAACTTCAAGGAGAGATTTAGATTATAGCCTAAAAAGAGCCTCTAATCACTGTATCTTTACATAGAACGGTTAGATCCATACTTAGGCTCGTGACCATGGGAAGCATTTACCTAATTTTACATTGTCTTGCTGATGAATTTATCCTAATCCATGTCTGTACTTGGGGAATAGATACCTTTTGCCTATTTGTTGGAGATTTCAATATGTTTCACATCAATTTAATGAAGCTTACAGCTTCAGGTGGATGTTTTGACGTTAGCCTGCTATCAACTATTATTCTATGAGCTCTAGTAAAATTTGTTGTGAAATTTACATATACTGGCTTAGAATATGAGCCGTCAATGCTGATTCTGGCTCGTACACACCACTGTGGTTATTTTGCTGACATTAATTACGAACCTTGACCAAGAGACAGCAATCTTACCCTAATATAAATCGAATTTCAGACGTATTATATTTGCTCCTTACTTATTTACTTACTTACTTACTTACTTACTTACTTACTTAATTAATTACTTACTTACTTACACCTGTTACCCCCAATGGAGCATAGGCCGCTCACCAGTTTTCTTCAGCCAACTCTGTCCTGGGTTTCCCTTTCCACTTCTTTCCAATTTTCATTAATTCTTCCCATATCTTTCTCTATTTCTCGGCGTAATGTGTTCCTTGGCCTTCCTCTTTTCCTTTGAGCTTGAGGCTTCTATGTGAGGGCTTGTCTTGTGACGCTGTTCGATGCTTTTCGCAGTGTGTCCTATCCACTTCCACCGCTTCTTCCTGATTTGCTCCTCCACTGGAATCTGGTTTGTTCTCTCCCACAGTACGTTGTAGCTGATAGTGGCTGGCCAACGAATCCGAAGTATTTTGCGTAGACAACTGTTCATAAATACTTGTATCTTCTGGATGATAGCTTTGTTAGTTCTCCAAGTTTCCGCTCCATACTGTAAAACTGTCTTGACATTTGTACTGAAAATCCTGATTTTGGTTTTGGTTGAAAGTTGTTTGCTGTTCTACATATTTTTCAATTGTATAAATGCAGCCCTTGCTCCACCACATCCTAATATAGGGCGAGCTAATGTTTCGGCAATCAGAGGCTGTGTTTTCTTAACAGACTAGTTGGTTACTGTAGATGGGTCTGTCTTCAACGAACGGAATACATTTAAAACCATATTCGAGTTTGTAACGCTACCGTTGATCCCATTTTTAGCCAGTAAGCCATCAAAGGTAAACACTTCAAAAACAACAGATCAGTCAGCTCTGTGCGCCAAAATATCCAGTGATGATTGCTAGATTCCTCTGCTCACTGTGTCCCTTGGTCTTGATAATTCCGAGTCAGAACTCGCCTTATGACGCAGTTGGGTACCTTACGCAATGTATGACACATCTAGTTCCTAAGTTTTTCCCTGATTTCTTCCTCAGCTGGAATCTCGTTTGTTCTCACCTACACTAAGTTGTTGTTGATGGTGTTTGACCAACGGATCTGCAGTATCTTGCATAGACAACTGTTAATAAACACCTGTCTTCTGGATAGTGACTTCCGCAGTTTTCCAAGTCTCTGCTTCGTATACTAGAACTGTTTTGACGTTCGTTGTGAAAATGCCGACTCCAGTGTTGATTGATAGTTGTTTTGAGTTCCACTAGTTCTTCAACTGTAGAAATGTTGCCCTTGCTTTGATAATCTGTGTGCTTGTATTTGCAGCATATCCTTCTTGATTATCAATTATACTACCTAGGAATGTAAAGATTTCTACATCTTTCAAAGCTTGCCCAGCAAATACTAATTGTTCGGTACGTGTTGTTTCATATCAGAACATCTTACTATTTATATTGCGTATGTTGAGGCTGCTGATCCAGTGACCATCTTCTCCTGAATTTTCGTCATTGTATGCAACAGAAGAGCTGGGTGATATGAGAAGTCTAAATCGTCTTGCTAGATCCGAGCTGTCTATTTTATTCCTTGCTTTTCCTGAGATTTTAAGGTTTTAATGGTCCACTTAACCATAAAGAGAAAGAGGAAGGTTGAGAGTAAGCAGTCTTGTCTGACACCAATCTTTACTTGGAATAAATTAATAATTTGTCCAACGTGTACCATCTTGCAGTTTGATCCATCATAAGAATTGCGTCTGGTGTTGACAATCTCCCCTAAGAGCTACAACGGTCTAACACATTAAGGAACCATTCCATACGCCTTTGCTGTTGGTTGCTCTGGTTCTCAGGAGTATCAATCTGGTGGCTTCGGAAGAAACTGGGCTTTCGCCACGAGGCATCATTATTCTGCCAAATGAAGACCCTTCAACTTAGAGGAGAGAGTTCAGGTGGTTTGAACCTTTCGTTATGATCAGCGTCTGTTTAGCTGATTGCTCTGATAAAATCCAGAGGAACGATATTGCTAATAATAATGTTGATTTACAGAATATAATAATGAGGCTCAATGAAATGAAGCTTTTGTGATATTATTTTGTAGGACCCAAACTGAGGTTTGGACTGAAGAATAACTGTCTTGGTGGTTTAGATTCGCGCCTGGCGCAGTTTAAATCCAAAACAAGTGATTTGGGAAAATAACAGTTCTAATATTCATTATAAATATAAATATACATAATTACCTGAGCAAATATTACCGCTCAGTCATTCCACTAACAATTCTTCAGTTAGTCAAATCAACACCAGCAGATAGCTGATATTCTATCGCTCCTGGATAGATCAGATTCGTTCAAAGGATAATATTTGTTTACTGTATGACACAGAATGCTTCTTATTTTGGAAGGGTGCTTCAACTTACAATCAAAATGCACAATCAGAATCTGTACAAACGACACAATCAAAAGAAGAACAAATCTATATTGGTGTCGCCATAATTAGGCATCAGCTTAAACATAATTATGTAGTTCAGAAAGAAACACAGAAACTCAGCAAAAGCAAAAGAAGTTGAAACTATAATAAAATAAAAATATTATCATCTCAAAATGGAATCGAACAGACTAACAAAATGTACAACTGAGGGAATCAATAAGGACAAATTACAGATGTATACATGGGGGTTTCCACAAACAAAGCCATCTGAAAATGGACCTTACATTTTTCTTTTTAACTCTGTAGCTGAAGAGGTCATTAGTGAGCTCTTTTTCAGTATAACTGTCTAGATCTGCTTGCAGTAGGACTTATTGGTAGGGGATTAAAACCAGTGCAAGTTTACGAACATGAGTTGTACACGAGGTTAACAAGGAAAAGTAACATCAATGTTTCAAAATGTTCGACCACACAGACATGGGTAGATTGAGGTTATCGCCCCAGCGTCATGAATGCTGGTCAGATACACCATTCTCCCTTCTTTTGTGATGTTAGACTCTCCTACGTTTAATGGTAGATTTTAAACCATGTTTTTTTAGTCTACGCTCTATTTTTTATACGCCTTGTTGGAAAACATTTTCTCTACCAGCTCCACGTTACAAGCAAACTAGACAACTTTGGCTTCTTCATGTAGGACAAAGTATCTACGTAGTATATCACACCGATTTTAAGTAAACTAATTGTATAAAATGTGGGACAGGCGTCAGTTAATAGGTAGTTTGAAGATAGGAAGGATAGGGATCTTGAGAAATAAAAGGGTTGAAATGATATTAAAAATTACTGAGTAAAGCTATACGTTGGTAAGTAAGCGAGGTGTTTAGATGTTAATGAATTTGGGAAATAAAAAGTTAATTAATTGTTATTACTTATACTGGAAGGAACTCACAATTATTCCGGAATTTTGAGCTCCTTGTAATTGAAGGTAGTTGATCAACATCTACAGGCTTTCCAGTTTGTCTGTCTACCAGAAATAAAAGCGAAAACTGCTGTGAAGATGATGAAATAATGACTGAAATTTAAATTCGGACAAAGTCACGGGCAACACTTCAAAAGCGTAACCCATTACTGTTAGTAGAAGCAGGGGGGTGATACCTGCATGGATGGTAATGCGGGTATAATAAGTTCATATGCTGTAATTAGTCTATATAAATATTTGTGGACCATAAAAGAGTGCCTCAGGGCTTGTTATGAGTTCTGAGAATAGTCGATAAATCTCTTTAGAGTCTAACATGTGCAATACTAGTTTCTTGAACTTGGTGACTGTCACAGATTCGGATAGTAGTTGGCAATCTGTTCCACAATAGACTGTATCGTTGTACACGGAAATTACAACGCAATGATTTTTTGTGTTTTGCAGTAAATGGAGTATATGAGTCGTTTCTAAGTCTGTAAGCAGTGTCGTGGTTCATAACTGGGCCGTATTTCACGAACAGGAAACCATTTATCAGTTTATCGAGAAGCATTAAGTTGTTTTTCAACCGATGGCGCCATAGAGGTACTGAGGAAAGATGTTTGCATCTTTCTGTATAGTCGAGGTTATGGCTCTATACTAGCAGTCGCCATGGGAAGCTTTTTTGGAAATTTTCTACTCGTATTTTGTCCATGATATTCACGTTTGAAAACATATGTGAGCAATATTCAAGTAAGCTTTTTATGCACGTTTTGAAGAGTGTAAGCTTATCCTCACTTGCCAAGAAGTTCTTATTTATAGTTGGGGCATGTTCTCCAAATTTTAGGCTTCTGGAGTAAAGAATACTTAGATCATGCACTGATATAAGTGTCTGCACCCTACATTTTTGTAAACAGAGTGGTATATCATGGTGATGCTTACATATATGGTTTATGTACATACGAAACAATAGTGGACCCAATATAAAATTATATTTACTCTTGCAGCTCGCCTTTAATCGAAAAGTGCAGGTTCATACGCGTCTCACCCAGTCCAAGACCAAAAAACGATAATTCTGGGAGAAAACGGTTCTATTTAATGATGAAAAGGGAAATACAGACAATTCCCAAAAACAATATTACACCTTCGAGTTTCCAGTTACCACAATAGGTTCCGTTTCTGGAAGAATAAGTGCTTCCAGTCCGTTACTGCTAGAGTATCAAATCCAAATATGGCTGTAGCCATATTAAATATCAAATTTAAACAACATATGTACAGTTCAGAAGGAAACATAAAAACTTCAATATCAGTACAAGATATAGAAATAATAACAATATACAATGATAAAATCTCAAAATGGAACCAAATAGAGTACCAAAATATCAACAGAAAGAGTCAGTCATATCATAACGCAAATATATATGCATGGAGGGATTTTCCAAAAGCAAAACCTTCAAAATAGATTCTACACCCAATACAATTCCCTGATAACTGCACTAGTTATTGGTCTTGGTGATGAAAGGCAGTTGTAGCATTTAACAATTTAGGAGTGAAACAAACCATGAATTTAGTGAGTTACTGATTCTGATTGACTTTATTTTAAGAAGCCTTTGGTTTGGGACCTTATGAAAAGCCTTCTTGAAGTCGAAGAAAAGGACTGACACTAGAATTGAGTAGACTGAGGCAGGTGAGGAAGATTGTATTATGCAAATTTACACTCTGAGTCAGTTAAAAACGAATACAATATATTGAATACTCTATTTGCACACCATCTTTGAGTCATGACTTCCACCACTACATCCTTCTTCCATTCCTGTTGTTGCTTCCTTTCCTTCCTGTTGGTACTCCACTTACTTCTTGCTTTTGCTCCATTTGCTTTCCGTTTTCCTCTTCTGACCGTGAGACTTCTTCTTTCACGTCCCTTCTTATACTACTTATATCGTTCGTATAAGTAGCACACGCCACAGAAGCCTTTTGTCTCGTTTTTGCGTGCTATCACTGAAATAACCTAGCAGGCATGTGTCACACGACCTAAACCTAAAGAACCCATGCTGTGAGGTCGATATCAGATTGTTGTTGTTTTAACTCTGAGAATAAATGGAAGGAGAGCTGAATTGAAAATGATTCAAAATAAAGTACGACAGGACACCATCTGAGTCCCGCTATCGATTTAGTGATATTGTTTAGTTTATCGACAGTCACAAATTCCAGGAAGTAATCATAATACCTTTTAATGCAGTTTTGATATAAATATTGCAAATACGAAAAGTTAGACCACCAAAATTTTTAATGGCTATCTCAAGGTTCAGCAGACACACTTTCAATTGCCTCAGAAGCATGTTACTCTCTACTGAGTGTTATCCTAATGCCTGAAAGACTATACATATCAGCTCCAAAATAAAGATAGGACCCACTGCAAACTTTAAAAATTACTGACAACGAAATATCACCTTATTAGTGTCTAAGGTGATGGAGAAAGTCGTAAACGTGTCGGCAATTCAACATCTACTTCATGATAATCTCATTTCAACCTCCCAGCAAACGTTTTGAGGTCCTCAATATGAGACAAATTCCCGTTTAACTAAATAAACGAAATAACTCAAAAACAAGATCAAGGGCTAATAGCATCACTCCTATTCTTTGAACTCAAGGAAAATTTCGGTAAACCCCTACAAAAATCTGCTCATCAGACTAAAGTTATTGAAAATTGGTACCCCACTAATTTCAAGGTTTGCACAATCTCTAAACGAACTCCAACAAATTGCAAAGTACACCGCCTCTCTAAGGTTAACAACAAATAGGGAATTGTGTTAGCTCCACTCTTGCTTCTTACATAAATACACGATATATTAACTATGAGATGTGGGTCGCTATAGTTATATGCTGATGATCTGAAATTCGTATACAGCCATAGAAAACGTGGTAGTAACCATCTAACCACGCAAAGCGTCGGATGATGCATTATAGTAAACAACGCCATGACATCCTACTTTACTGGCATAACTGTAGAAACGAGACGCTCATATCCATGCACGATCTGTATATTGACTATTTGAGAAGCCTAAAATTTACAGAGCTGCGGACAATATTCTCTTGAAACCTACACCATCGGCGGGAGTCAAAATAAGAACTACTCGCAAAAGGCGGCTAAGGTTATCGTCTTCACAACGTGTATGATATCTTCCTTTGAATACTACTTGTTTATCTTTTCCGGAACATGAATACCATAGACTAGCTTTGAGTGAAAAAAGTCCAAAGAAGCTTCATCCGTTGCCTGCTAGAATGTGACTATACTCTCAGCTATAGAACTATGCGCAAACATGTTGACCTAAAGTCGTTCTGGCGGCAACAATGAGAGAATGATGTGATGTTTTTCTACAAAATAATGTGTGATTTCTCATCGGTAACTTCCATCCAACTTGTTAATGATGACCTTGCTAACTGAACGAGAAAGAACACATATATACCACAGATACCGCTTAGTTATGCTTCACCGCCAGAAACTTAAACAACCCCATATCACTAAGTACTCCTACTAGTTAATATAATACTAGTTTAATTCTTATATTTCGAAATTTATTAACAATCAAACATCTCGTTCTTTTAATTGCTAATCACCTTACTCATGAATTCTCAACTCTTTATTTCTTAAAGTTCGTTCGACTGCCCTACCAATCTCAAAAAATATATTACCCACCCACGTCTCAAAGTTTATACCATTAGTTAACTTAATATCAGTGTAAAATGATACAGTGACATATAATCCATCATACAGAAACTAAAGCTAGTTAGTTAGTTTGTAACTTCCAGCTGGTAGAGACAGTGTATTCCGACACGATATGCAATACTGAAGCTTAGACTAAAACTTTTGTTAAAACATACCACTAAAGTAAGGGAGCGCACCATCACAAAAGGAGGGAGGGTGGTGTATCTGACCAACAGTCATGATGTTGGGAAGATAACTTCTATCCAGGGGCAGAACATTTTGTTTGTTTACGGCTTCTTGTGATCTAGCAGTATGTAACTAACTAATGATAATTATGCTACTTTTCCACGTCAACCACTTCTATGACTCATGTTTGTAACATTTAACAGGTTTCAGTTCCTACTGAGAAATCCTATTATCAGTCGACATTACATAACTATCACTTGTACATTCAATCAACGTGCTGTAGATCTGTTCTGTCCAATACACTAACTGCGAAATCCATTTCATTTACTGACGAATTATCGCATTTCGAGTACAAAACTTCACATGAGATTTTTCAGTTGCTTTCAGTCAGTTAATTTCGACTGAAACGGACTCTCAAAGACAAAGCAACTTGGAATGCTCTCCCAGCCGAGGCGACCACAGCCCACTCAGTGGACTGCTTTAAGAAGAGACTTGATGATCACGTACTCACATACGGACTATCATCTCCCTCTCGGACAAGCTGTTCATGATGCATATCTTGAGACCTGCTAGTTATTACAATTGCCATCTCCTCAGATAACTCAATTAATCTATCTCGCCTATTATCTCTGTTTCCTCTCCCCTGCTTAAACTTCGGTCCTCTCTCACAATCCTCACTACCAATTAAAAAACTAAATTCATCTACATATTACTCTGTTCTGAAATTTTATTCATATTATCATTAGAATTTTATCCTTATTACCCTTATCACTCTCCACATTGCAACTAACTGATCTCCGGTTTGGTAATGAAACGGCTGCTAGTATCCAGAAACTCTACTACCCTGAAACAAACGTTTCATTCAAATCCCGAGACATACAAACTCACAACCATCTGCCAACTGACTAGAATTAGACAGTCGAGTCGCTAGACCTCCGTCCATTGGACATTACCGAAAACCTGGAACCGTACCGAAAGAACAAGAATCGAGCGCGAAGAAATCAAATTGGTTTACACTAGCTCGTGAAAAAGATATTGGATATTGGATACCTAAACAAATAGTTCCAAACATTCAGTAAATCCGATTTAAAGAACCTTTAAAAGTGATAGCGAACTGTCTCTAGTACTAGGAGAGGCCTTTTACTCACTTCTATTTCATAGATACAGAATTAAGCTGCGGGTAGTGTTTCTTGTTCGAAAGTTTGGTAAAATTTGACCTTGCCAATCCGTTTAATTTAGAAGGTCGGGCGACTTCGTGAAAATGAGCATCCTACAGAAAATAGCCGAAATAGAAGCAGAGGTAAATTTGTGAAATAGCTGTTTCGGGCAAATTTTAACATTTATTGCGCCTGTTTAGCCGTCATTTGGTTTATGTGGCTCGTAGACTACTTGCATTCACTTAGTTATATTGATTTCGTTTTGAATTCATATTTTGGCCAGTGTAATCAGTTTATGGTATCGCATCCTAGTTCTTAAGAAAATTGATAGCAACAAAGGCCAAACTGTCTTCGTTTCTACTTATCGGACTACATTGGCACTTTGTAGGAATTTTATTGCTACCACATATCCCTCGGTTTATGCTTCGTATGACAAACCACTCTTTAAGACTTGAGATTGACTTAATGGTCTCATTATTGGAGGTGCAATCGCCCTTGCACCTGATATTTCGTACGAATTTACGTTCACGGAGCCGTTGTACCACTTGTAAGCACTTTCGTAGATCATATTATAAGAAATCACAATCACACCAATAGCATATTATAGGATTAATGGGAAGTTAAAATGTTGGGACTCTCCTATTATTAAACTGGCTCCCATGATTTGTTTGTATACTTGAGCCTGTCTTAAGGATCATTCCAAAAACCATAGAGACTACAAATAATGGACGAACCAACCATATTTGATATAGCATGTCTTGGATTTTGGTGCCGAATTAATTCATTCATATGGTTAATTGACATTTTGGTGTTATGATTGATGGCGATTAGGAATGAAAACCCGGATTTCATTCCCATCACTTACATCCTGCTCTAATTGCTTTTCTTAATTCCTCACTCCGATTTATGACCCACTTTTAACGATAGTTATCGGGCGAGTACTCTCCAGGTCATTTTGACATCGTCCAAAAGTCGACCATAAATTTTAGTCTCATCACGTTCATGGTGACCACGTAAAACATAATTCTGTATTTATAGCATGTGTTTGTAGCTTAAGTAAATGAGTTGACCTGTACATATGCATCTTCAAAACAGCTACTGTAGCATCACATCCACCAAAGAATTTTCTTATATGAACCTGTTTAAAGCCCAACTCCCATTTGCGTATTAGTGTGTCGTTCATCATCCTATTCATTATTTTGACGAATAATTATTAGCTTTCTATTTCTAAATTAATATGACTTGTTGTATGTGCATGTGTGTAACCATACTGAAAGGTATTAATAGTATTCGACTCATAAAACGGACAAATCAGACTTGGTTTCCGAATAATATTCTGCTGAATCAAAGTTCAGTGCTTTAGCCATCAAGCCACCAATCTCCAATGTCTAAATTATTCTATCAGTCTGCCTATAAACTATCGCTTTTCCAAAGGTTTATGTAGTTTCCTTCGTCGACCGTACTGTGTATGAGGATTTTCGGATAAACTCAAATATTTTAAAGTTTTTTCTTCAGCCTGTTTTCTTATGCTCATTTTTAACCTTAGATGGCTAGGACACAGAAAAACAAAAATACCATGGGTCACTTAGGATTATTAAAGGCTCGATTAGCAAAACTTAGACGGGAGCTTATCGAACCTAAAGGAGGTGCTGGTGGAGGAGGAGAAGGTTTCGATGTTGCTAAGACAGGAGATGCACGTATTGGCTTTGTGGGTTTTCCATCAGTTGGAAAGTCAACACTTTTATGTAATTTAGCCGGCGTCTATTCTGAAGTAGCTGCTTACGAGTTTACGACCCTTACTACTGTGCCAGGCGTTATTAGATACAAAGGAGCTAAGATTCAGCTGCTTGATCTACCTGGTATCATCGAAGGTGCTAAAGATGGAAAGGGTAGAGGAAAGCAGGTGATAGCTGGTAAGTCATGTTCGCAAGATATTTGAGTAAATTTGTTTACGTAGTTGCCCGAACTTGCACTCTTATTCTCATGGTGCTAGATGTCCTCAAACCTTTGCAACACAAAAGGCTTTTAGAAAACGAATTAGAGGGATTCGGTATTAGGTTGAATAAAAGCCCTCCTAACATCACACTACGCCGTAAAGAAAAAGGAGGTCTGAACATTCAAACTTTAGTAAGTTTTTTCCATTCTATTTTACTTAAAACAATGTTTTCAGGTTCCTCAATCTGAATTAGATAAGGACGTAATTAAAACTATTTTAAGTGAATACAAAATACACAATGCAGATGTTTCACTCAGATGCGATGCAACTGCTGAAGATCTAATTGATGTTATTGAAGGAAGTCGTGTATATATTCCGTGTATCTATGTTCTAAACAAAATTGATCAGATTACTATTGAGGTATGAAATTGGGCATATAATTGTTTGGATTTTATTAGGAGTTAGATATCATTTGCCGTATTCCCCATTGTGTACCCATTTCAGCTCATCACAAATGGAATTTTGATGATCTTCTCGAACTGATATGGGAATATTTAAGCTTGGTAAGAATTTACACAAAACCCAAAGGACAGCTGCCTGACTACAACGCACCAGTTATTTTGAGATCTGCTTCACACACCATTGAGGATTTTTGCAATAAATTGCACAAGACTTTAATCAAGGAATTCAAGTAGTAAGTTGAAATAACATTTTATCGAATAAATGGAATTTTCTATCAATAATGGGATCCTTTTTGGAATCTTTTATTATCGGATCGGTCGTAAAATACGGTATATCAGATTCTATAGAAGTTTCACAAAGCCATCTTGTAGCAACCTAAGGATATTTAAACAACATAAAGCTTCTGAGAACGATGAACTACAGAGTAAGATACGGAATAAAAGGAAGTTAGGGAGTATGAAACAACGTACTTATCTTACAGGCGAGTAGTTCATAATCTTCGTCTTAGTCATTATTAGTTGTTGCTAGTAGTGTCTGGCTAACGAATTTAACATAGATAGCTGTTAATGAACACTAGAATCTTCTGGATGATGGCTTCGGTAGTTTTCCAAGTTTCTGCTCCATAGAGTAGAACTGCCTTTGCATTTGTATAGGAAATTCTGACTTTGGTGTTTGTTTATAGTTGTTTTGAGTTTAAGACGTTCTTCAGTTGTAGAAATGCTATCCTTGCCTTGCCGATCCGCCCTTTCACACCTACATCAACTTCACCGTACTCATAAATTTCGCTGCCCAAATATGTAAAGACTTTTACATCTTTCAAAGGTTCACCATCAAGTGTGATCTACTTTGTGCATCCTGACCGTAGCTGCTACCTTGACGTGGTGATCGGGCTTGCCTATCGTGATGATCCAACCGAACTATATTGGCTGGAACATATGCTCCTTTAGGTTCTACCATGCCAGGCAGGTAGATTGGAGAACGATGAGACTAAAAGCAGCTACTGAAGGTCTGAGGGCGAAGTCGTACTGCTGACTGCAGAGGGGTGTGACAACAGTAAGCTGTTTCCCTCGGACAACCAGCATCTGCAGCGAATCTGCCTTCTCGCAAGGAAGGAAGGGTTAGAAAAGGTCGACTCTAAGAATGTCATACCTCACCCTAACTCACGGATTTCCGTCTCCAGTGGTAAGGGTGCCCACTAAGGGTTTTTAAGAGAGGAGCTAATACTGAAAAAACCTTTCATCAAAAGGCCGTGTGTGACTGACCTCAAGCAGTTGACCCCTGGGCTCTGCGGTCACGGACCCAGGTCTCCAAGACCGACACTAATCTGCCTCCCTTTTCAGGTCCCTCAAGAAACAACCTTCTATGGTGTGGGCAGCCGGGAAGTGACAACTGCCCTCATATCCGTAACACCACAAGACAAAATTGGTCAAAATCAAATCCTTCTTACACCCCCTAATATCTCTCTTATCTCTACGACTAACTGTAGTCGCATTCCTTCAGCTCATTGCACAGCTAATGCAAACGATGCGAGTTCACGAAACCTCGTTCCTGGTTTCCTTAAAACCCGTTCCAAACTACATGCTGGAGCATTTAATGTACGGACATTGTGTCAAATAAGGCGGCAGGCATCATTAGCTAGGACTTTAGAATCTTGCGCCATCGATGTATGCTGCGTCTCAGAAACACATATACAGGATCCTAGTAAAATATCTGATTTGATTTCAACTTGTCAAAATAAAGAAGCAGCTCGATGCCCTGATGCTGCTTCCCGGGGTCTCGCTGGTGTAGGTATAGTATTGAGTCGTAGGACTAGATCCCAGTAGATAGTCGCTTGTGCGCTGTCCGACTAAACGGGGCAGTAAGAATTCGAAAAGATAGGGACACTTGTCGTTGCCTCTTCGTCGTATCTGCCTATGCCCCCACTGACTGCAGTTCAGACGAGGTGAAAGATAAGTTTTACAGAAAGCTTTCGGACCTCCTCCAAAATGCTAGGCGCTCCGATGTAGTGATAATGGCTGTTGACTTAAATGCCCAAGTAGGTAGACTCAGTGAGCAGGAGAGATACCTAGGTGGATGTTATGGTGTCGCGGCTCAGAGAACAGACAATGGCGACCGTCTGTTACAAGTATGCTCAGATAACCGCCTATTTCTAGCAAACACTGACTTTAGGCATAAGGAAAACGTCTCTTGACCTGGCGACCTCCAAAGTCGTCTCAACGTTGGACCCAACTAGATCACATCGCCATCAGCCACCGATGGAGGGGTTCGATAGAAGAAGATATATATATATATATATATATATATATATATATATATATATATATGGTGTACATTACATGTAACTTTATTTTTAAATAGAATTCTCTCCTAACTTGACTTTGATGTAGAAATAGGTTGGAAGAAATTTATGGGCGGCCAGGCCAAAACATGGCACAAACCCATGAAGTCACTGACAATTGGACTGAGTCATGTTGGTAGGTGTCGACTACCTTGTTGGCGTCCACGATATTATAGTAATCGATCTGGTGTGGCAACCGTGATTGACATGGCTCAAAACCGTTTGCAATGGTTCAGGTGCATTCATACTTTGCGTTCACTCAAATCCTAACTTTCAGAGTCCCCCATCACCTTTATCTTCTTCTTCTTAAGCTTATTTCACAATATTCTACTTGAATAATATCTTCGAACCCTAATCTCTGATTACTGCTGTTACTTTTACTACCTTTACTACTATGGGATTTGAAGTGACAAATGCATCTCTGTGCTAATGTCGTATGGCAACTTGAAATAATGTATTTACGTACGTAAGTCGGTGCGTAGTTGTTTTTCTATAAGATGTGTTACATTAAACTATGTAGTATGTTTTTACTATACATTACTAAACTTGTATTAGGTAGAAAGTTACGTTTCAAACTTATTTTAACAAGCATCTATAACAAAGGAGTCACTAAGACCGGACTGGTTGCACTGTTATTTTTTATCTGTCGTTTTATAAAAGTGCATCAAATTGAGTATGCTGTTTCCGCATGGATTGCTCAAATACGATGTCTTGTTTAACTGTCTTAACTAGCTTAATTGTCGAATGTCTGACTGCGGGGATTTAGTCATTTCTTACAGTTGGGTTACCAACCTGTACGTACAACATATTATAAAAACATTTGGTAATATGATTGCGAGCGAAATCATGTCGACCAAATCTTACTTACATCCTTATAATTTATGGACTTTATTACCAATTTACACCGATGATTTCTTCTTTGATTCATTTCGGATTTTAAATATCTGCTTAGAAAGAGTTCTTAAATCGTCTAAAATTATGAACTTAGCTTTTTAAAAGGGAAGATGATTGATTTTAATCGAAACTCTACATTTAACTGAATATCATAATTCTTTTCATTTTAATTTTGATACTAAAGTATGTCGATAAAAACAATTTGTAATTAAGAATTTAAATTGTTTTATTGATTATATTCTTTAGAAATATCATTTGTGAGTTTTCAATGAAGTTGTTCCGAAATAATCCTATTACAACAGAATGGTTCTGTCTGAATAATTTAGTTTAATTTGACTATGTTAATTTCTTTTAGCCAAAGAACGTAAATAATTTTGTTTTCGAATTTCTGTAACTTTAAGTATTTTACATACTATATTTTAGTGCTTTGGTTTGGGGTTCTTCGGTAAAGCATCAACCACAGCGTGTGGGTAAAGAACATATGCTTCACGATGAAGATGTAGTACAGATTGTCAAAAAGTAAGTTTATACTGATCGTCTAAAATATATATATCGAAATACAATACATGAAAGAGTGATATTCTCAAGAAATCTTCATCACGTTCTAAGGCTAAAAGTTCACTATACTGATGATAAATAACCAAATTTATGACAACTTCATCTTTTAAAGATACAGGGTATGTATCCAGGTTATTATCAAAATAAGCTTGTTATCTGGCGTCTATAAATAATTGTGTAACAATTAATGTGTAAGGTATACTTAGACTGGAGCTTCATTTCAATGGTTTCACTGTCATTCAGTTAGTCATTTACAACGTCGAACTTCGTACGTACGTATATCAGTTTAAGTTGCCATATCACATTAGCACACGGAGATCGAATTGTCAGTCCAAATCTTATAGTTGTAAAGGCAGCATTAGCGGAAAAGATTATGAATCGAGGATATGATTCCAGAAGTATATCCTAATGGAATCAATTTGAAAAGAGAAAAAAATCTGCCTTCCTTTACAGGTTCCTCAAGAAACACCCACGGTGTGGGCAGTCGGGAAGTGACATTCGCCCTCATGCTCGTAACAACACACGAGACTGAATTGGTCACAATCAAATCCTTCCTACACACCCTGACATCTCTCTTATCTCCATGTCTCACCCTTCTCATATCCCGTTATTAGCTTGCACCACTGATGCAAACGATTTGAGTTCACGAAACGTCATTCCTGGTCTCCTAAAATCTCATTCTAAACTACATGTTGGAGCTTTTGATGTTCGAAACGCGTCAGTAGGAGCATAGAAAGAGGCATCGTCAAGTGTCCTCATGTTTCCGAGTTCTTACTGTTCCATTTAGTCGGACAATGACTTTTTGGATCCAGTCTAACAGAGCTACCTATGCTGTAAAACTTAATCCTATACCTACAGCAGCGAGGCCGCTGGAAGCAGTAGCAGGGCTTTTAGATACACAAAGAATAGATTGAGTTGGTTATTTATCAGGACGTGGTGAAGTCAAATTATTGATTCTACTCCGATTCTATATGCGCGTTTCTGATACAATAAAGTCATAGCTAAGGAAGCTTGCCCTATTTGACGCGTTACACCCCTCTGCCGTCAGTAGTACGACTTCGCCCTCAGACCTTCAGTAGCTGCTTTTAGTCTCATCGTTCTCCAATCGACCTGCCTGACACGGTAAAACCTTCAGGAGCCAATATAGCTCGGTTGGATCATCACGATAGGCAAGCCCGATCACCACGTCAAGGTATTAGCTACGGTCTGGTAATGTTTCCACACTCCGGATCTCATAGCTGACGACTGAGCCTTTACTGAAACGTCAATTTCTATTAAAATGGAGGTTGTAAATTCAGTCGTGCAACTAGTTTATTTTCTCTAACTAGTAGTTTGATAATCACATTATAACTAATGTCGGAAATTCGAGTTTTAAATTCGACGCATTTTTACAAGTTTGCTGCCTAAAAAATTCAGTGAGATTTTACCGTTTATGTTTCTTTATTTATCGATATTTACCGAACCTTTAGTATGCATTACTGTTGGTTCACTATAGTTTTGTTTCAACCGCTTATCACTCAGTACGTTGTACATCCTAAAGATCATTATACAATGTCTACTTAGATACTAGTTTACTTTGATCATACATGGACCTTATGCATTTATGTATTATAATTATGTATACTCGATTTTGGTGCGTGAAAATTTAATTAACTTTCAATGTCATGAAAAACTTGTTGCGTATTTATAAACAACACTTGTTTTTCTTTTTGTTTCAGAGTTTGACTGATTCGCTATCCAATTGGTCGCTTTTCTCTGTCTTTCTCTGTAATAAGTTTGATGGACAAATAGGTTTCAGTGACATGATTTTGACAAGTGCCCTATATCACTATTATTGTATTTACAGATTTCTAATAGGTTTTGAATAAAAATGTTTATGGATCAGATTTTTATGTGTTCACTTCTAATAGCGAGACGGTTTAATCGATACTGATGTTTTGCATGTATGAAGGTGCTACAGTGTTTGCTTGTTTGTTTCTTTAGTAAATGTACCAAAACTTCACCATAGTCCTCATTCAAGAATGTTGTTCTCTGGTAAGGTTTCCAATGTATTTTAATTCATTTACTAAAGTTTGAAGATGTCATCTTTGGAATCGAATAACGCAATAACCAAAACTCAGATATACAAATTATTTTGATGTTGACTTTAATGATTCAGGGTTATGCTTATCGTCATTAGATCTCATATTACTGGCCTTGATTTTTGATAGAGTTACACTTGCGTGCTGCTGAGGACTAGGACAGTGTTTTTTATGGTCCTCTGTAGTCCGTAACGCTTACTTTTGTGATTGCTCCTCAATTAGTTCAATAATTTGGGACATAAATTACCTTCAAACTAACCAGTTCTGTTTATTAATTATTGTTATGTTTGATTAGATCAAGGTTACAGTCAAAAGTAACATATAGGTTTTCTTAAATAAATTATGAACGTGGAAATTTTGACATACGACGGTTGGATTAATAATTTTTTTACTAGGTATTGATTAAATTATTCGTCCAGTTATAATCATTTTAGTGCAATAATGTTGTATATTTAAACTGTATGCCATTACAAGGGCTGTTCATCATCTCACTGTCTTCATTAAAGGTCACTCATCGTTGCGAAGAAAAGCTGTCATTTTTGTTTATAGCACCAAAATTTTTCAACAAACAATGCATCTGTTTTAATCAATCTCGCTTTTCAGTAAAAGCAGCGCAGATTTCATCCAACTTATTCTTACTTATTTCTTGTCCTCAATTATTCGTCCCAATTTACTGTAGTCTCAGTAATAATCATCATTATCATATATGGCAATGGATCATGTTTGTTATTATTCAGATCAATGAAGCAGAACGACATACATATCCTCCCCTAATATCGCTTTCAGAACAATTGGAATTTTATCTAACTCAATGATAATGATTTTGTGCTGAAGTTTCCAAATTTTTCACAGGAATTTATAATGTATTTATACTTGCATGTTACTCCTTCAAGTGAAATATGAATAACCGGACTCGGACAAGCATGTGTTTATTTTTGCGAATCCTAGGTTTATTATTCTTTCTTGGAAAAAATGCTAAAAGAGTACTTGTAGACGAAATGATTATATGTTTGAACTTCGACTATTTGCGGTTATTAAAACGCTTATAATTGAAAACCGATGCATTTAGTATTTTGATCAGAATTAAATAACTCATTACACACTACTCTCTCCACCTTAATTGTTGAATTTGAATCTTTACTAGTAAAGTTATTAAATCATTACTACTGAAAAATCTATATCAATTTTATTACCTTGAAACTTGTTTAGTTGTTTGCAGTTGATATCACTCATCTGTTGATTTTCATATAGAACTGATTACAGCGTCCTCAAATTGCATACTCTCGTAAGCATTTTAATTAGTAGTTGCTTAGAGGATGCAATTTATATTCTCAGTTTTGTAACTTTCCTAAAAAATACAATCTATATAGTGAGTTGTCTCTTTTTGACCACTCGAGTCCTAGTATTTGATTATAAATGTCTTCGAAGTACTGATCGCGTATTCTTGGACCGCCGAGTGAGAATTGTTGAAGCTAGACGCACGATGCTAGACAAAATTAGTAAATTGGTTGATTAGATTGTTGGGATGTGTTACATATGTCAAACAACCTCCTACCTTGGTTCGTGATGTTTTATGGCGTAAGAGCATGTTGGAAGAAAGCTAGAGGTGCTCAAAGAAAAACAGGGCATTGGTCCATGGGGCTATTAACTATTGCACTAAACCATGTTGGTAGATTCTGGTTATTTGGTTGAGGTCCGCTCAATTACCGCAATTAGTGGTTTGAGATGTTGAACAACATAATTCAGAATTGATTGTAGTGGCACACATTCGCTCATTCTTTGTCGTTCCTAAGATACTCAGTTTCAAAGTTATTTGATGCCCTGTATTCATCCTCGAATCATATTCTCTATACCTAATGTTTTTTTAAATAATCAATGAGACGGTCATTACTCCCATGAGTTTGGCATTCATCTTGATGTTATGTGGGAATGTGGAGCGATCAACATATATATATCGAATTTTATATTGCTGATGACTGAATATTGTTACTCCTTCATTAATATTTGATGTCTTTTTCTTCATCTACTGCCAGAAATTAAGTACTATGTAGAATTACTTATGTTTTTTTAAAAGATTGAAAGCTGCTGGTAACTAATATTTCCTAATGTGAATCTGGGATCATAGTCAAGTTTTAATAACACTGCCCTTTATTAAATCAAGTTATCTGTTTTTCATTGTATTTTCCACTTCGCACACATTCTTTGAATGACTTTTACTGCAGGTGCTACTTCAATTCAGCAATTTAATGTTTTGGTCATATTTTCAATCTTATGGAATTGTAGCTGCTAGTGTTTACTTTCGATTGAAATATACCGCTCAGTGACATCAGTATTTAGAAATCAACTAATTTATTTTACTTCTGTTTTGGAGATCAAAACATAATGTGCTTTGCTGTTTTCGAACAGGAAACCTGTTGACATCATCACTAGTGTAAAAAATATACTTCGTTTGTTATGGTAAAGGCTATTTAATTTATTAAGAATTCTAATAGAGTTTCACTAAAAATGGACTGTAATAAAACTTTGTCCATATGGATATTGTGTAGTCGATTTTACCGTATGCTTCTTCGGTGATTTACAAATACTGAAAACAATGGTCCTCAAATACTTTCTATCTTCATACAGGTTCTACTGAAATTACATTCTCTTAGCTCTAAGGTTTAGTCGCAACGCTTTCAATGTTAATCTAATTTCATATATATATTAGGGATTTAGATGGGTTTTGTTTCTTGTTTGCTAAGTATATTAGATTTGAACCAAAAGTTGTATAACTTACTACGAACAAATGCTTAATATAATCATACTGTTCGTTCGTATAATGCATTTTGAATCGATTTGATTTTACGCATTGCATCGTCGAAAGATTTTATTACTTAATAAGTTAACCAATAGTAATTAATTTTTAACTGATATATGACACTTTTTCACATTGATTTTCAGCTGTTCTTATGCCACCTTCGCCCGATTTCATATCTAAATCACAAAGAGAAAAATGTTGGAAATCACGTGATGCCTTTTGGGAATGTGTTAATGATATATTGCCGAAAAATTCAGAGCCTGATCAAGATTTGATTAAAAAACATTGTAGCAAACAAAGAAAACTTTATGAAGAAACGTGTCCACCAGTATGGGTTAGTTCACTTTATAGTGTTTAATTTCTCGTATGATAGAAGTAATTAGCTTCATACACTCAGTATAAACACACTGTGTAACGAATTAAACTCAATTCACTTTCCTTTTTAGATACAAGCTAGCTCATAGATGAGTGATAGTTAGAACAGACACAGTTTCCTCGGAAATTGACGTAAATATATGTTCTCTTAGTCCGTTGTATTTTATATTATATGGAAAAGAAAACAATAAAAGAACAATATCGTACTAATAATAACAATAGTTTACTTAATAGAAAATTTAAATAGTACGATTAACTTGTGTACTTCACATTTAAGGAGCGTACACTTTCCGATTCAGTCAAGTAGATCACTGATCCTATGTTATGGTTTGACCATCGTCACGTTTTTCCAATCTATTCTTAAGCTCTAACCCAGATTATTCGTCTTGTAAGTTGTAGGGTTTTCTGACACCTATGACAGACCAACTGAAAAAATTACTGCGGTTCGATGAATTCTGTCACTGCATCTATGTTATTAGCCAGTTTTACTTTTCACTGACCTTCGTTCCTATCTTTACTTTCCTTGTTTTATACCAGTATGTGACTAAAATGTAATCGTGATATTTCCTTAATCTTCGTTGTCATCGATTCACTGTCGTGGTGTGGTGAAATACCGACGTGCGGATCTATAATTTGGATCCTTTAATTTCGACCATTAGGTTACGGTTTCGGTACTGTTATGTTTTTTGGATCAATTGGTTTGATTACAACGCTTCATTTATGCCGGTTACAAAATTCCCGCTTTTGCTAAACTCTTGACTGTTGATCTTCAGCGTAGGCTTGTTAGGAAACTAGGAGTTTGTAGTTAAAAGGACCTGCGTAATATAAACTGGTCAGTGTATCACCGATTCATTGGTTTATCCTTTTATGTAGACTTATCACAAAACTAATACTTATTACGGTTTATTATTTTACCTAACATTTGCTTTTGACGAGAAACCTAGTCAAGGTTGAATTATATTTTAAATGTTTATAAACTTGTAGTTATTAAATTTTTTAACTTAGTCCTTTAGATGCTGAAATGCTGATTCTCTCAATCTTAGTTTCCATCTTAATCAATATTTTAATACTTAGTATACATAGAATAGATAGAAGTGGCTAGTAGTAGAATCCAGGATGCGCGTTTCTTCCTATTTGGGACTTGTCACTAGGATGTACCTAAATCCTAGAGTTGATTTTCACTGTGGGACTTAAACCCAGTACCGTTTGCTTCAAACGCCATCGCGCTATCCACTTAGCTACTGAGTTCAGATAATTGCTCACTTGTGCAACGGGTATGAGGTTTAATTCGATTTGAAATGGTTTGAATTATCTGGCTGTTGATATTTGTTGATAATATATAGGTTCCATATTGCAATGGATGAAAATTAGTTTCGATTCGTAATTTCTCGTTTTACTCAATTAAGACGGAAGTTAGTCTGATCTAGGTTTGAAATCTTTTATTTGTTTGACTTTGCTCGGCAAATATATGAAGGTTCGTTTAAATAGACTGACTGGTTTCCTGTATCTTTGCAAACAGAGTGAGCGTTGTCATATGTCATATTCCACAGTCAATCAAAATGTTACTTCTTAAATAATAAATAATCAAAATAATTATGAGTTATTTATTTTGTGGAAGTTGCTAGTAAATTCAGCTGATGTTTAACTAATGTGATATTTCTTAAAAGGTTCTGTTATTCATTATAATTATCTAGTGATTTTAAGGAAGTTTAATGCATCAAGTATTTATGAGTGATTTTATATTGGCTAGTTTTTCTTTAGCCTTTCTATAGTTTAACCCAGGGTTTTGTGTGTAAACGAAGTTGGTTTTTGAGTATGCTTATTGTCTTACAATAAAATGTAATCTACTCCTGAACTCAAAACACATTTTACGCCATAAAGTGAAATTATCTGAAATTTTTTTATCTAAGTTCCTATACCGAATCAAATCTAAGATTTTTTAGTCTCACGATGAATACAGTGTCTCTTAATCTGAGTCCAAAACGAACAGCTAACACTTTCCGACTTGAGGCAATTAGCGATGCAGCGCTATATTCTTTCTTTATGATTAATCATAACTGTTTTCCTCCTTACATCTTTGTAGTTCTTGAATTATGATCAGTGAAAATATGAAACTTCTCATTAGATTAGTTTTCATCAGTCTATAACCTAAAATAAGCTCGTTGGCGTTGAAATATTTACTTAGTGTCTACTTGTTTCACATGAACACCAAAATTGTGGCTGGTCCTCTTCATTTTTACTTATAGACAGTATTCTGTGATAAGCTAATTTATGATTTAAGCGCATCATATTTTGTAGGATGTGTCTCTTAATTTTTTCACGTCCACAAGAATCGTTGGTTCAGTTTATACGTTTTACTAAGCAAAAAAAATGATTCCAAAATTTTAATTGTTATTGAGTAATCAGCGTTACTCATGAAGGGTGATTCTTCTCAATATACATTTGAAGGACAACTTTTTAGACATTGATAGATGTATGATTTATTCATTGCAGTAGTATTCAGACCTTAGACAACCATACAGACTCCATGAGTTGCTTTTGTTTTCAAAGTGATATTAATAAATGATGGTGTTTTTATTAAATAATAGTTCTATGTTTTATATTAACCACATTACATACTACTGAATACAAACAATATCACTATTTTTTCTGAATATGTACGTTATCAAGCTAATACTGTGGTATTAAACAGCCTAAGCTTATGTAATCATCAATCTGTTAGTTCATATCTTTTGATATAAGTAGTGATCCGCAAAAGTAACTAGTTAGCTAAAGGTGGAATGCGCTGCTTGTCATAGTCATAGTGAATAACTGGTATTATATTTTATCTTATAAATTGTGAATATCTGAATTTCAACCAAGTATATTGAGGTGAACTTGTACAATGTTTGTAAGTCCTAGAATATAACAAAAGTAAATGCTTGATAATCTACAGTTCTTAGTCTTTATTCAGGTGATGTTAATTCATAGAGCATAATTAGTGCATTAATAAAAGTAGTAAATATTTCAACTTTCTTTTTTGATTCATTTTTTTGTTCTTCTGAAATCATCAAACACGTATAATAGCATTTCTTAATAGCAAAAACTATGATTTAAATTAAGTTCATATATATAAAGTTTAGATTCTTTACACTTGATTCATAGCTTCATAAGTTCTCTTATTAATAATCGGACTGTATTATTGTACGCATACTTTTTCTTCATACTGTTTTTCTAAACGTTTTTCTTAGGTCAGTTTATTCGATAAGAAAAAAGATTTTGAACTGTTCAAGGCTCAGAAATTCGAGGAGCAGTTGATAGAAAATGCTAGATCACAGAGTTAGTGTTTATAAGCAGCATGTGATTTAGTGTATAAATGAAACTAATTTATTTCAGATTTCAATAACTGTAAAATAAAAGTAATTTCAATTATTCGCATTGTTTTTCTCGTATTACATAAATGAAATCCAAATTAAATTTGATAACATGGTGTTGTAGATTCATTACCCGAATGACAAGTTATCAAGTTATCGTTTAATATAAGATATGATGGTAATAGGAACATACGTTAAATAACGAGTTTCGCTTTACCGATGTACTCTAAAGGTTATGGATCCTCACTACAACTTGGGGATATAATGCGTCAGAGGCTTCGTCATTGCCAAAATATATCTTGCATTATTTGTGCAGTCTAAATGTAGGGTTCGTCACTAGGGTACGCTTGAAGCTATTACGAGTTCACCTTAGTCGATAAACGCGAACGAGACAATTACCAGCGTCCAGATAGGCTACCTTGAATCACAAGCTGAAGATAGAAGGCTCTGTAAGCGTAGAAAGTATATTCTACAAACACCCAGCAATCACAATACAATCAAGCACACAACTCTCGTTTATGTATACATCATAGAAACGTCCTTGGGACAGTGACGAAAATAGTGCACTAAAATACACAGCAGCCAATCACAGCCATGGATTTTCCTGTTGGGAAATGAAATCTCAAGGTCAACTGATCAGCTCACGCTCACAAACGTGAAATCCAAGATAAGTCATTTATCAAGCGAGTTTTGGGGATCTAACATCCCCAACACTAAATTACTAAAAATATCTCATAAATATATTTACTACTCCACATACGTATTAAAAGAAAAGAAAGGCCTGTCCATCCCTTGTTACACATTTTAGCTATCTGCTGACCATGTTTCAAGTGCAGTTGTACTCAAGCTAAAGATATTTTTACTAGCTTCTCAATAATCAATAGACAATAACTTTTTACCCTACATTCACTAGTTTCAGTCAGTTGGAATGCACTAAACTGTATTTGACCCCTGTATATAAAATGAAACAGTCGTCTATCTAATAATTTCTGATTACAACAACTAATGTTCTTTGAAAATATATTGATTTCTATCGGGACCTTGTATAATTATTTATCTTTGATTGAAATCTAGACTGATCAATGTTAAACCACCATTGGAGATCTGGAAGCACTGGATGGCCATCCATCCTAGTATGGAACTTAGCAAAACGCACCGATGACCCCGGAACGGGAACCAAACCGAGGCGGTGGTCTAACACTGATCAGTTCACGATTTCAATCAAAATCAGCAATCTCCTCAACCATATGCTGGCAGTTACCATGTGCTCATGGGTGACTAGCTTCGCGATGAAATTCTCGAAGTTCTAGTGAGAAAACGTAACCAGTGGAGTTCAAGCGTGTCGACTAAGATAGTCATACACCGAGAACAATGGATCGTGGTCGCACAATATTGTGGATTGATCCAAGTTAGACATTGACATTATCGAGTTCCGGTTCAGGGATCTAAGGGCTAAGTGTTCTTTCGCGAAACTGGTGGTCCTAGGTTCTCTTTCTGCTCATGGGGTCATGAGTACGCACTGCTGATGAGTCATTTACTACAGTGAAACAGCTTCCCAGTGCTTCTAGGTCTCTAACATTGATCAGTTCGTGATTCCCACCAAAGTTAAAAATCTCCATAACCGTATTTTTTTCTTTATTGAATAACAGAAATTTCGCTAGTATTATGAAAACCATTAAGGGCATTGTTTTATATGTTGTAAAATCTCTGGAAACATTTATGACTGTAAAGGATGGTGGTTGTGCAAACTTCCTAAACTGTTTTATGAGTACAGAATATCTTCTCACGACATATAGTCTGTTTTGGGACTCTGTTGATATTATTGCCCTCTGTTATTGACGTTTAGTTCATGCGACTGGATTCAAAAATGATCACTTATTATTTAGGAGGGAAAAATGGTAAGTTGAACCAGTCAGACATAAGCCAAGTAACAACTGAGAGATGCTGACGGGTGCACACTATTGGTGCAGATTTTGCTTAACTTTCTGAGAAAATAGACACGCTGCTGGTTGGAAATGCGGTTTTAGTTTCTGAGTAACATGAATCTACCTCCATGAATAAGCAATATTTATATTTTCATTTCAACTGCACAACACAAGGTTCCTACTTTTGATTTTCTCATTAAGGTAGATGTTTCAGGCACACACATATTTGAGGCGTAAACATTAGCATGAGATTCAGGGTATCACGAAGAATAATACATCGTAACAACAGTTAGGCTATCTTAGGTAAAATAAACCTCCTTTTTCTGGTGTTTTTTCGAGCTATCAGCGTTGATTATAGACAGTTTAAATAATAACTCAAATAATGTATAATGTTCTACTTAATTAATCCAAAACCTGAAGAGAAAATGCTCACGATTCTGGAACATGAAACAAATGTCCATTAATTCGTAAACTACAGACAGTCACATTGTAAAATGATACAGAATAAAAGTGATGTAACTGAAGAAAGTGATTATTAATTATCACTTCAACTGCTTGGTAGTCAGTCAATTACTGTTTAGATCCACTTCAATTATCTTAGTTATATAACTGAATTACATTGCAATGATGCCATATATTATTTAAACTCATGGTCACTTTTGGTTATCTCTTTTAATGCTAGACAATACCAAGAAAAGTAGCGATAATGTGATCATGGAATTTAGCTTTTGGTGAATAAAAAGAACATTTAAGTAATATAGACGAAGATTAGATGCTATCCGTTATTTACTTCTATTCTAGCCATAAGGAGTAATTTATCAAACAAACTCTAATTTTCTCTACAACCTTATCTTTTAAACCGAGCGTTAAGACAGTTAGCGAGAGAAATTAACAGTATTCCTCTAATTCTGCCCCTCCACTCTCAAAAACAAAAGAAAAACTTGATCCCAGTTACACATTACTAATTCTACATTCAGTGAGTAGTAATAGTAGCAAAAAATTACTAAATAACTGTTATATCTATAATATATAAACGTATAGGTTGATAGATTTAATTAAATTCCCAATAGTCAAGTTATGATTATGAGACCAATTACAGAAAGTTAATTGTCATTGATAATTTTGCTTTTCAGCTTTAAGATCTGTTTTCACAATAGAAAAAAAAACGCTCATTATATGTATACGATAATAATGAATAAGTAGTATTCTTCGAATTTAAAGAGAAGTATATATTCAAAACTTAAAAGAATATATGATTGAAAATAAACTGATCTGTATGAGATGATGCATGAAAGTAATGAAATAGTAAGTAAGATGATGGATAGTAACTATGTGTAGTTCAAAACAATTATCTCTCTTGAGCGTCATAAAATGCTTTCATTACCGATAAAAGAAAAAAACAATTCAAAATAATGATTCGTTTGATTTGTATAATTCATAATATTAATAAAGAAATCAATGATCAGCATACAATTTTATAACCGACAATCAGTTATTATCTGTCAGCAGGGTTCAAGTTAATTGAATGAATTAACATTTCAGTAATAATAAAATAATTTTATATATATTTATTTATATATATATATCTTATCTTACGTTTGTAAGAATTCATAATACGTGTGTTATATGAGAATAAATGTAATTCTTAAGTAAACATATAATTTTACTAAAAATGAAATCTCTGCAAAAAAATACTGAATCATGAAAGAGAAAATGATAAAGGATTATCTATATCTAATATTGACTGAATAAAGTCCAGTTTCGTTTCTGTTAACTGGTTGATGTTTGTTCTGATAATTCTTTATACAAGGCTACAGTGAATATTGTTGGGATAGAGGGAGGGTACAAATTTACACAAGACAGATTAGTAGTAATTAATGTTACAATCTGCTTTTCATTCCTGTCGTCGTCAATTGTTGCCACCGCTGTAAATACCAGAGAATTCTGTTGATAAAAGCACTTCGTAAGATTATTTTGAATCATATACACCCAAAATAGTACATGAAGTGTATTGATGCTGTTGTTTAAACAGGTAGTGAGAATAGAATCAACGATGAATTAAAAGTAAGATATTGTTTATTTTGAAATAAAAATCAAGCAAGTAGTGTGAATGTGTCTAATCTATGCCGTACTTTCTACAGTTCTGTTGATAATTGTAGACTGATCAAATCCCAATATTATTTTGTTTCCCGAGAAAAACAGTTTATTGCGAATTCATCAAAGTACTGGAAAAATTATAATCCTTTGCTTTTGTAGTGTCCCTTTATGATAAACTATTTTCCAAAGATCTATTTACTGTAAAAAATTTATTGTATACGGTGAGTGAAAATTCTGTACGTCAAGTTTGTTTTTCGCTTTATATGGATATACATACACATATAAATGGTTGGCAAAAATTGTAAGTAATGAAAGAAAGGAAAATAACAATTCACAACGGTCTATGAAGATTAGTACACGTGTATGTGAACTGAAGGAGGAGATGACAGTGTTTTATTGTTTTGTCTCCTTCAACTATTACATTTTACTAAAGAATCCTGGTTTCGGAATGCCACTTAGGCTGCCTGTTATTGTGCCAAGTATCGATCGCGTTGGACTACTTCCTAAATCAGGTCGAACAGCCTGAGCAGTTTCTTCCATCTACAGGAGAAATAGTGAAAAATCTGATAGAACACAAAAAAAAGTTGATGACAAAATCCAAATTCACTTAAACATAATCATATCAATTTTTTTTCCTAGGATTTATCATAAAATTCCTTTTAAAAAATAAGTTTGAATATTGTAAATAATACTTTTTAATGGTTTTACTGGTTTTAAAGACTTGTTAATAATTTTGTCACGCAATATTAATCATGACAGTTATGTATTTGGAAGCTTTTGTTTTTCTAGTTGAAAGCAATAGTTTGATATTGCTTGATTATTACACAACATAAATAATATTGTCAGTGAAAGAAGTTGGATGATACACGTTTATAATGAAAAGAGTATATTGTGGTGAGTCGGAGGAGTTGCTGTAACTTTGATAAATAAATTAGTAGTTTTAAAATAAATCAATTGTATTATGTAGGTGCAGAGTTTCGATTGGATACCATTCGATTTCTACTTAGTTATTAATCTATCTATATTATTATCTAATGATGCTTTAAAGTGTCTATTTTTTGATTTTTTTTTTATATATCGATGCAACAAACGTTAAATTTATTATATTCTAAAATAATAAGGTATGAAATAGTTTCTATTGATAGATCATTGAATATTTATCAACGCTAATGTTTACTGTTGACCGATCTTAATTGTTTACTTAACGTTATACTGGAAATAAGATGAACTTATCAAGTCTCTTGGAATTTAACTAAAAGCATATTATGTGCTACATTGTCTTCAATATTTTTTCAAAGCTAAATATTTATAATTTAAACATTAACTTTTAAGAAAAAAAACCCTGAATATCACAAGAATTAATCATCAAACTTAGAATACAGTAATAGCATTAGACAAGTGAGTATTATCTAGTAAAAACAATTTAAACTGAGAAATTAAATAACTAAAATAATGAGAATATGACTTGACATACTTGAAGTCTTTGCATAATTGTTTTGTAAGCCATTGTATCCAATGCATCTGGGCTTATACCTTGAAGTTCAAAATCGGAATACATTTTCTGAAAGTGTAATAATATTACGAATGAAAGAAATATAAGTGAATCTCAAAAAATATATTCAATTTAACATATAATTATTTACAAACACAAATAGTCAATACAAAATCACATTACAAACTATTTCATAAAATGATGCTACTTAAAAAATTGATAGCATGAAAATTTCCATTATATAGTTTTCTTTATCATTCAAGTGATGTCCTAGACAAACTCATTAGTGTCGTTTATCAAGTTACTTCAAGATGGTCTTCCTCTACAGCCTAATGAGAAACAATGACCTGTTGAAATTAACTAACATAAAAATAGAGATGTACACAAATCATTCACACTAAGTGATAGACATAGTGTATGACTAATTGAATGAGGCTTGATTCCAACATATTAACCCTAAGTTTACAGTAAAACATGAAGTTGGAATAAATAAGTTATTTAGTGCTTAACTGCTTTCTTCAAGTGATAATAATAAAAATAATGAATTATTTGCATTATAGAGTTGTGGAGATTGTTGAGTTGCTTTCAGATCATGAATCGGTCGATGTTAGACCATCGTTAGAAATCTGAAAATATTGGACGGCCGTTTCATCCTGGTATGGGACCCATCAGCATTTCGCATCCACGATTCCCGCTATTCGCAGGAATCGAACCCAGGACCTGATGAGTCCCATACCACGACAAAACGGCCGTCCAGCGCTTCCAGTTGGGAAACGCATTAGTGACAATACTCAGCTGAATGTTTGTGAATTAAATAAATCTTTTTTACGTCAACCATCTGATGTCATGCCTCTTAAATTCACAAGTTTGAAAAAGAGTTGTGTTACAGTTTTCACTATGGCTGGTGTTCGAGGGTCTCCAGTTATTTAACTGGTCGCAATGTTTAGGACCTGACGAGGTCTAAAACGTCCTATTTAAGAAGTATGTTAACGTCCCGTGTCATCCATCCACCAAAATGTTCAGTAACTGCTTCCCAACAAATATTATACCAAAAATATAGAAGATGATAAAGATAATTCCAATTCCAAAGAAAATATCTGGTAATACGAATTTAAAGTTCAGACCTATAGCAATTACTTCACCTTTTCTTAAAATAATGTAAAAACGTTTGCTACGCTAACTTCGACCTACATTAAAAGAGTATATTGATCCGTATTAGTTCGCTTATAAATGTAAAAGTACCTGAAATTCTGTGGTTATCCTACATCGTAATACAGTATTTAGCTTAGAAATGGGTAAGAAGTAAGTTCGATACTCTCAATTCTGCTTTTGAATCTATACCAGGACCATGACTATTAAACAAGCTCGCCCGTGTTAACACGATCAGATAAATAAACAACTAGTTGTGTTCCTACCTCTCTGGAAACGAACAACATATTGTACTTGGATTAAAGTATTCAACATCTTTACTAAGTCCAGATGTTCCTCATGGAGCAATCCCTCTGCTCATTTTTTCTACATGGTCTGCTATCTTCTACAGAAAAAATATTTTAAGTATGCAAGCGACTTATTATGTAAAGAGGCTATATGCTTTTGGCATTACTCGATATTTAATTTTACGCTCTGTAAACTCTTGCATATTACCGATTCTCCTTTACTGTTCCCTATTATTCTTCACCAGACTTTTGAGAAAAGTCTTTATCGTGTTTCAGTGAGTGCTGAAGGTGGTTAGCAGAGCTTGTGGTGAATCTTTTGCAGTCATCATGAATATGGTGGTGGATAGACAATGTAAAGCTTGTAAACTCCTGTACAGTGTTATTTTATCTAATACGAACCATCCACTCAATTTTACATCTTTCTCCTTTTATATCTTTCGATAGAACAAGATGACGATACATTAGAATCCGTGTAGGCAGTCAAAAGAATAAAAGCTCTGCGTTATCTAATTTAGAAAAGATATTATACGACGAACAAGTGATAAGAGCTGACCTAGTGAAGAACGTATATTACTAAATATGTTCCTAATTAAAAATAATTGTATAGATTCTCATCAAATTAAAGAAAAACAGATAGTGCACATGAAGTACGGCTAGAAGTCACGTAAATGTTGGTGACAGATATAATGGTACTTAAAAAATAAATCTTTTGGATGGCATTTTAGGGTCAGATAGTCTATACAGTCGTTTACAAACCTGAAACACGCAAAATCAGATCGATACCAAGCCATATTTACAAATGTAGTTTCACCACTATCAAACGTTTTATTGTTGCACGATGAATCCTGAAACCATGTAGTGATCATAAATAATCACTATGTAAATCATTAAACCAAGATTCTTGAATTGTCGTTACACCATAATTATAGCACATGTGTGTTAGACTTAGAACTAAAGATAATCCACCTTGACTAATAGTAATCTGCTAGCAGTGTCGGAATCGATATCGTACATTCTTTTCAATACAGATTGCCAGCCACAGCAACGTCTCGGATTATACTCTTTTTTGTACCTTACAAAGTAATAAGCTCATAAACGTCTTATGTACGCTCCTGAATACATCATGTGATCGACAGACATAATTGATGTGTTAAAACAAATAAAACGACGTGACTTGTTGAAATTTTTGGATGAAAGGAAGTAAGTAGCCTATATATATATTCAATCAGGCCATTGAAATTTAGTGTGTAAAAAATATTGATAAGTTAGAGTGAACGGTTTTTTTTGATAGTTACTTTTAAACGTGAAATCTATCACAAGTAACAAAGGACTTAAAAAAGTAGTACATTTCTTAGACACAGGAAAGAAATAGAAAAATGTTTCAACCAGTGAAGTTGAGATCTTTCCATCTATGAATTAATCAATAAAAATCACTTGTGAATTTACTGACATCAAAAATTATCTAAATCGAGAAAAGTAAAATGTTATGTTTCATACACAGTGCATAAGGATACTAATGTATTTGGATTCTTGTGAATGTAATTATGTTTATATGAAAAAAACATTGTGGGTTCTGTACAGACAGACATATTGTTAACTTTCACTAAATGTATTTTTTTCAACGTAGGACAACACTGAAGAAGGAATATCAACTAAGTACTAATGGTAATGAAAGACAGATGAATTTCAACACGACTAAATTAATATTTATTCATAAAATGTAAACTTTTCACACTGGAATAAGAATTAGTGGTTGATGTTATGAGCGTATGCAAGGTAATCGACTATACAATGCGATATTGTTTACGGTGCAAATTTTTAAATATTTTAAAATAGGTTGTACATTGTTAGGTTGCTGATTGAAAATGATTAGTGAATCAGTTTGAGTAATGAAGAATAATAAGCATAAAATAGTGGTAATATGCCGTAAATAATAAACAGTTCGACAAATGATGATGTTAGTGTTAAAAGGTGTGACTGTTAGCATATGTTAGCATATGTCCATCATCAGTAGTTTGCTTCGATAAAGTCATTTGGTTGTATTGATTAAAGTTGGAGAACCTGAATAATTGAAGTTCAGTAATACAGAAATACAAACACTATCTAACAGTTGAGGATTTATTTAACACGTTAGGGGCTATCTAGACTTAGTAGTTCAAAAGATAACGTGCTAGGCAACCGAAGTAAAAGGTAATGGATTCGAGTCTTAGTGTGAACATCAAAATCGATATGCAAGCATATCTAATTGATGAATGAGTATCAGATATGAAAATATGCGTGTATCACATTTGAACAAATAAGCATTTAAAATGAGGTTAAATGAATCCTTATGCTAATAACTTATTAAATTGTATGTATCCATTATGTGTACAAATAATATTGTAATTTATGAAAAAACAAAATTATTCATGTGTTGAACTTCTTGAGATTAATCGATAAGAAATCCCACTTGACCTATATTCGAGTTTGGCAGTATCTGCTAACACAGTTGGCTTATATCAGCGTTATCATTAGCATGAGAACTTTACATAAAAGGTTACGGTTCTAGCAGTTCTAACAGTACAATAAAAGAAAATCAACAGATATGAAAATAAATTTAAGTATTACAAGGATAAGACTAAAAACGTGAATTTCTATTTATCAAGATAATTTGATTTTGAGTTTTATCACGTAGGTTATCTAACCACCGATTTTAACACATTCACATAGTCCTTATCAAACCAATGTTAATTATCAATAAAGTAGGATTATATTGTAGTGTGAATACGTTCGACTTTTTTAAAACAACTTGTTAATACTTCAATAGGGACCATGTACATCAATGATGATATGGTCCAGTCATCACGATAAAGGCAAATTATCAGTTAATTAATTTATCTTAATTGTTAATAAATTTTCCAGTTTACATTAGCAATTAAAAATGATGAATTAATAGTGAACGACTAAAATAAATTAACAATTATTGTACAGAATGAACAGAAGGGTAGGATCAGTGTTGTTACTGGCAACTCTGCATATTACAACTAACCACTATAATTTTGTGATATAGTTTCTCTGAAATATATTTTGTAGATGTGAAAATTTTCGAAAATACAGTACTTACATTTAGAAATTATTTCCCATATTTATATATTAACATGCACTTCAAGAAGAAAAAATGTCAATATCACACATTGACATCATTTTTGATTAAGATATCTAGGTTTCTAGAGATTGTTCGTTAATAAATTCATATTTTCATCATAAATAGACATGAGCAATCGAACTTTTGAAAATTAACTAGGGACACACGATAAACAGTTGCTTTAATCTTGTTCAAAATATATATGCTAACTTGCAAAAATACATAAGAATCCTGGATTTCTGTTCTATCGACAGTATGTGTTTCTTGTTTTTATGAAATAGATTGTTATTAAAAAGTCTTATGTTGTGGTTTCCCTTTTTCAAAGGTTTATGCTTCTGTTCCTTAACACTATCTAATATTGTTTCTCTTCTAACATTGACAGCTATTAATCTTTTACTAAGCTTTTAGAATACTCATTAAAATTTTTTAGAATATATATTAAATACAAAAATTGTAACAGTAATCAAGAATGTCTCTGTTGTCTACCGATATAAATAAATGATTTATCAGAAAAGAAACGAGATAAATATAAACATTCTATTCTGTTAGCTTGACCTTTCATTAAAAAGTGTTATTTAGGTTCATAGATCGAAATTCAAAAAAGAGAAGGAGGAACATCCTTGTCACTTACCAAGCTAATTAATCATAATTGCTAGAGATGAAGTTTTAAATTGACTAATTTCCATATAACAGTTGAGGTCAGATCTTAAATGATTGGACAATGGATGAACTACAACTTTATTCCTCTGTATTGCATGTGATACTTGATTGTCTTTAGTTTTTGTTCATATTCTGTGTATGAGCCTGTTATTTCGTTATGTGAAAAATCTAGTCATTTGAGCAACAGTCTTGTTTAGAGTTCTTAAATATTAATCGGCTCAAGTCAATTATATGGTCTTGTAACTAGCTATCACTCGGTTACATCAGATCATAGCACTGATCAGTCGATTTAGTATTCTATTCATTGAAACTGAAAAATTCGTCTCATCGAAATAATACAATACTTGAAATTTTATACACTGTGGTAATATAGAAGTTTGTTGGTGCAAGCAGTGTGCATAACAAAATATATCGATAAAATTAATGATCTCTATAAGAAACAAAGTATTCATCAATTTTATTCGATCACAAAAATTGGTTTTTACTTACTTTTATAATGGTAGAAAGACATGTGAATTGATAAGGACTTAAAGCATTTCCTTTACGTTCAATAAGCCAATCATTGATCATTCTCGTTTGTGTCATATACCATGTCTGTTTAAGATAAAATAGAATAAAACATTGAGATATTATTTTTTATAATAAAGAGTTATCATGCAATATATTCGGCAAACAGCTTACAATCATTTTGAAAAGAAAAACCCATAATGTTCATAATAATTAATTTTAATCTGACAATAAGATTTCTGCTTCCCCTTTAAACAACACTCAATAGAATAAAGCTATAAATAGGAAGCAATCCAGAAGTAAAAGCGAATTCATAATCTCTATATCAACTAGAAATTGTTTAAATGTATAAAACACATGAAAAGCATAATAATGTTATCTAGAGGTTTAAAATAATAATTGTTTTAGTAGATTTACAGTTGTAACAAAATGATCTTCACTTTCTAGATCAAAAAATAACTTATCGGCTGTGTTCTGACCTCACTAGAATCATGCCATTCTTTGGATTGTAATCTCAAAAAGAAACATGGAACTAAATGTACTCAAAGCACCAATGTTTGGTACAGATACAAACACATAGGATAGTAAAACAGAATATTTTCAAAGTAACTGCTACATGGTTTCATTGTATAATTCATTGGATAGGGAACTTATTTACAAGCTGATATATATTTCTTACTACCAAGAATTATTGTATACTCTTACCCCATTGAGTGCTACATTTAAACTTCCTAAAGAAAATAAAAGTGTAAATTCTAAAGTGGTCATCGCTTCGAAACATCCGTATTTATAGTTAATCGATAGGTAATAATACGCTAATCTTTAGTATACCTATGCAGCAACAATAGGTTATCAGTGGTAGGTGGTTGTGTATATTGTTGAGTTTAACAGTTTGTATAAAGAACTGATCATACCTAAACAACCTCTGAAAACCTCGAAGCACTGGACAGTCTTTTCATCATAGTAGAATGCATCTACGATTCCATCAGAGACCGAACCGAGAAAATAGAGGCCTCGAATAGTACTGATAATGATGATAATAATAGGCGAAGTTTTATGAAAAGAAAAATTCAATTAGAAAAAATAATCTGTAATTATTCCATGAACTAATTAACCTAGATTCTTCTCCATATTACATTTATTATTATTATTATTTCTGGTCTTAATCATATTTTAACCTCTATATTTATACTTTAATGCCATATACAATTATAGTTAACGATAGATAGTTATTTGTTGCCCTCTTTATTATAAATATTTTAACTACAACTGTCCCTCATTTCTGTACTTTATTTTATTTTGGTCTTGACAAAAAATGAATGTTATGCGAGAGATAATAGAAATGGCAGCACTGAATACATTTTCGTGTAATCAAGAATTTAAAAAAGAGCTAAGCATAATCATAACAAGGCATTATACGATGATCATTCTAAATAGGATTTGAGGAGGGAAAGTTCATCAAGCTCATGACTGTGCATATGTTTACATTTTAATCTGAATAGGTTTTTAAGATATGTGAAGCAACTCTTATACTATTGTTACGTTGTGTGAGATTATAGTCAGTTTCTTTTATCAATTTATGAGTTATAGTACATATACACTAAAGATGAGACATCATTAAATATCATGTCATATTTTCTTTTTTATGCACATTTGAATAATTGTGACACATCGCATTTCTCTCGAATGGATTTTGTGTGTACAGAAAAAGTACAGTTTAATTTTATTCATGATAATATATTCATTCTTGAGAACAATAGAAAGCATACAAAAATGAAACATAAGAAATAATGAAGTATGAGAAAAAGTCTAATTTCTTTTCTACAAAAATTAAAAAAACAAAACAAACAGGCTTATTAATTGAAGTGATATCGATACTTATTTGGTAAATGAATTTTGCAACTAAGTGATTTGATTTACTGAAGTGGTTACTTGAAATTCACTAAATCAATTGATTACTTTCATTCCGCTTCAATAATCCTTGTTGTTTTGCAAAAAATGATAAGCATCAAATTGAGAAAAGAAAATGCTTTAAATATTCGTTAGTGTATCTAAATAAGCAAAGTTAAATTTCATTCAATTTTTTATTATTTACACAAAAATGAAATCGTTTATTGACAATTGTTTTACTTATCTACATATATATATATATATACCTTATTGCATGTAACAGACTGAAAACCTAAATGATTAAGCTGTGATCATCTATGTCCTAGGTCATTCCACTCACCAGCGTATCATAAAAGAGAAGTTCAAGAAAATAAGAGAAAAAGTATGTTTATAAATTTAATTAAAGTTAAATGAAAAGGACTTAACCTACTCTCAAAATGTTAATGAAATAAAATGAATTCAGGTTTAGTAGGGATAATATTAAAACAAAATTTAAAAAGCCTAATACAGTAAAGAAATTTGATCCTCTAATCTGATCGCTTGTGAATGACGTAAACTTCCTCTTAATATATATAGAAGGAAGGAAGCAAAACTTACTTCCATAATTGACAAAATGTACAGTTCATCTGAGACCTTTTGTCGCATTTGTTCTAAATTGACTCGAAGAAATTCAACATATGCCTTGCCAATTTCATCCGTAGGTTTCTTTGAAAAACACACAGAGAAAAAAAAACGAATTAGAAAATAACTAGGCGAATAACAATATCTTCTGTTTTTAATCTTTTAGCATGGTCATACAAAACAACTTTAAAAAATTAAAAAAAACATTACCATTATTGAGTGATAAATAAATTTAGATTTGAAAATATTATGCGACAGTATTGTAGATGGAGCTGTGAATTAAACAGATACACTTATCTCTAAGTCACTGTCTTATTTGAAGTAATGTTTAAAAGCTCATGTTAAAAGGAATACCAAAGAAGCCCTGAAAACTTATTAACCGTTTCTTGTAAGCAAACAGACATTAGGCAGTCAAACGAGATAAATAAAATGTACCATTTTGTTTAGCTTTCAGGTTTAGTGATTTATTTTAAAAAATTAGATCACCACTAATGTGATTTAATATTAGCAAATATGTTAGAATGTTTTTTCAAGTGTAATCAGAGGCTATGACTATGTACTATCATAGAAAACCTATAAAATTATCCAGGAAGAAGAGGATTCACATATTGACAATTCATTAAAAACTTGATTGATTCATTCAAAATGCAATAATGGAAAATTTTTTTTCTAACTATCAAGTGCGATAAGGCAGTTGTATACGTGCAATTAACTGTTTCATATAAAAGCATTCATTTCAAGTGTTTTCTTCTATTATTCACTGAGCAATCATATCTATTAGTGTATGTAAGTAACTGTAAAGACTATTACTACTAACTAATTTATAAGTATTCTTGAACTCATCTTACAATTCAAATGAAACAATGATTTTACTTCATAGAGTTTTCGTGCTTTACAATCGCTTCAATAATCTTATTCATTTTAAGTTGTTTTTTTTTTAAATTTAGATTAATTTAACTAATAGTGGTGACAAGTAATTCGAATGTACTATTTGAAAAATTCAGTAAAAAATTGAGTATACATATATTTACAATGGTTAAAAGTAGTTCTGAATGGAAAATCTGTTCTTTTTTCAACTGATCAGTTAAAAATCTATCAGCGCAAAATTAAATTCGTAACCAATACACATCAATGAAAAGATATTAAATAATAAACTATTCTATAAACACTGATATCAGAGTAACGGAAATTCATGGAGGCTAATTCTATCGTTTGAGTCAACTACTTTCAAATTATATAAACATTGAAATAAACCTTCCAATTTTAGACTTGTTTGAACGGAAGAACTATGAACTGTAAGTAAATGCACTGATAGTTTAAAATTTTTTCAGATTTTGAATATTGGGCAACATTATGCCTGTCAGCATATTTTCTATCGTTAAAAGAAACGAAAAATAGGTACACTGAGATTCAGGAATCATATATAGGATAAATAGGAATGAATGGTTGGAAAGCTTTCGTGATTTCAATAGAGATGGAAGATATTAACTGTTGAGAAAATTGAATAAGAAGACAGCTTTGAATAACTGAAATGCATATTAAGCATACGTTTATTATTAACCCTTAATTTTCTACCTTTAAATTATTTCAATACAATTACAATGCACTCATGACAAATAAATGATTTTACATAAACAAAATGAAGTGAAATATATTGAATTCTGACTGAGATCGATTGGTCTGTAGTTCATGATGTTATTAACAATCAACATATTACTATTATAGTTAAATTAAATGGAAAAAATCTCTTAACTCTATAGAGGATCCGTAAATATACTTTTAGTTTAAATTAGTAATATTTTGAGAAATGAGAAAATAACTAGGATGTATGTATCCATCATTTTTATCTACTTAGTGGTTTCGGTTAATATCGTATGACAAGAAAAATTACAGTGCGTCGGTATTTAATGAAGAGATAAGTAGTATCACATTTTACTATGACTATTCTAAGTAATAAACACTTGTACATATAATTGAAAAACAACAATATTACTGATTATTTGTTTCGACTCAATAATCACACATGAATAAATAATGTGTACACAAAATAAACCAATATGATGTCTTTATAGTGAAGAAAAACTCTTTGTATTTGTTTATCTAATAGACAGGTAATTAATTATATATTTTCTACTGAATTATGAGGAAGATATTCACAATAACTGAAAGAGATTATGATTAATTTTTATAATAAAACGGTGAAATGTGATTAGTATGTAAAATGTACACAGTGGAAGAATTGTTTTGGATAATGGCTAGAAAAAGAACTTGTCAGGCGGATGTACCCAGTAATCTGAACAACCATTTTGAGATTTGAGCTCAAAATCCAGCTCTTCAAATAACACAACACTATGTACTGAACTAGGGGGTTAAGATAGTCATCAGTGAAAAAATGAAAACATTTATTCGTTAAAGCTTACTTGTAATACTAATACAATTTATTAATATTTGTATAAATTTTGTCATTATGTACGTCACCATTATCATTTTTGAATTAATATATGCACACTGATAGTCGAATTCCAATTACTTATATATAAAAAATTAACAAATATTCTATTAAAAAACAATCATTTCTTTTTGTAATTAAATAATATGATGAATGATAACAACAGTTAGTAAATATGAAATTGAATTATATTTTTTGCAAATACATATATATAGAAGATGGAATAGTATTTGATGAATAGACAACAATGTTCACTATGAAATAATTGATTTTTCAGTGTGTTTCATTGTACTCGATTGTTGAAAAGGGATAATTTCTTTCGGTGTTTTATTCTAATTTATTTTTTTTTTGTTATCTATAAATTCTATGGCATATGGTATGTAAATTATTTAATATAATAGGCAATAGAAATTATATTTCTCTTAATTACCATTATTATTATCGTCAATGTGTATGTAAAAAAAGAAGAAGAAAACACACACAGTCATATGTTCGTCCAAAAAAACAAGTGGAATAAGTGATTTTCTGATGAAAATGGAATAAAATTAAAGAGTAGAAAAAGAAAATCTCAATCTATAAGGACTGTTCGCTGAGAGTTTTCGATTTTGTTTTACAAAAATCAAACTATGAATAATTAGGATGGTACTGATGAGAAAAAAAATGATGATGCGCAATATTTGCATCTTTAAAACTAACAATTATTTTCCCAGTTTACATAGTTCTGTATAATTTGTAGAAATGAAACATTTCACAAAGTTACACTTGAAATGATAAAGCTATTATGGAGCATAGAAACTTGACAAAACCATAGTTTGAGTACATATTGATTGACCTTACAAGTAAGAAAGGAATCCTGAGATTATTTTTTCTTGACCTAATTATGTCGAAAAATATTCAATGAATAATAATACAAGGAAAATAATTTTGTTTTTTTTTGCAATCTTGAAAGTTAAACTCTTTTTGTTTCTAAAAATATATAATTCACTTCTTTGTTCATTTTCCTTTTATAATATTTTTTCATGCAAAGGTCAACATTTCATGACAAGGAATAAACAGAGAAAAAAATAGAAGGAATGCGATAGAGCATCATTTAAAAATGATTTGGAAAGATTCACTTACCATCGTGATATCATTTTTAAGGAAGTAAGTGATAAAGTAGACTGTAAAGTTCAGCAAGAGAAAACAAGTTTAAATTGACGTAAAATAATGAAATTTCCAATATTCATTAAATTGATACACGTATATTAGACAATAGGAGTAAGTGTGTCAAAGATGTTCCACGTATCTGTTATTAGACCACGATTAGAAACCTGGAAGCACTGAACGGTCGTTCGGTTCTGGTATGGGACTCATCTGCAGTACGCATCCACGACACCTGAACCTCGCAGGATTCGAACCCGGGACCTTCGGTATTGTGAGCGAACGCCTAACCATCGGACCATTGGGCCGGCATCAAACGGTGTTAATGATGATTTCAAATGTGTAAAACCACAAACCTCCAAAACTCTGCCCAAAATATCGTAACAGTGCTCACTAGTGACTGGCTTCGTGAGGAAATTCTCGGAGTCCTATTTGAGGAGACGTGATCAATGGAGTTCAACCCTGTCGGGTGAAGGCAGTAACTACCAAAGACAAATCGGTGAGGTCGCGCGAAATCCCTAGATCAATCAGAGTTAGACATTAACACCGTTGGATGCCGGCCCAGTAGTCCGATGGTTAGGCGTTCACGCACAATACCAAAGGTCTCGGGTTCGAATCCTGCGAGGTTCAGGAGTCGTGGATGCGCACTGCAGATGAGTCCCATGCCAGGACGAAACGGCCGTCCAGTGCTTCCAGGTTTCTAATGGTGGTCTAACGATGATTGATTGATGATTTCAAATGTGTAAAAACACAAACCTCCAAAACTCTGCACTAAAAATTATCTGTTATTAAGATTAAAATTAGGTTGGAAATCGCATACAGTAGTTTTGTTAAGTTACTATTTATACTTCAATAGTTGGTATGAATTAAAACTAGTGATTATTCAATTTAGTATTTTATTGTTCACCTCTTTTCTGATGCACGTAATAAGAAATATAAAAGTGCACAAAACATGGCATCAAAAGTAACAACAAGCATAATTATTTAAGATATTTGTGAATTTGAAAAAGTCTAATTCAAAAAGGGCAGAGTTGGAAGGAACCTTGAACTCAGAATATTGAATCCAAATATTTTAATGACAAGGAAGTGTAGATTTTGAAGTTTTTCATATAATTTACATTCTTTATTTAAATTTTTGGTTATTTGAACTATTTCCATTAGCTTAGTACTTCTAGTTAATAACAATTGTAAGCGATTAGTTGTGAGAGAAATATGGTAACAGTAATACATATGAACATAATGTGTTACAATAACATTATCATTAATATGCTACAGAGAAATACGTTTATATGAAGTTAAAACAGACAAAAACAACTGACCGGATGTAGATAAAATTAAATGAAACAATGAGAAAGTAACGACCAATTACTAATAATTGTTGTTACTTTCATTAACAATTTTCACGAAGTAATTAAAACATAATTGCAAACAAAATATATAATCGGAAATGTGAGTTGAGTGTTAGACAGTGCAAGTATATACATTATGGCATTTTATAATGATAAAAATATACCCAATTGAATCTAATTAAGTATTTAAAAGAGATTCCGTAAAATACTCCTTTTTAATTATTTCACTATCATTCACTGGGGAAATTGAATGAGAAACAAGTGTTCCTTATAGATTTTATTATTCCTTCTTTTTTATTGCCGTTTATCAGTACGGCAAAGAATCATAACAATGGAGTGATTTTTTTATTTATTTACTTTATAGAAACTTATTTGGAAAGTTCTTACTTAAAAGCCTTACGGATGAGAATAGGAAGAATTATGACAGCTTTGTTTACTTCGTTGATAATAGATGAAAAGTAAAAGCAATAAATTCTAGGAAAAACACGTGCATCTTTATAAGACAAAAGAATTCACTTGGATGTTTAGATTATTCAGAAAAAGTACATGTTAATTGTCGGTCAGTCAAAACGACATAGAACCTGGTACATACGTACGTCAGTTCAAGCTGCCACATTATATTAGCACAGAGGTGAAATTGTCACTTGGTACCCCATAGTAGTAGAGGTTGTGGCAGTACTATTGGGGATCAAGGATATGATTTGGGAAGTATAATCGCGTGAAACCGATTTGAAAAGAGGAAAGAAGTCGTGAGGAATTAGGAAGATTAGAGTTTGAGGGAAGACAGAATTGATGCACCTGCGCCATTGCAAACGACTTTTAGCCACGTCATTCAAAATCTTCAACCATAGGTTACTAAGTTGTCTACACTTACTGACATGGCTCAGTCCAGTTGTCTGTGACTTCATGGATTTCTACCATGTTTTGGTTTGGCCGCTCCTAGCATTCTTCCAGCATACTCCTACACTAGACAGCATCGCTCGTCCGGCTAGTCGGTGGTTATGCATATATAACACAAGTCGCAACCATCTCAACTGATGGAGATTTATTACTGCTGCACAATAAGCTCGTCTTTTCATTTGCATTTGGACACCTCGCCTACGCGTCAAGTGACGAAAGTTGGCAAAAGTCAATCGAATCCTCTGTATTCGAGCTGAGATTCAGTCAGACCAGGCATCAAGGCTGCTGAGGTAAATATAGTGTACTACTGATGATAATCGTCAGCCATCCAACGTACTTTGAATTTCTAACACTGGGTTATCATTTCCTAAATTGAGAAGAATCCCTACTTTATGAGGAAATTTGGAATTACCATGAGTGAAAGGTCTGGTTAAATAGATCATTATGTAGAAATTAGTAATTTCAGTCACGGTAGTTAATTTGATTGTTCAACAGCCACACATATTCACTTCTTGCTAGTAGCAATAGTTAAGTTACCTAAACAATGCTATCGTAGACAACTCATGTACACTCAGTGGCTCTATTCCTCTCGCTTAATATCTCTGGCCAGAATTATCTCACAATTCATGTGTATCTGCGAACAACTATATGGATGATCGTTTAAACATTTATTAATGAAATCTACCTAACCTTCATCTTACATCTATAGGATTTATGCAAATTAAAGGCACTATCTCTTGATACAATTACATTTTGATTGTAAACCAAGCTTACAGTTTTAAACAATTCAATTATGAAACATTTATATTTGATTATAATTAATTTTTATCAAAAATTTATTAACTTGATTGATTAAATAAAATTATATACACATACAGATTTATACATTATATACTTACAGTTAATGACAGTACTGATGAAAGTAAAGTATTTACATCATAACGAGCTAGTTTCATTAAATTCCCTTCTAATATTTTGCCCATTTTATCATTTAATAGTATTGCCATTTTTCGTTGTACACGTTCCAGGTTAGTTTCTGTTTGATTTTGGTATTCATGCTATTTCGACAGTGAATATAACATATTATATATGAGGATTATAAAAAATATAATGATTTGCATAAAAAAATGTTCCTATACATTCATGATGAGATAATAATATACTACCTTTTACTTATTTAAATAAAACATTGTTGTAAACAATTAAATAACTTTATTTGAGAAAAATTTTCGTTCTAAATTCAATGTATAGATAGACGGATAAACAGAAGGCTAAAACTAAGTGAATATCAAATTGTAATTGAAAATTTGCTTTGATTAAGAAAAAAGGGAAAACAAGAATCATAATTCTAATAGCTGAACATACATCAAAGAATGATGGTAGCTGAGAGAATAGTTTCAAGTCAAAAAAATCTATTCACTACTTCGGAAAAATAGTCAAAATCAGTGTTATTCCAAACCAGTTCAAGTTATATTATCAAATAACATAAGTTAGCATCTTGAATTCGTTAAGATAAGCAATTTCTTGGTTTATGGTTTATGAAATGACATAAACATTGAATGTTGTGGTTGGAGAAAATCAGCAGAAAGCTGTACCATTAGGCTTTATGTTAAATAGCACTTGTATGGTGAATCCGCAACCATGAGGGAATTAACGCTTCAAGTGGAAATTAAATTTGGCGTCACTGACAGAGACTTTCAAACGATTTATAGAAAATCTTAGTAGAGAAAAGTAGACATGAATGTGAACTATCAAACGAATGAAGGAACGTAAATACACAACATGTAGAACGGAAAGAAAAATCAGAAGTCTGTTAATGATGTGCATTAATAAATGTAGAATAATTGTATGATATCAGTATTTGGTAATTCATTACCTAACGTATTTATCAAAAAGAGCATTTTTTTTCGTTGATTCTTTATCAGCATCGACATGGACATTTTTCCCAGCTGAAAACTATCCAAGTTATGTATCTATTACTTCAAACTGAATTGTTAATACAGAACATGACATTACATTATTTATTTATCACAACACTATTTAATGAAGCGAACCATTAATTATGGTGGAGTTTCACTTTCAGTTGGGTGGTTTAGTCGTGGAACTTTCAAAGTGCTCGTGTACGCCATCACCAGCACAAACTTCAGTTTCGAAAACTCCACAAATAAACTATCGAGCTCAAAGAATGGAACTTCACTAAGATCATTTGCCTAAGCAACGAATCTTCCCTATCATCTCAAAAAATGAATGAGATTAATGATGTTGCAGAAAAAAAGTAAAAAATAACAACATCTATAGTTCAATAACACAAAATTTGCAAGTTTAAATTAGCAAGAACAAAACTAACCATATCTTCCCCTTTAGTATCCTTTGTACATAATTTCAATATACTTGCTTTCAGTTCAATGACAGTATTGATCATATTACAACATTCATTAGGTAGTATAAAATCTGTGCCTTTCGATGAACGTTTCAACCATGAATCAAAACAATTCAAATTACTGTTAAAATTAAACAATATAGATAGAACCGATGATTTAATGGTTTTTTACAATACAATATCTACTATTTAGATTGAATAAATAGAAACGCATTCAATTCATATATATTTTATTGTATACTAATCTATGCAATAAAGACGAAACACCCATCTATCTGTCACATGATAAGTATATTGAACGTCGATCGACATAGACCTATATTTATATAAAAGTGAGGGTTAAACAACTAGGAGCATGAAATCATTCAGTGGAGATGCTGAATGCTAAACTCGGCAGTATTGTCGGTCTATAAGATTTTTAGTTGAGTTGAAATATACTCTCGTTTTGACATAGTTGTGTCAAACTAAACGTTGTTTATACAAATGTGTTACCAAAAAACAAATAAAATAAAGGTTGCTATATTAAACCCGATTTGCGAAAAATTCTGTATACCACTAAATCAACTACTGAATACTTAACAGATATTATACGAAAAAACTAAAACATTAAAAAAACTTCTTTATCAAATAATAAACCAGTCATGATTAATTAAACATGTCTATTATTTGGGTTAAAGAGCATGAATGTCAACAATAACAACAACAACGAAAAGGATATTCTCAAAGTAAACAACATAAAGACAATTAACTATATTGATCTTTTACTTAATTTGAATCAAATAACAAGAAGCTGAATTTTTAAAAAGAAGAAGGAATTACAACAAGAACAACAACGTTCTATATTGGTCCATTATTATCATTATTATTGCTACTATTATTACTATTGATAATTAGATGGACAATAATGACTATAATAAACATAAAAACCTCTGATTTTCTTGTACCGCTTACTTCGCTAAAATAAAAGTACAGTATAGATATGTACACACACACACAGACACATAAAAGCGATATAATGATGAAACATAAGTAAAAGATGATTAGATAAATAAATAGATAAGATGATAAAAAGGAACGAGGGTTACTAGAAGCAGTTGTATTTATTGCATACACACAAAAAAATAACTAACATGAATAAGTTCGCCTAATTATTTAATTAAATAAACTGTGTACTTAACCAATTATCTTTGGATATTAATCACACAATATCTCAGTTGATAATAATAATATTAATCCTATTTCCCATGGATAAAAACACAGAGTTCAGTAAATGTACTTAACAATCCAAGGAATTGATAAAGCTTTAATTATCTTCCGTGACTACACAAAGTATTTTATTAACAGAACACTGAGATGTAAAACGATACAGATTATATACAGGCGTATGTAGTGAACAACACTGCATTATAGTTTACTACGAACAGGCATTTAAAAAACAACTTATTTTCAAGTAAGATAAGTATTTATTGAAATAAATTTACCGTTGAGCTGCTGCATCGATCATATCTGCAGCCATCATTTTTAGTCGATTATCCATATGTTCAGCAAATGCTGTATCAGGCCAATGTAATTCTCGAATAAAATTTTGCAAAGCTTCTAATTTCCATAATAATTCACTTGAAGTAACTGGTATGCAAGCTGTTGTTCCGATAGATGCTGGATTTGTGGCAGCTTGTGTTGCAGCATTGGCTGCTGCGGTGGCAGCTGCCATTAAACCACCTGTACGACTTGCAACATTTGCAGCATTAGCTGCACCAGCCGCAGCTGCACTCACCAATGAGCCTACATTGCCTAGAGCACCGACGGTTTCAAGGGCTGATGCTGCAAATCCTGTACTGGTAGATGTTGTACCAGAAGCAGATGAATCAGGACTATTTATACCATTTTGAATGTTTGACTGTCCATCAACACCACCACTAATTGACTGAGCAATTGAAGCTTCCATAAGATCAACATAACGTACAACCAAGGGTGCATATATTTGCGTAAGTTGTTGGTGAAATTTTCCGGATTTTAATGAAGCTGAAACATTAAATAAACAATAATGACAGATATTAAGTAAATATATTATATGATTACTTTTCTGTAAAGTAGCACTAACAATTTTAAGAACAGATAGATTGTAAGAAAGTGATTGCATACTTTGTGGTAATAGCAAGTTGTCTGGAAAAAAAATCTAAGCGATATATTTTGAAAATACTGGTACAACATAAGTACTGTGTTAGATAAAACCATTCACCTACTCCTACGGGTAAAAGGTGTTGTATGCGATGCGCACAATCGTATATACTAAATTGTTTTTCTAAAGCGAATCATCTGCAGGTTTCAAAAAAAAATATGGAATAAATGGTAAAGCTCATATAGGAGTGTTCAAAAATTAATTCGTTCCCGTTTGAGATCATTTCGAAACCAAATAATAATATCAGTTCAAGTCTTGGTTACAGATGAATAACCCAGTGTATAGTATATCAAACGTTTAAGAAGTTATTGATAATAAATAATTTATATTTGAGTTTGAAACTGGAGTGACCATTCTTTAAACATTAGTTATCGTTATAAGCATTTTTGTTAGCTATATCAACCAATTCTTATTTCCGTCAGAAATAACAATTTTAGTGCCATTTGTACTTGAAAAAGTTAGGATAAGTAAATGCATACCCAAAATCATATAAGTTCATAGTGAGTTGGAGCTAAATAAACTAAGCCTTTAGAAGACCGAAATTCGATCGGGAGGGATTTTTTCGATCAAAGGGTTTGATACGTTTTTTATGAGACGTAGTTTTAAAGAACAAAGTACTTAGTCGCTATAACTTTTTGAAAGTAGAATGTAGTTGTCAGCAGAAAAAACTCGGGCGGAAACATGGTTTAGCTTATGGCATATTATATAGACTCTTGTCAAAACCTCACACAGGGGACGTATGAAATTAAACCCATTAAATACTTGACTGGCTTTCGTACAGCATTTGAAAATGTCAAAGAAAAATAAAGCAATAATTTAAACTTTCTGCATTTGGAATCATTAAAATAAATTAAACTAGATGCGATGTCAAGTAGGCTAAAAATTAGCATGTCAATGTTTGAAACGCCGCCAGAAAAAGCATCAGTAGATTATATTCAGACTTAAATAAATCAGCAATTTTGATATTTAGTAGATGACACCTTTAAAAACCTATAAAATATCAAATTATTTAAATAATTCATTGCAAAAAATTTAATTGACGATAAACCATAGATAGAAAAGCTATCTAGTTCAACTTTGGTATCAGTACCTATGAATGGGAAGACGTTTTAATCAGCATTAAACACTTAATAATTATTAGGTAGGAGGGGTTGATTTTTACATTTGTTTAGTATCATATTGTAGTGTATTGCTTGTTTCAACAACGATCATATAGTATTTTTTTTCTACAAATGTCAAATTCTCAGTAGTTTGAATAAAATGGAAACGAACTCGTTGAATATGCAAAACGTTCGATAACTGTTTTCAGTAGGAAACAGATGCACAAAATTAAATACTTCAGTCATATCGAATTACATCATTTTGAGATGGTGGATAAAGGACGCATCACAGTTATTATGGACAAGGAAGAATATATCAAGAAAGCCGTGGAACTACTTCAGGACAGAAGCGTATATAAACCAATCGACAGAAACTCAATAAAAAAGTTGGACAACCAAATCCCAAGCACTCTAAACAGGCTTATCAAAGCAGTACAAATATCAAAACAAGATCAGTGGAGAATGAAATTCAACGGATCAGAAATTCCACGATTCTACGGTAGTCCGAAACTCCACAAACCTAACATTCTAACATCCTTCCCGGGAAGCACGACCTACAACTTATCAAGAGAAATTTAAAGGATATTAAAACATCTGGTGGATGGATCCAACTACTCCATTAAGTCTGCAACACAATTCTTGGATAAACTCAAGGGGATTCAAATCGACAACGATGGAACGACGATATCCTTCGGCGTAACAGCCTTATTCACCTCAATAGCGTCAAGCTTAGCCAAAGAAACTCTTTCCCTTCTCCTCATAAACGAAGCAGATCTGCAAAAATATACAAAGCTTCAGAGTCAAAGTTTGCTTGAACTCATTGATCTATGCTTAACAACCACAGAGTCTACGAACAAAAAAAGGATCACCAGTGAGATCACCAATATCAAGACTCATTGCGGAAGCGGTAATACAGAGACTAGAGGCGTTGATCTTACCAGTGATCAAACCGAAAGTGTGGGTTCGCTATGTAGACGACACATTCGTCATTACCAACAGAAACGATGCGGAGAACATCTACAATCAGATCAACAACGTCTTCGATGACATTAAATTCACGATGGAAAAGGAACCAAATGACAGTCTATAATTCCTGGATATTGTAATCACCAGAACTAACTCAGGAAAACTGGAAACTCAAGTATTTTGGAAGCCTACCCACACAGACGTAATTCTGAACTACGATAGCAACAACCCAATAACCCACAAAATCAACTGCATGCAAAATTTGTTCAAGAGGGCGAAGACACACTGCAGCACATATGAAGCACTAAAAATCGAGGAAAAACATCTTATGACTATCCCTCAAAAGAATGGCTATCCACACAACTTCATCAAGAAACATCCGAAATCATCAACAGAAACCAATAAACGGATCGCCGTAACATACATAAAAGACATATCGGAGCATACTGCACGACTACTGAAACCATTTGGAATGGGTGTGGTACACAAACCAACAGAATCACTTCAATCAATCGTATGTAAACCAAAGGACAAAATGACGACGGAAGAAAAACCAAATATCATCTACAAAATAAATTGCTCAAACTGTGAAAAACACTAGACAGCACAAAGTGGACGACCTCTTCAGCTTCGTTTGCGTGAACACCAATTAGCAGTCAAACGCCAAGACAATTCTTCGCTTATATCAATATACACCGACGATTATGAGCATACATTCTATCGGAACAATGTGGAAATACTGGATAGTGGGAGGAAAAAGAACATCAGAGAATTTTAAGAAGCTTGGCACTCAGGTCAATCAGCAATCAACAAACACATCGACATTGACCCAATTTATCAACCAATCAGAAAAATCATAGGTGACATAGGATCAAGAAATAGATCAAAAGAGGGATACAATCAAAACAAAGGCGAAGACAACGATAGTCTTAAGGTCAACAGCGACTAATCAAGATCTAGGCTAACAGAACAGGCTACGGGTCAAACGTGGAGAAATTAGAATAATTCACTTCTATCTGAAGTTTGCGTTGATGATGTTGTTCAGAATAACAATGAAAGCTTCACAACCGAAACATCCAGCTCAGAGAAGGAAACACCACCACAGTTATTATTTGTAAAATATGGTGTTCAATTATTTCAGTTAGGTACCAGGAAATGAAAAAGTGCATGAGTAGATTAATGATAATATAAGGCGTTGTCTTTTGATTAAGCAATCAGCAATAAAATTTGCAACACATTTATCTGTTAATTTCCTATTAACTCTTCTTTTTTGTGTGTTCATTTTACGTTAAAGTGGTGTGGATAGATTGAGTAGTTCAGAATGACTGTTGACGTATCATTAACATAGAATACTTAAAAATGTCAGAATTAGGAAAATAAATTTGAGTCAACAAAAAACAAAAAATAATCTTTCACAAATCTTTAAAATAGAATCTTTAAATAAATTAATTTTGTTCATTATCAATAATTAATCAAAAATCATGTAAACATAAAGATTGTTTCTTTTCTTTGTGACATAATGAATAGTAAAGTCAATGCTCGTTATATGATTGTTGTGATTAATGTTTGAAAATATTAAAAACCTTCAAAGTTTAATTCAAATAATATTAGCAAACTTTCAACTACAAAACAAATTAATTTATATAACTGAATGGAAATTAGTAGAGAATTCTTAGAGGAGAAATTTTCTATGATATGGATTTGTTTATGGTAATTCAAGTAAATTGACATATAGACCAGACTGACCATCTAGTATAATGTACGAATGATAAACGAAACAACTAGAATTTTCTTTAGCAAATTATACACAGTGTAAATTTGACAAAACTAAAAAAATTCAAGTTTATTCACGACATGAAACTAAATTTCAAAACTGTTATATGCACACTAGATAAAGGTTTTCTACTCCCTAACTACTGGATTAAGCTTTTCCATTTACTAGTGATATATATATATATATATATATATATATATATATATATATATATAAATGAAAGAATAGCCTGTAACACAAAACTCAAATGAACACTGACCTTCTGAATTCAGATAATCATTTAATAGTTGAAATAATGGAAAACTATCCCAACAATCTGGTGGCATTGTTTCTAATACACTGACCATATCGGCTGAGAAAAAATTCCAAAACAATTCTGCATGTTCAGTTAATAAATCTTGAAACCATGAAAATGCCTGAAGAAAAATCATTAAAATAATAATAACAAAAATTATTACAAATATATAATGAATAAACTAAGAGAAGAGAATAGTCACAAAAACTGATTGCCAACAATGTGAATAAAACTACAATTGAAATTTATTATTCATGTCAAAGTGATCAAGACACACACCTCATTCTATGGTAATCGATCATTAGTTTTTAAAGCTGATTATTAATTAATTTTAATAAAGTGATTTCATTATTTAGTAATTCTTAATTTTGTGGAAAAGTAGATTACAAACAACTAAACTTAACTTGTGCTGATAACTAATTATTTTCGTAAAGCGGAAAATGGATATTTACGTGAAAATGTCACATTTTTATTACAAATAAAAGAGATAGTTTTACATTTAATGTATTCAATATACATGATCGTTAATTACTTTTTAATTCATATTTCCACAAAGGAACGAATAGACTCGAAGTAAAAAAGGGAAAATAAAATTAAAAATGGGCACAAATTGTTATAGACTTATTCATTATTATTAAAACAAGTGATTGAAAGCACGTTTTTTGAAAGTCCACAGCTTCTTTTCAACTTGTGTTTATTGACCTTAAAAGAAACTTATAAACATAATCAAATCTTTAGATAAAATTTATCAAAGGTAATAAGTAGAAAGGAAAAACGCGCAATTCAGTGAAAGAGTAAGAGAAATTAATAAAAGATGTATAAGATTTTTTTCAAAGTATTATTCCTATTCATTCATTAACTAGTCTGTGGTAGTTTGAATTTCATATTAAAGTGAACAATAATGGAATTAGTAATGATATTAATAATAATTCTGTTTCGAATGAAATGAAAAAGAAACATAAATTACCGGTAGACATAAGCGTAGATTGGTATCCAGGATGAATTATTCTCTTGTAAAGCATTCGAGTTTTACTAGTTGTTATGTGGAACCGCAATTAAAGTATCTAATATTTTTTTTCTACATTAGATTGAACAACAAATCTCAACAATCTGGTTAACATTATAAAGTTGTCTTTTAGTTCACAATCATAAACAATATATGACTGGTTCTTAAAGTCATGTAGTTGATGTCATACTTTCTCAAGATTGAACGTTTTGTTAATCTTAACTTTTAACAGTGACTACAAACGTTGAGCTCATCATATTTACAACTATGAGTTCGACTGAGAAACAAGAATTGTTGGGTTGCGCTTAAGTTGATAGTTTCTGATTTACCGAACAAACTGAGAATAAGAACTCTAGTCGGTATGAGTGAAAAATGTTGGTTCAGTAATGAAAACAAAAATATGATTTGGTGATATATATATATATATATATATATATATATATATACTACGTACCTCTGCATGGTGTTCTTCATTCTGACGCAGTACCTCTATGCACAATTCCCCTAAGTGAATAAGATCAGCCAAAGTTTTACCTAAGTAGACATAAAAGGGAGGAAGAAATCAATTTGGTTTGAGTATATCCGTCTTATGTAATATTTTTGAAAGCATTTCAAACGTTGAAAAAAACACTACTAATACGTATAAAATACAGAGTTTTAGCTCAAATGAATAGCGTCAAATTCAACATTTTTTAATTTAACCAAATTTTACCCTCGAAAATAAGACGACATTTTCAGTTTAAAGTCCCTTACTTGCCTATGTAGTTTTTGTCAGAACAAATAGTGATTTTATGTATGTTTGTCCATTACCGAAAGTTTAATGACTGATATTGTAATGGACGTCTTCACAGAATGACTAAAATGATTTAGTACTACAAAACAGAAACTGAAGCCTTGATAAAAAGAGAAGATAAAGTATGAATCCAAGATTTCGTTGAAATACGCACTGACAATTTAAAGTAGGCATTTGAAATGTACAGAATATAATAAGTTTTGTATATTAAACACTACAATTAAGAATATTGTTAGATCACATGTGTTGTTTTTATTGTTAGGAAAAAAATAACCACTTTGGGTCTTATTATGTCGGATTAATTTTCTATTGAAAACGTTACTACACATTGAAATCATCACTTAATCGTTGTTAGACCACCATTAGAAACCTAGAAGCACTGGACGGCCGTTTAGTGCTGGTATGTGACTCATCTGCAGTGCGCATCCACGACTCCTGCACCTCGCAGGATTCGAACTCAGGACCTTCGGTCTTGCGCTCAAACGCCTACTCTGGACCACTGGGCTGGCATCATGGAAGCACATTGCTGATGAGTCCCATACCAGGACGAGACGGCCGTCCAGTGCTTCCAGGTTCCTAATAGTGGTCTAACAACGATTAATTGATGATTTGAATGTGTAAAAACACTAATCTCCATAATTCAAAATGAAAAATTTGATTATAATACATATTTAACTGAGAAACACAAAAACTACTTAAAGAGTGTAACTGCAGTTTAAATTAAACAATAAGTAATTTGGAAATGAATAAATAAATTAATTTGAGGATAAATCTGAGACACTTTTTATTGTCTTAAGAAAGAGTTTCAAAAGGAATATTCGTTGTGAAATTTAATCTTAAGAAAATTCTGATGCTAGATAACGTTATTATATTTCAATTGACTTACTGGTAGTTTGGGACTGTTCACCACCTTTGTCTCGACCGCCTGAGATAATGCAAAAAGGGAAAGTAGAAAAATTAAAGCGATATCAGACAGCTTTAAGCTTACAATGACATTATTATTTAGAGATAAAAAAAATAAAGAAATCTATCTGAATAAAAGTGAAAATGTTCACACAAATTAATCGTTCAAAAACTTACTACAACTAGTGAAACAATTAAAAAAGAAATACAAACTATGTTTAAAATATCAAAATAAAACAATCAAAATATTGATATCACTGTTATTAAAAATAAAGCAGAAAAAGGGAAATTTTTGACAGGTTAGTTGAATAACTTGACTTAATAATAGTGAAAATAATTCAATTCTAAATAATCCTCAAAAGATTTCATAAAATCTAATATGTTATGTAGTTGAAATTTCAGAGCCGAAATTCGCGTTTTCTTGGAATTTTTATGAGGAATGTCTATTGGCCTAGTTAGATTAATAAAGCGAATAAACTGGAAACTTAATGTGATACGTATTGATAAACTGAATAAAGGAGTATCCTTTTTATAAATACAAAACAGTGGTTCCCTTTGATAAATTTGAAAACATCTAATGATGAGTGGTCATCAAATTGACCCAAAATCAGCCTTTAGAGTTGTGACATGTTGTCAAAACCCACACACACTCAAACCACTCGAAGCTATCTTGATTGGTAGGAAAAGTCCAACTTTATGTATTCAAAAACAACTGTATGTTGACCTTTGTTTACCATGGTTCTAGTGAGTGAATGTCATGCCAAATAAGAAATTTTGACCTTATCATCAAAACTGTATTTACACGAATAACATGTTGCTTCTATATGACTGACGAGAAAGCACGAAATGGTACTATCTCACAAAATATGTCTTCTCATTTCTCTGTTCAAATTTGAATATAGTTGCTAAACATTTTGTACGCCAAAAAGACTCATAAGACTCACACAATGAATTTACAACAGTGAAGAGGGTTAGGAATTCTTGAAATTATTCCGAGACTTTGTTCCAGTTAGAAATCTATCCACAGTATGTGTAATGGTTAATAATGTGAGAAGTTCCTACAATTTTTATAGGTTTTCATGCTTAAAATAGTGTTTAGGATTACAATTCATGCATACAACTGCATATTACATTTTCCCTCTTCTTAATTTTGTCACTCCAACGCTCCATAAATGCTAAACAATGATATTCGTTTACAACGTAGTTATTAAGTGACTAATAGCCCAATGTATGCTTCAAATTTTGCTCCGAAAAACAGAATTTTTTGTATCTAAAAGCTAGTTCTTATGGTGATGTGGCTAAGCGATTATCACAAAAAAACATCAATGATAACATTAAGTCACTTCTGACGGTACTAATATTGCAACATTAATTTCATTTCCTCTTTTTGTTAATTTATACAAACTAAAATGCTTAACAAATCATAGAATGTTATGGCATTAAAAATAGATTTACACCGAAGAGAACTAATCAGCAGATGAATCGGAGTTTAAATTTTTGTATATAAATTTTCAGGACGACATATACAGAAAAGTTTATGATTACTGTTTGGCTAACTAGCAAAATAATTTCTGATTAAATGCCATTCTATGATATGAGTTATATAACTAAAAATAAGATTGTTTATCTTTAGTATATGATATAATGTTCGGAGGTTATCTGGAAGAATTTCAATGTTAAGCTTATTGTACCAGGTAATTCCAACCTCTTTTATTCATCTAGGAAATGGATGTTTCATATGGGAGTAGGAATTTTATCGAAGATTTTGTTTCGAACATACAATGATTAATAAATTTCCAGTGATAACATGTCTACTAGAGAGCGGTCCAACAAAGATGAGTGAAAATCAATAATACAATAAATGGCTGGTGGTCTTAAAGTAAAATAACATTCTAATATCCATTTGATACTTACTAAATGAACGGAAAACTGATTGAAATCGTTGAACATAACATAGTGATAAGAAAAAATATATAGCAACCAGATAGTGTAATATTTAAATAAAAACCCAATGTGCCCATATCATTATAATTTTTAGTCATCAATGTTTTTTTTTCTAATACACCGAAGACAACTGTTTTTCACCAACTGAAAATACTTAGAAATACTTCGTTAGAGAAAACACTGATCATAGCTTAAATAAAAAAATTCAATTTGCACTCATGTAGCAATGCGATCGATAGTGGTGAATGTCGTACTCCATCTGTAAAAACGTACTACTTGATAGTTGATTCAGTTTGTAAAATAATGCCATTCCAAAATGGTATATAAATTATCAATGAATTAAAATAGAAAACAGTAGGGAAATCTGATATTATTATATTTTATTTCAATAAAAGCCTACGAAAGCTAAATCTACGCAACGGTCTCAAAAAATACTACTTACTATGTATAACGTGATGTAGCATGTGTTTAGCTGAACATTTAGTATTAAAAAATATGTTTAGGAATTGGCTCAGTTCGTCGGATGTTTACAGAATTGACAGTTAAATCAGCCTAGGCGAAAAATTGTAGACAAACTGTGTATTCTCATAAACAGTGGCAACAAGAAACAATGAGCTATCAGATTATATGATAACTTTTGGAAGAGTTAGGCACTGAGTATGGAACATAAACATGATATGTGGCTAAATCATAACAATAAGTCATTCATAATTATTGAAACTGTATTTAAAATAATACATTCTACCCAGATCAATGACAGACACTAGAAGTGGCTAGGCATGTTTAAAAAATTCCATTAAATTTAAATTTGAAAAAGTAGGAAGAGTTCTACGCCTACTTTCAATAGCTGCATATTCGGATATACGAGCATAATTCACCAAGGCAGCCTGTTCCAAACATCGTCTTATCACTTCACGTACTTCATCAGCTGAAGCTGGGGCACCGGTATCTTTCATGAGGACCTAGAAGGATATAAACATTCAAATTACTGATAAGGATAAGTGTCCAAATATTTAGTAAAGTATAATGAGACAGTTTGTCGACAAATCGTTTTTATCAATAAATTCTAATCAGCCATCAATTTAAGATATAACTGAAAAAATGTTATAGTCAGTACAAATATATAGAGAGAAATAATTATAACTGTCAGCATTATATGTCTGCAGAAATGACAGACTACTGATTAATCGCCCTCATGAGAAAGAAAGCAACAAACACATCTTTATCTGTTTGTGTTAGAAATGAAAAAAATCTATGCTTCACTTACTTTGACTTATTTGTACAGCATGTTATAACATAATATGATAGCAACTACACCTAGTGAGTAGCTAATTATATTTTGTTAATTGCACAAAATCACTTAACACTCCTGTGTTTATCACTCTTGCAGATAATTCATCATAAAAATTTGAATAAATCTACCCCAACTGAACATATGCTAATACCATGAGAAATGAACAATCTAACGATTACTACCAAAAATGGATATATTTTAGCAGTATGTTTTCTAATAGTATCGCCACTAACTTAAATCATCTAAACTATGCTTGTATAAAATATCAGGAATAAATGGAGGAAAGTTAATTTTTTATTCATTTGTCATTAAATTAGAAGCCAAAACTACTGAAGCAATGCAGTTTTATTGATACACGCATAAGTAATGTACATTCTTAGACTGGAAGCTAACGTTAAAAACGTTTATGGACCATTTGAGATGAAAAATATTGAATTATGTACCAAAGAAAATTTGTTTGCATATGTGCACATACACTACATATCTATACAACAGTTGAATTATAAGAAAAATTTTCGGTAAATTTGATATATAGCTTATAAAAGTCTATCAACAAAACTTGATTCAATGCCAAAAATAAAATAATAGTAAAAAGATAAGTACTAGTTATACACTTACTCTTTCTAACAATCCCAAAGTTAATTTTAATGCACCTTCTGGACGACCAAAAGGGAAATAATAACGAAATTCTGTAATTTGTTTTTCTAAAAGAGCATAAAGCCGTTGACGTATCCCCATGAACATTTGACGTTCATCAACTAAAACAGTCCGAATATTTGTATCTTGTCTATAAAAAAAAACAAGAAAGAAAACTTACAGAATATTATTTGTTTAATTATTTATTTCTACATTATTAAATAAGTTTGTTTCTAAATAATACTAAAATTAACAAGAGTATCGTATCGGGATGAGCTTTATGAAACAGTCAGAGTCCCTCAAAGGTTAATTAGTCTGAAAATCTAAAACATTACTTACTCAATTACTTATGCTTGTTAACCCTCATGCAGCATAGGCGGCCGACCAGTGTTCTCCAACCTACTCTATTCTGAGCCTTCTTTTCCAAATCTACCTAATTTCTGTCCATTCTTTTCATGCCTGTCTCCGATTCTCGACGTAATGTGTTCTCTAGTCTATCTCGGTGAATTTAAACACTAACCATCATCTTAGAAATTTCAGTTTAAACTCCATTGCATTTATCAATGTTTCACTCATAGATTAGAAGTACAATAAACCGAGAATGCATTAGAAACTAGTTTTTATTAAGTACCAGACTGAATGATGATATATTAGAACTATGGACAACCATTATTTAAACTGAATGGTCAGTCAAATGCATGAAGATAGGACTAATTAGAAAATGGCAACAAAGTAATTAATTGATGATCATGTTACGATTTATTCTTGTAACCTTCGTTATCTTCATTTAATGAATTTATTAATAATAAAAAAACGTTATAAAAACAAATTCAAAATATCCTAAATAAAACTAGGATTTAAATATATATATATATATATATATATATATATATATATATATATATATATGTTAATGTTTACGTGGTCTAAATTGACATAAAATCTTTGTGGTATATGTTAAATTTTCAAATGAATAATTATTTGAAATATAATCATTAAAACTATGAAATACTTACGTATTACCGAATACATGGCAACAACAAAATGCGTAAGAATAATGTATAATCGCTGGATCTATAATTATGCCTTGTTCAGCTCGATCAAGTAAATCATTTAAATACCATAAATGCCTATGACAACCGCGTACACCATAACGTGCACAATATTCATCGAGTATAAACATTTGACTTGGACTAAACCAACCAAGTGATACATATGAATCTTTCATACGATAATCTAATGACTTTGATTGTAACAAAGCAAATAATTCAGCATGATTCACCTTCCATGGTTCAATACTGACAAATTCATCAAGACCATGTTTACGTGCACGATCCACATCTAAATAAGCAATGAAAACAAATTAAAATTCAATGCCAATGGAAGAGAATATGACAGATTGAAAACATAAAACATTAGGATTATAACAACCACCAAAAGTATATACTGTTGATCATATGTAACTTTCTTTATGAATATTTCATGCATAAAAGTTCTATCTGACATGAGAGAAGTCAGAGCAACAAATTCTTACTCGATACCATGGACGTACTAGCTTAGTGAGCCTATTCACTTAATCCTCAAACAGCTATTAATGATTAGTAGTCTACCATCTGTGTAAGTTTTTCATTCTATAAACTGTCAGTTGAATATCAATTGCCTCTTACAATTCTTTTTACTTAAGAAGTGGGATAGGTAACAGGTAAAAAATTTAACCCGTTAGTTCATTCTTCTAATAAAAACCAATCACTTACATAATGTCAGGAGTTTGGATTATAAGAATCAACAGTAAAAAGCAAATTATGTTGTTTCAATCAATTAAGTAGTCCACTTCTTGAAGAAGTTGTATCAACAACATAAATCAGTTAACGGAAACGCGCAACAGCATAGGTTAAAAATAATCTCAAAGATGCAGATAGATTCAGGTTATAACTCCTTTGTAGACAAAGTACAGTTAATTAATTTTTGTCCAATCTATCAATAATATTTTGTTTATTTTTAGTTAGAAATTATGACCACTTAAATCAATTCAATTTTGTATGTTTAGTTAATTATCGGTCTGAAATGAGACGAGATTTTAAGTCAAAGAAAGTATCTAAAAAATCTTATAAAATCGGACATTTTTTCTTGAATTTCATTTTTAAGCATATCGACAAAAACTTTTCATAAGGTGTAAAGGAAACATTGAATAATACATATTTCTACTCACCTCCTTGAGCTCTACTCCCTATACTTGAAGTATTGCCACGAGAAGTTAATGTTGAAGCAGTTGATGACTTATTACCAGAAATAAGATTAACATTTTGCAAGTTGCTATTGCTACTACCAGTAATATTTTTGGACGGCGGTACAGGTTTATGTGTTTGACCAGTAGCACGATAAATTGCTTGTATCCATAATTGACGTTCATTTTCATCGTCTGTTGCAAACATTACACTATCACCTTCTTTGACTAAATTAAAAAAATATTTTCCACCAGTAGCTGCTAAATCTAAAATCAGAATAAAAAATTAACTGAATAAGAGAAACTTTCAACACATGGGATATTAACAAGAAAATAATCCCGTCCTAGCGAAGGTCATTTTGTGATCTGGTGTTTGACAAACGTGTATTAACCAAGATAAATCATAAATAAATAAACCACAAGATTTGCCATTAAGTTACATAGAAGTTTCTATGAATCTGACGAAACCAAGCTCTTTATATCTTATATACTTAACCAAAACATCTTAATTTATACTTCTTTTCATTAGACAACAAAACCGATTTGTTTGACTACGTTAACTTTCTTTACGTTATAATGAATAATGTAGATTCGGTTATCGATTGACTCGCAGATTGTTTTGTATAACAGTCAACCAGAAGAATCAGTTGTTTACATTACATAAAATTGAAGTGTGGTGTAGGATGGCAAAAATAATTGTTTGAAAAGGAATTGTTTCAATAAGTCAAACCATTATTCCATTAGTGGTATCAAAAAAAAAAGAAACAGAAAAGGGGCGAAAATCGATTACACGATAATTCTCAAACAAACATACGAACAAACCTACTTAGATGATTTCAGCGTTGATAACCATAAAAAAACATTGTTTTCAAACCAAACACAAACATTGTCTAAACATAACATGATAAATGAATGGCAAATAGAAAAGAAAACCTTATCCGAATCATAGTGAATATCTAATTATTGGTGTTATACATCGTCTTATAGTTTTTGTTAAACAGTCAATCACTTAACGATATATTACGTTGTCCTTTATTTTTTTATTTGTATGAAGTGGAAAGGAGTAAACATATGTAATAACAAATTGACCATTTATTGAATAATCGTCTTTGCTCATATTGTTCTAAGGAAAATGGCTATTTTCTCGTATATATTTTTATCTTGATAAGACTATTTATAATTTTTATTACTATTCATTAATACTGATGGATTTTAGTCTACCTATTTCTAAACAATCAATAAGCTTGAAAAATAAGGTTATCCCTCATCCCATCAGTCATCACACTGAAGAAGTACGCATATAAATAGGAATAATAGGGTTTTTAATTATTAATAAACCCCAGACACATGGTTACTTAATCGGAAGAATAAACCGTTTATTGACTGTATCACATAAATTATTATCTCATTAAATAAAAAGTAATCTGAGTAAAAGGTTTCGGATATATATATATATATATATATATATATATATATATATATATACAAAAAAGAACCTAAATATTTATGGGTCACATAAATTGTTGAATTTGTAAGTGAGGCTGAGATACTGTTCGGCTTTCCGAAATGAAGTAGGTGGTTTTCTCACGAAGTCACTCCCCGAGCTTTTGACCCAGTGGTTCAAATCACAACCCTATGGACGAATGTTAAATGCGAATCACAAGGTTGAAATTGGAGACTTCAGAATGTATAAGTGACAACTATGCAACTTGGTGTTACCAACAACTATAGTATGGTTTATATGCATACACTTATTGAAAACACAGCCTATTAATTTGAAGCACGCCAGATTGTAAAAAGGGTGTTTTCATCGTTTAAAACGAAGTATATAAATTTAGTGTTTACAGCACTGATAAACATCTGTCCACGAATTTTTTAAACTTGCATATTTTTTCGAAATATACCTTAGATAACTGAATTGAGTTAAACTTTTTTGAAACCTAATATTTCACGTTAGTGGATACAGTTCTTTTTTTATTCACCAGACAATATTGTTTTTCACATTGTGGTTTTTGAGCTGGATGTTTTGTTCATGTAGCTTTTAATACATTCTCATTTAATAACAATGCATACAATAAAATATAATTGTATAATTTGCGTCTAATACTTGGGATTAACATCAGCCTTGTCCAATTCTGTGACATAAAATTGTTTATTTAAGTATTAAAAGATAATAAAAAGTATTGAATAATCAATATCCTAGATTATTTTTTTTACTTAAATTGCATTAAATTACTCTAATCTACAACTAACATACTATTTAAAAACAGAGTTAAATGAAATCAAACGGGAAGTCAATGAAAGCAAAATTTACTTTGGTTTACTAAAACAAAGAGGAAAAACTGCTTCTAGCAATATATTCAAAACAAAAACATTTTCATCACAAATTTTTTTATCAGGACATAAAAATAAAACTTAAAGTGAATTGTACATATCTTGGAATGGATCATTCCATTAAGAAATCGAATTAACGGTAAAAATGTCCTAAATTCATACAATGAATCAATAGTTCTCCATGCATCAATTATTTATAGCTTACTGTTGAAATATAATTCTTTGTAGTTACATTCATGAGTTAGCCAGAAACTTTTAATGAAAAACTACAGTCAATATTAAAAGTAATAATGAACATTTCATCTTGAATCTTTTTCGGATTGAGTCTGGTCAAATGACATACACACGTGAATTCTATTAGCATTATTATTCAAGTGAACAACGATTATCACCAAAATTATTTTGAAATATGTTTCATTATTTTAGGACAACTCCCAAATCAGTCGGTTCACTAAAACCACATGACAAAATATGACACACCTTAGCCTCATTTAGAATGAAGACAAAATCAAGATACTAATTAATTAAGTGTGCCTACATAGAATTTCTTATAGAGAAAACAAAAAGGAAAATAACTTTTAAATCTAGACCAAATGACAAATATAGTGCTCGAATAGTCTCAACAATTAAGCAATTGAAAATATTGAATTGAAAGATAAAAACAATGTTTAAGGCATGAACAACAGTAGTTTTAATAAGACTTATTTCTAGGAAAATGCACCAATATATTTCATTTACAATGGCATGTATAGCAATAAGAAGTAAATCATACACAGGAAACATGAAAGCCATTACGGAAACTAGACAAGAAACAACAATAATCTTTTATTCGCCTTCTAGATAATCGAATGCAACGACTCACACAAATATATATTCAAATCATAAGTCTACTCTTCAATGTGATCAATTTCACACAATGACATCCATAAAAGTAACAGAAACATTTCAATTAGAATGGTTGTTGTACTTGCATTTACAGTCAAATTAAATGAACTGGTAGTTTATTTAAGGTACACATTTTACTCAGTTCTATTAAATAAAATAATCTCAATCACTGAAAAGCTCATAACAATTAAATTTGAAAGAAGTGAAAATTGTAAAGCATGTTATTTTATCACATACCAACTTGAACATCACAGAAATCAACTGTGAATCCTTCCAATTGCATAATCTCTGTAGGATCCGATTTATGATCTTTGTATGATGCCATAATAAACATATACTGTGAAACCTATGAAAAAACGAAACAAAAGCATATATATGAATAGGTTATCTTATTTTTTAGTTGTTTATATACTAAAATTTACGAACTATTTTCGAGGTAGTTAACAGTGAATTAATCATTTGATTTATGTCATTTAGAACTAACGAAAGGTTAATACCCATTATATGTATAGAAACCCTATATGTATGAACGAAGAATATTCTTTCTACTAACATCTTATTTGACTGTACAACTCTAAATCCACTGTATTGTTTTACAGAAATGATCAAAATTAAAACAAACATTTTTTTAATTATTTTCTTATTTTCATCTTGTTATCCATATTTATTCTGATTATTAATCTCATGGTTTCAATCGGTTGATAGCATTGTACACTAGTCAATTCAAAACTAAAATTTTATTTTATCCTGCCAACAATCCTTAATTTATAGACTGTATTTTTAAAATATGTATAAATGTAGAATTTTGTAAGAAACTATTGAAATGAATATTTTTAGTTTATTAACATATTTTTGGAAGAAAGTCATTCAAAATAATGCCAAAAAGTCAATTATAGGGATTGGATTGATAAAAAAAAGCATTGAATTAGCTTCTCTAACTAAAAGCATAACAATTTTTAATGTTATATCGACTTGTTTGGTGAATGGTCATTGACATTTGAAACAACTTCAATCTGAAAAACAAGTTAACTTTTAGACAAAAAAACCACAAAAAATTGAAAAATAGTTCATAGTAAATCCGAGAAGTATACAACTTACAACGTTTTGTAATAGTGTATAAAAAAAAGCTTAGTATACTTTTTTTCTTTACCACCAATAACCTGCATACATCACACAAAAGCTAATAGATAATCTCTTTTAATGACAATACTGAAAAGTAATAAGACTTGCAAGAAAAACACTCAATAAAATAAATCAATACAAAGAATCTGCTTACTTCCTTAGTGACCAGTGACATATATTATTTCATTGGTTACAAATTTAAAAAAAAAAGGCTTGAAATTTGAAGGATTTCAAGTATATCTGAAATATAACCTGAATTACTTAAATATATATCATTGTTGTCAACATCATAACACTAGTAGAGAAGTAGTGTGAGGAATGTTTTTCTCAAGTTTTTTTTTATTTAGCTACTTTCATATAAATTTTTATTTTCCATAGGGAAAAGTTCAAGGACAAAGGAGGGGACATAAACATAAATATTTTCATATACATTAACCGAAAGTGGTAAAATAAGCCAAAAAAAAAATGATTTGGAAAATTCTATCATCTTATTTATTAGTTCACACACATGGTTTATAAATTTAACATTGCTATTGTAAGAGTTAAAACAAAAATGAAAAGTAAAGGATAAAAATTAGCAAGCGATATAAAATAAACTAGGTCGTTGTTGTATACTTTTTATTCAAAGTTTTGAACTGTTCCCTGAAGAATATTACAAAAGTCCACCAAAGAAGATTGAAGCTACCGAAAAGACTTGAATTAGTGGTCCATGGTTTTAAGGAATGATAATACATCTCGAGCTACTAACTGAAAACTAACATTCCTTGTTTAGTTAGGCGGTGTTTAGATATGCGAAACCATGTTCCGTATATCAAAGTTTAAACAGTAAAACACTGTTTAATTTAACGTAATACGCCTTACTTAACAGCATTGTTAGTGACCTAATACAAATTATGTTTTAGTATTATGTTCATCAGCTAAATATCCAGAGAAAACTGCTAATTAAATGATGCAACGTGCAAAAACAAGTAAAAAAGTCAGACAATATATACCGATTTCTTACTGATATTCTATTTTGTAAGAAACCGGACAAAAATCTATCAGTATTGGAAGAGGAAGATACAAAAAAAACTTTATTTCATGCACGAATCAGTTTTAAATTATCCTCATTATCGAAATGGAATAAACATTACAGTCGCAACTTTTTTAAATTTCACTGCATCCGAATAAGAAACTGCATGAATAAAATTATGAAAGCTATACATTACCATCAGTCAAGTATTTCTACGCAAAACAAATATGTAAGCTACACAGAATAGTCTTTTGTTAAGCCATAATAGAAAATAGTTTTGGGGGAAATCAAGAGAGATCAATGTCTTTGTGTTAATTCGTCCTTGTAGAATGGTCTGACAACTAAAATTTTATATCAAAACAAATCAGACTGCGTACCTTTATTTTTCACTACATGGTTGTGGAGATTGTTAAGTTTCATTGAAATCATGAACTGATCAATGTTAGACCACCTTTAGAAACCGATTACCGAACGCGAGAGTCATGGATGCGCATTGCTGATGAGTTTTCCGCTCGGACGAAACGGCTTTCCAGTGGTTAGAAGTTTCAAATGGTGGTCTAACATTGATCGATTCATGATTTCAGTATCTTTATTTGACATGCAAGAAATTGAAACAGTCACGGCATTATGATGACTAACTGAAAAATGCCTAAAATGTTAATTAGAATATGGAATAAATACCATAAAATTTAATGAATATGGGTTTTTTATGACGTCAAGTCAAAAACATAGCATGAACACACTGATTTAAAAACGATTAATGAGCATACGTTTACGTGGAAGTGTGTAAGAGTTTCTACGAGTAAACGATTGTTAGTTTCAATAATATCAATGAAATATATCCAATTTCATTATTAGGGGCTGTAAGATCAATCAGATGATTTTGTTCCAAAGTAAAGTAGTCAAAATAAAAGTGTAAAAAACAAAACAATTATTCCCTTATCAGTTTCAAACAAGTATGAGAGACCTGTTCAATTTTCTGTGATTTGTAATGGTTCACGATGAGATATTAATGCATAAAACAGATTAACATATCAAAACAATCTACAACACGTATAAATATTCTTACATATACACACATTAAAAAAAACATTTGATTCTGACAATTAAAGAAAACATTGTAGAAAAATTTCAATCCCTTACAACAACAAAGATAGATTACAATGTGTTCATATTCTATGCCTACATAAATCGTGTAACAGGAAATAAATGACAGCTAAGATTATTTCACAAAATTAACAAAATGATCAATATTAATCATTTGAATGATCTCAAAATAATTTATTGGTCAATCTTTATGGTTATTTCAATGGAATGAAGCATCTGTTTACTGATTTCATTATTTGTTTATCTAATTCTTTTGCATTACTCACAAACAAACTTAAATTATTTATTATGTCAAATAGCAGAAAACAAAATAGCATCATCCTTACAGGAAAAAACTGTCTATTTTTTGCCCAAATACAAAAATTTCTTTCCATCACAGAAATAGGATAAATGAGCAGAGAAAGAAGAAGGAAATAGATGCATTGAAATAATCTTTTTCCACTACTATGGAAATAAAAAAAAAACAAGCTTGAACCAGAGACGATCCAACTGACGTCACACATTTATTATAACAATTACATCTAGAGTACAATTGATGATAGAAAAATGTAAAAAAAACAATCAGGAAAAATCTTTATTCGTCATAAATAAAATGGCAAGAAAAAGTACACTGAAAAATGAGAGAGGAAAAAACAAAGTGAAAAAAATTTACCAAAATACTCAAGTAGACTTTAAAATGAAACTTAAGGAAAGGTAGACTATGAAATATTGCATTCTCTCCACAATAACGTGTTATTAGAAAAACATGCTAATGTAAAACAGATACTCCATAGACGACAGTCACCAGATATATCCTTCAGGAAATTTCCTTATTTGTTTACAAAATTTACAGTTACCATGTTAGAAAATAGGTAGCAAGATAAAAGGTAATAATAAAACGTAGAACGAATAGGTAGTTGAAATGTTTGATTTTTAGGAATTTACAAAACCGTTTCAAGTCGTCAATCCCTACAACAGTGCAGATATTTTTTTGGTGACAACTCACATCTGGCACAGAACCTACAGATGTGAAGCTCCCTAAAAACGAACATGATTTTATCAGGGTGAAAATTATCGATAAATCAACTCGAAAGTTAATCTAATCTGAAAACAAATATTTTCACAAAAAGCATTCTTAAATAGTGAAGATAATCGTATGTTTTATGAATGAATAAGTGATGGCATGAAACTAAAATATCTCTTCAAAATATTGAAGTCAATTAAGTGAATTATTATCATGACTAAATGTTATTCTAAGTAAACCACTGAATAAGAAGTTAAAGGACTAATCTATGAAATTGTATTTACACTTTATCATTAGCTACTTAGGTAAGTTGTAGAAAATTTGAGGTATTCCGACAGTCTTCAAATAAAGATTTGTACATGAAGTGTAACAAACTGTATGGGATATTTTCAAAAAAACTATTTGTACACACCTAATATATCGAACTTGTTTCAAATATTACCAAAGAGTTATTAACTGTATACGGAAAAAACCTGCAAAATTATACATTTTAAAACATTATGTAAGTTAACTTGAATTGTAATTTTGTTAAACTTCAATATATTTTATTTTTTAAATAGTAAAATGGAGATTAAGTCATGATAAAAATCTCTCACATTTACAATAAATACTGAAGCTGAGATGTATGAAAATTTTTAAACGGTTATAGAAAAAATGAGTCTTTAGAATTTTTAACTACATCTCAAAACAATTGAAGCTTAACTATCAGTGGCGATATTTGACAGCATAATTAACTTTATTACAAAATTGTTTTTTTATTTATTGCATAAACGTATCTTAAAAACGATAGAATCTTTTTGATATAAATGCTGAATAGATTAAGTAAGTATTTTTTTTATAAAGAAAAGCAAGAAACAAATTGAGATGAGAATCATAACCGTGAGAGAATTGTCTAACTTGTCAAAATTATTATCTTCCATGTAAACATAATAATAATCACTATTTTTTATAAACAACAATAAAATGACTATAAATAATGGTATAAAAAAATAACATACTTGTATAAGGCAAATATAGCGCCGTCTCCATTTTCGAAATGCTGTCCGACCTAATGCATACAAATAACCACAATGTTTTAGATTATTCGGTTTCTCCATACGTAATGTAAGCTGTAGCTGTAAGTCATCAGGTACATTTTTAGAAGTTTGTAATTTATACCATTCCGGTTGACGATTGCCATTGCATGTAGGATTTAAGATAACCTAGAAAATTATTGCAAAAATTTGCATAGAAAATGTCAGATTACTTTAACACAGTGAACGCTGATGCATACGTTTGATAAATTTAGTTCTGAAAACCTGCTGTGCATTGTTGTGTAGAATAAAGCATAATACTGTTTTACAGATCTTATCATAAACAGACATTGCTTTATATAACCAATGACATAAAGTGATACAACTACATGACTAACTGTATTCTTTTTCAGCATTCTTCGTACAAGAAGCATGTTCACAATTATAAGTGTATAAATGTTTATATTATCCTTTTGGTGTCGAGTTATCGGGGCTAAATAGGCTAGCTGCAAAGCCATCATTATCATTCTCAACATTTTCAGCTCCTACCTAATACAGAAATAGACATTGAAGATCCTAGATAGAATGACAATGAAAGCTTCCAAGCTAGTACACCTAGCTAAAAGAACTCAACACCCCTAAAAGGATCTACCTGAGCTACACATATTCCCTAAAATACATTGCGCTGAAACTGGTTTCACCAATAGAGTGATTAATTAGCAGTGATGCAGAATCGAAAATCTATAGGGAACAATAGTATATTCAACCTTTGTCTCGAATCTGATGATAAACTATTTGAAGGAATTGTCCTCGTAATGTCACGTCAAGGTTTTTAGCCTAATCTTATCTGGTTAAGGGGTTCGAAAAGAAATAATTTCTAATGAAAATAGTATTTTAATGGCACTCAGTTTTACGTCAGTCCATAATGAAAACGAAATTTCAGTAGAACGTAGATATTCACAACTGCAAGCGACCCCATGCCGTTGAAATCCAACTCGCTAAAAAATGCTAACCAGAAAAAAAGTCGCTGGTTTGTGGCCTCTGCTTTATTAGGGGTAACAGGCGTAATTAAGTAAAAGTATATATATATGACGAATAGTCAAAACACTTATGAATGAAAGAAAATTAAGAATTATATTTCCTAGGTGTACAATTTCGATACTGAAACTCAAAACTGAATTAACAATTTTCAATTATATGTATGATTTGCATTGATTGATCATTAAATGACAATAGAGTTCGTACATAAATGACTATATTCGTTCATAATGAATGGTTGATATGTTGTAAAAGGTGTATAAAATTTTCATCTGATATCGTATTTGATTATTTTCTTTGAATTGTTTACTGTTTTAGATATTGATTTTAGCAATTACAGCAATTAGATTCATTAATTAATAACTTAAAATTCCTTGTTCAAAATAAACCAAACAAACCGATGCTTAAAAAGTATGATATATGTACAAAGTATATGTACTGTCATAAGTCGTGAAGAGAGAAATAACAGTAATAAACTGACATTTACTTCATCTTTATATATTCTACTGGGATGAACAAATACAAATTGTCTGATAAAATTGATAAACAATATTAAAACACTGCAGCTAGTACGGATAAATAATTAAATGATGAGTAAATATGAATATTTTATTTGTCTAGCCATTTTTATAGTAAAAAAGCAATCACTTCTGATTGATTACTTTGGTTTTTGTATCATAACAAGTGATAAACATCTAATCTGAATGGTCTTATAAACTTGGAATACTATCTATAAACATTCATTCACAAGTTGGCAGTAAAATGATCTCTACCTTGGAGATTTCAATTTCAACATGGTTATCCTCAGTTACAATTATTCTCCATTGTTCATTCACCTATATTCTACTTGGTATTCATCGTAGAAAAATAATCGTAAGAAGCTTAATTAGTTCTAAATCTTTTGTCATTACGAATAGTAATGATTTCCAGTTTAAAACCAGTTAATTCATACGTTCTATATGTATAAAAGACGATTGTTGATTCATCTCACCCATTCATTCAATTAAACAATTCTAGAATAACAGATATTTGCAGAAAAACCCAGTCTACATGAACATTAACAACACAACAATGATCAGATTTCCAAGTTTTGAATGTTGAATTAAGTACTGTGTGTGAGTTTTGGAGAACATCTACATCAGTGATTAGCTTTAAAGATAAGATTATCATTAAAGGCAAGTATAGAGTATTGTTTATTTAAACGGCTTACAAAAATTTTTAGTATTTTAAAAATTTAAGAATTTTTAGTTTCCTTGAAATGCTATTATGTCGTCTTGCTCGTTTGGTATGATGCACGATGGTCTTCGAGATACATATCGTGTATTCTATTTTTATACCATAGGACATGACCTTTGCAACAACTTTCATTGTAGTTAGTGAAATTTTCATCTCAGCTTTTCTTCTTCGAAAAAGCAGCTTACATAACACCACTTTACAAAGAGCAGGTAAATTTGGTTTCGAAAATAGACAGAAAAATATATTAAATAACCACGCCTGTTGTGACTGAAACAGTGAAAACAATGGTTTCCCATAGACTTCAACATTTTATTGGTGATCACATCCAAACATATGGCTTTTACAGGCATAAATAAGCAAGAATATTTAAACCACACAGTTGAAGATGATAACAAGTTGTTGTAACGGCATCAAGATAAGTTCACATAACAATCTCACATGACACTAAAAGAGAGACAACATTGCTCCTTCATAAACAATGACTGAACGGTGTTTAATGGCTAGCATATTTCAAATCCTTATTTATAAACTACCAAGGATGCATTTTGATGTCTAAAGAAGGTATTTCTATGGCTTCTTAATGTGATGTTTCAAAAGGTTTTCACACACTTTACACTAGTAATCGTTAGTTTACTTTTAATTCCGAGAATGATGTGAAAACATCCTTTCATAGCATACTTTCATTTTCTTACAAAACAAATTAACACTTAATTTAACGTTTCTACATTTTCACATAAAAAAGCCTTCATCTGTAAATGAGTGATTCTATTAGTCGAAATGTTTTGCATCAAGAAATATCATTAGCTTTATGTGGTCTTCGTGTTTTGTTACACCATCTACATGAAGAAATCGAGGAGTTAATTGTTTTTATTCTTTTCATTTAAAATAGCCATTATAATTTAGTTGAAAAGCATTGATGCTTACGAGATGAATAGATGTAGATGTTAATTAGACCGAAACAATGTGATGAGGAAAACATATAAGTGATAATAGTATGTATAGCACATACCGACGAACGAACGAGTTGCATATTTTATTCTCAAGACATTTCATTCGTACTAATGCAAGTAAAAGTCGGTTGCAGGTTTCTTGATTTTCGTGATTCCCTCATAATTATAACTTATTACAAACAATTAATAATTCAGATAAACTGTATCCGGTAAGTACGGTAAACCCAAATAGTTCAAAGTCAATTGAACACAAAAAAATATTTGTAATAAGCCACCGTCACGAAATGATGTCAGTTGCAGAATTATTAAAAACTACAGAGTACTGAAAAGTTTTTATTTCATCTATTTACTCAAATGAAACAACTATTCAGTGATTTATGAGGATTCCGTCAGTGATAAAAATTAGCTTCGAAATAAATCAGGCTGCGCAAACCAGCTAACAAAAAACAAAGAAGTTTTAACGAGAAAAAATGAAGCAAGAAGCTGTATAGGGATAAATATTGAATTGCTTACAATCAAAACTTTATGAACGTGATTTTATACAAAAAGATTGCAATTACTACTTTACAATTAAATAGCAATTATGTGTAAAAAAGGTCTAAATACGAATGATTGATATACATTAAAAAAAACAGATTTCTCAATTTAGATCGATAATATTTTTATATATATCTGTAACGCAAACGAAGCGAAATAACAGATTTTATACTGTAGGATATAAATTACAATAAGAATTACGAACAAATTTTAAAGACTATAGCTCATGCCTTACCCAATACCGAGATAAAATAGAATGTAGATGAAATTTTGACATTCTATCCTCTATCTCCCAAAAACACTAATTTTCTTCGCTAAAAAGCCATGTTCATTGGCTTAATGAAAGAATAGTTTGTAACAAGCTTCGTTCGTTAGTGTCTAAGTTTACAAAAGTGATTGGAAATCAAATTTAATCTTCCAATTTAAACTTTCCAATACCATAATACTAGTGATCATTATCTGAAAACCCTTTTAGGACTCTATCAGTCAGCTTTTGAAAAATTATAACAAAAAAACATGAACTTCAGTTCAAAGTTGAGCTTTGTCCAAACACCAGTTTTCAAGCTGTACAAACTAGAACCCATTTTAAGTACCCAATTTAAATGAAAGATAGATATCTATTTAAGTCCAATCTTCAGCAAGATAATTGTTCACGATAGTCATATTTGTGAATTGAAAACAATTGTGAACTTACACGACCCAATTCTTTACCACTTTCAAGTGATAAAAGTCCAGAACTTTCAGCATACAATTTTACCTTGACTGTAGGAAGAGGTTGATTTGTGGTAAAATCACCCTGTGTACCCCATCTGAAGTTTGAAAGCAAAGTGAAAAAGTAGGTTATGTACCTTAACAAAATACGGTAATTATTAGTCATGGTGAAAATTGTAAGTTTTTTTTTAGAAAAAAAAATCAATGAATATATGGCAATTTTGAGCAAGATTAAAATAATAAGTTTGAGGATAATATTAAGTAAAGTGGCAAAGCAAACTACAAACAATAATTATCCTTGTTTAGAATCTGTGAAAAAGATGAACTTCGTTAAACCTGTTGTTTACTGAAGCAATATCAAATAACTTAAGAGTTTTCTTACAATTCAAAATCATATTCTAATATGAATAAAAACTTGCATTTTTATCATCGGTAATTATGGACATGTCAATTTTCATATACACTTATTAGTCGAATTGAGCTCATACATTCTGTACATTGATTTTCTGGACTTTCCAATTTTTTTAACCTATAACGTGAACGTATTAGACCGAAACAGTAACTGATAATGTCGGCTAAATGTTACTCTCCGAGTGCAAGGAAACCTCTTTAAAACAAAAGTCTTAATTTTGTCGAATGTACTCCAAAACTTCTACTTACTGAAAGTATTCAGCAATTTAGTAAAATTAAATAGTTTCAATACACTAAACTAATCCTGATAAAATACTTTGATGAAGAAAATTCACAACGAATGAAAACAAGAGGAACTCGTCAAAACTTTAGCTGAAGTTATTCAAATAAACAAGACATATTTTATATGACTCATTTGTGCATTTACTAATGCTTATTATAACCATTACTTGAATATTGATATTGTATATTAAAATTAATGTGACAGAAATTTACTCAAACATAAAAGGAAAAACTAAAATGTTTAAATAGCAAATATACAATGCATTGATGAACTTAAACAATGTAGCCGGTAGAAACCTACATTACTCAAAATTAATCGATGTGAACAGAGTAATTTCATTAATAGTAACAAGAAAAATTAAAAACTCAATTATTGAAATCATGAAACGAATTATTCTACTTCAATCAAAACTTCCTTATATTTAAAAGAAAGTCAATCATGATTTCTCGTTGTCCATTCTACTATATAAGTCAATAAATAATGAACTTAGTATATGAGGAGTGGTGTAACTACTTTTCTCTACTTTGTTTTATTATTACTTCTATTATTCTTTTTATTTCTTCCGCATAGTCTAACATTAGTTTCATTTTTTGAACAGCATTATGTTTAATTTTATCCTGATGGGACAGATAGATAGTAAATAAAATTAGATTTTTTTTTCTCAAAATAAAAACAATGGTAAAATTATTCAATCAACTAATCAAACAGGAAATGATATTGAACTTGAAACAATATTGAGAGAAAATTATTAACATGTTTTCTCTAGACAATATAGTTGTTTCCTATAGTGTAGTTAGTATTAAGTGCTTGAGTTATTCCATTGTTCGTTAAGAAATTGTTCTTTGATAACTCTGTGATCCCATATATGCATTTTATGCCAAACGCCTGAAGATGAATGTCAGTATTAAAAGGTAGGTATATGCAACTGACAAGTCTCGAATATGATGAGGCACACATTCTAAATTAACCTGTCAAATGCAATTCAATTATTCTAAATGACTTGTATCATTATGCATTAAAAATACGAAGTTAAAGTCAATGCATATATGCCAACAATTTTTGTAGTTCTAAGTCTAAATAAATGTAATATAACGGAATTACAGATGGTTTGGTTAGATTGAGACCCGTACTATTAGGCCATAGTTACAGCACAACAGTTGTCTTGATTCATTACGATTGTTGAGTAATTACTCTAGATTATATATATGTAGAACCGATATTCAGTCACACGATGACAATAAGGTACCATCTGAAAACAACTCTTAACGACTTTCGGTCCAGAATGCATTTTTCCTACACACACTCACCTGATAGTCAGGATAGAACACGATACAGCCGATAGGAAAATTCTAATTATACAGTTTGATTCCATAACTTTATTCATACAATAATAGAGTAAAAGTTTAACCATATATCAATATAATAAGGAAATTACAATTTGGAGATCATTGAGTCATAAACGGAAGAAAACTGGGTGACAGGTTCGTAATAAATTAAAAGTAGCTTAACGTAAGGCCCGATACACAACAAAAGTTCATGCATCATGAAAAGCTTACGAGAGAATAAAAAATAAAATGATTAAAGTATTTAATAATTATGTAATCAAAAATGAGCTCCATTCATTCAGATTAGACAGTCTATCTAAACTATCATCATTAATTCCTATCATTTCTCAACCAACTAGCACACAAACAAATTTAGACGCTACACCTCAGAATACATACAGTAAAATCATATACAAAGTCATCTTGACAGAAATGATATGGAACTGACAAAGTGAAATAGAATCCCAGCGTTTTTCTATCGTTTACTCACAATCAAACAACACAAGATAAATATTATGCAGCATTCATATCAGATAATTTTAAATTTTCTGCAAAAAACCAAAAATTCATTCTTATTTCTTCACCTGTCTATTTTTACATTTTGGTTATTGTATCAGAATATGATTTTTATTAATCAGCTGATTGAGTTGATTTAGAATATATTTTCTTCACATGACTTTCTCTAATGTTGTTATTTAGAAAATTTATATAAAAGAATATGAGGTCTAGATATTTGTCCCTACATCAAACACACTCTCCACCTTCTCCATCTACATTCTCACTAACAATAACAATAGTGAAGAAAAAATTTGATTTGAGAATGATGGAAAAATGAAACAGGATGACCTTGAAATATGATGGTCCCTCTCACTATTTGCCTTGAATAGAGTAAAATATTTCTGGAAAAGTAATAGATAAAACGAAAAGATAGCATTCATAGAGGATGTGATAACGAAGAAACAAAAATGAGAAATCGATTAGGAGAAAAATGAAAGTACATTAAACATTTATATTTCACCAAGTTAGAAAATATGCTATGTATTGAAAAAAAATATATAAAGGTGACTTGGACAAAGAAACTTTTATTTCTTTGTAGTTTAAATAGAATTAACAAAACTACATTGATCAATAGCTTAAGGATATTTAAAATTTAATTACGACACTAAATTTCTAAAAAAAATGAAAATGTCATCAATAAAGAAGTTCTTGCATAACTACAATATTGTGCAGTTCCTTTTTAATAAATATGAACTACTTACATGTTAAACAATTAGAATGCAACATTGCATTACATTGGTTTATGAATGAAAGTGAAAACAAATTAAATTTATAAAAGGGACTAATTGTTTTAAATGAATTAAAGTTTGAATAGTTCTACACTAAAAGCTGTGTAATATTGTGAATTCTGTGGAAAAAAGTATTTACCTTCAAGTAATCAAAACAATGAACAATTAAAACTAGTGTTATTGTCATCAGCTGCTGACAACTTACACAGGTTTTCCAGCTTCAGCTAAATCAGTCTGTAATCGAGCACCACCTTCAACCTCCATGGTACAATAAACCATTTTATTAGTTGGTAAATATTTTAAATTCTTCACTTGACCAACAATAATCTATTGGTAATCAAAACAACACCAAAAATAACCAAATTAAGCAGGTAACCACGGGAAAAAGCAAACATTATTTTCATAAAGACTCAAATTTACATCACTTTAAATAAGTAGACACTAGAGAAACGACTATTAATCAGTTATTAATTTTTTTTTCATTTTTGAATAAACGTTATAGGTTGATTTTTAAATCATAGTTGAACTTATTGAAATGAAGAATCAAACAGCCTTAAGACGCCAAACGGCAGTCTTGGCTTAATATAGGACTTCATAAGAGCGCATCCACGGCCCCATATCTGAGAATCAAATAAAAGACTTTTGATCTCTCGTAGAACAGTTATCCAGCGCACACAGTGGATGAGGGTTGTACAATATTGTGAAACAATAAAAGTTAGGTATTAACACTTTTCGATTCCGACTAAGTGGTTGAGCTTCTGAGCACAACACTGCAGGTCCTGTTATTGATTCCTGGATGCAAAATCGTGAACAAGCACTGCTTATAAGTGCACTAGAGCACATTTGTGCCAGGCATTACGTTTATCATGAATTAATGATTTACTTGATAGTAAGAAGAAATAACAACAAGACTCACCTCAACTGAAAAATTTAACTGTATGTCCAATTTGTTCTTGAAATTTGATTCATTGATCTCATCATTATGTTCTTTATGAGGAAGACTTGCTAAATTTGTGCTAGAAGTTTGTGATCGGCTAACTTTTTTAAATTTCTGAAAACTACTGGAACCTCTGGTCACAGGTACAGACTCTAGTCGAAGCATCAATTCACCGACCATTTTACGCAGTTCATCTGCATATAAAGTTTCCATATCTTTGACAACCAAACGAGGGAACTGACGACTCTAAAATTCAAACAGTGAGTAGAGAGAATAGGTACAATCACTAAAATGACTGACTTTGATGAAGAAAATATGGGACATCGACCAGTAACAAGAGATATTGTATCGATGTTTATGATAGCAGTGAAATACACAATCGGATAAAATTGATAATCTTTTCATTTAAAGAAGCTGCAATAATTTTAACCGGGAGGAGAAGAGAGGGTTAGGCCTGGGGTTAGCAACTCTATACCAAAAAAAACCAAACTTACCAAAAATACGCTAACCACAAAATTTCAGTTAAACCAATTTAACTCTATCCTGGGAGTTGGAAGGTCTCCATTTATGACGCCTTATGGTGAAAGCCGAGTTTCTTCAGAAGTCACGAGGCCGATTTCCTTCTAACAACCAGATCAACAATTATTACAGGTATATGGAATGTTCGTACAATGTGGGGGACCAGCAGAGCCATTCAAGTTGCTGCAGAAATGAAAAGACGCAACCTCATGATACTGGGAATCAGTTAAACACAAGTGACCCAGGTTAGACAAAAGAGACTAGCTTCAAGAGATATGCTGCTATACTCCAAACATGAATAAGAAAACGCATCACACACACTGGGAATCGCAATGATGCTGTTCAAAGAAGCACAAAAAACATTTATGGGATGGAAATCTCATGGAGCTAGGATCATCGAAGACAAAGAAAGATATTAGAGTGAAAGTGGTCCACTATTCTATGTTTATAAACGATGGTAATGAAGACGACAAAGATCAATTTTATGAGAGGCTGCAGTCAGTCGTCGAGATATGATTATTCGGATGGGAGTCATAAATACCAAGGTTGACATGGACACCACTGAATATGAAGATATCACAGACTGGGAAAAATTAACTGATATGCTCGTCAGTTGATATGCTTGAGTTAACTTTACTCGTTAAATGGAGCGAAGACAAATGATGTAGTGGCACGTTAGGCTATTCTAACCCGCTTGTCCCAGGCCCGGCTAACTATATCAAGAATTAGACAGAGATTGGCAAAGCAAAAGCATCATTTCTATAGTCGAAAAACATGTGGAACTTAAAACAACTGTCAACCAACACCAAAGTCACAATTTTCAATCCAAACGTTAAAACCGTTCTATTATATGGAGTTGAAACTTAGGGAACTGCGAAAAACATTATTTATATAGTACAGGTGTTTACTCATGGTTGTTTACGCAAGATACTGAGCTTCCGTTTGCCAGACACCATCAGCAAAGACCTTCTGAATGAAGAAATGTTCAAAAGATAAAATTTTAATCTAATCGAAAGTGGATCAGTATAATATATCGAGTATCTCCAAATATCCAACATTAAAACATATAGCACGGAATCTTGACTAACTTAGGTGAATGACCACTTGATCGATAAAACTTCCTAAGTACTACAGCAGCAAACAAGCCCGGCATTGATCATTGCTCATTTATTAAGCGATATAGTTGAATTTATTTCAATTTCAAATAAAATTAATTATGCTTCTAGAAAAAGTCAGGCCTACAGTGATAAACATTTCCGTGAACAATGTTCAGTCAACATATCATTTGGAAATGTTAACTAACTATTCATAGTATGTATACATTCAAGTTAACTTGTATATTTAATTCTCTAGTCAAAATCTGTTCTAATCTATCAACCGTGCGATAATTACTAAACAAGTGAATCAAAAATTCAATACTCAGAAAACATTTGGATCATCTAGCATAAACCTACAGCTGATTGAAATAAAATGATATCTAATTATATAGATTGATTCACTAATCCCTAACCATATCTTTCTAATATTTGTTTTACAATGTAAACAGAAACAGAAACTAAACAATGAATAAATAAAATAGCATCTGGTGTTCTAATTGTGAACAACTGGAAGTGAAAAAATTGATTCTCATAGGACATAATCATGATGTGGTGTGATATACATAGAAAAGAAGAAACAAAATACAAAATAGATGATGATTCTCAACAATCCGAATTACATTTCTGCACTAAATGACATAATCAACGTTATCATGAAAACTAAAGGTATCTAATTTATAACGACTAACAGTCTATGAATGCTAGATAGATAAAACACTGATATACCTGAATGAATTATCCAAATAACCCATTAAAATTGAATACTCGTGAAATTGTCAAGTATACGTCAGATAGAAAAAGTATTTCAAGTGAAATCAATCGATTATTTTAGATCGAAGAAAAATTAACGAATAATTGTCAAAACACGTAATGCATAGAACAAGACAAACGTAGTGTTGAAAGAAATTCTAAGTAATAAAAAATATCAGGACATTTTCTCTCTATATACGGTGAATAGTTAGCAGACGTAAATTGGGACACAGAAACAAAGACATTAACTGTCAGAAAATTTAACAAATGACTATATAGTAATGATAACATAAGAATCATATTGAATAATCAAGCGCTTTGTATGTTTGTTGTTGTGTTCCACCATAAATTCAAACTTTTTTGAAATTTAATTTGAAAAATAATAAGAAGAGGAACGATATCTATCATCAGTCGAATGTGGCAGTGAGATTGTACACATTAATGTGACTTTTTTTAAGATAAAGAAATTGAAGATTAATAAATACTTTTGTCAAATTAGTTAAATAATTATGATCAATATAATGAATACCTCACAAACAGTAATTATGATTATCATCAATCAATTAAACAATCATTAAATCATAGGCATTCATCTATTCTAATCAGAAGAAATCATAAATCTTTATCACATACTCTAGATAACTCTTCAACAGCTTGCAATTGGCCATCTAATTCACGACGAACTTGAGCAGCTTGTTCATCAGCATTGTCTAACTACAAAACCAATAATAAAATGACGAAACAAAAACACAGTGAAAGATTGATCAATCCTTTTAATAATAAAAGCAGTGTATCTAAATGAACTATATGTAAATTTACGTAAAGAGAAATACTCAAAGTTGACAATTTTTCATTGCCTTGAGCAAAACAAAAACTTCAATGGATTAATAAAAAAAAATAAGGATAAATAAAAATTAAATTTTAAGGAATATTTAATGAATCGTTTCATAAACAATCAGAAAATACTGAGTTATTGACAAAATCAACAGTAGTTAGAAAATTTATTTTTCTCTCTCTTTCTTTACGTTCGAAGAGGCCAGTGATGAAGAAAATATCAAAACATTTAATTTCGTATGTTACTATTGAGTGGGTATACAATAAGGGGGATTCATTTATAAAAACTTTCAAAATATAAACATAACAAGCAACCATTTGGTTAGCTTGTATCTGTCACATTCAATGGAACACAATGAATCCAAAGCAGACACCGAGTAATAAACTAACACAAACCTTTGTAAACCCAGTGTGCTTTGTGATGACGTTACGTCTACTATATCTTTATCAATTCAACGCTTTTCCATGACTTCGAACTAGTCTATCAGCGATTAGATACATATATATTTAAGTATTCATAAATCACATAAATAATGCTGGGTCAATGACTTTTTCTTAATGTAACATCATTGTCTACCAAAATACCACTTCTTGAAACCATAGATATAATTTGCCAGCATTGTGACATTTTACCTACATCAGTATCAAAACTCCAACCGCTGCTGATCATGTATACAAAAGAAGTTCAGTTTCAGTTCAATAGTGTTATACACAGTCAAAAGGATAGTGAGCACTGAAACAACTGCCATAGCTGATGTTTTCATCAGTGATCTCGCACGAACAAACCTCAAAGGAGCGATCAGTGAAATAGTGTATTATTCGAGATATTTTGACGACTCACTGTATTTATTAATCAACAACATGCAATAAATCTGTTGAAACTTTTCAACAAGGCTCATATATGTATCTAATTTACCATGGAACATAAAAATTAGAGCAAGATGTAATATGCTGATTTCGTGATAAAACGGAAGAAGAATGACACGGTTCCAAGGTACATGGAATGGAATTTATCTGAATTTCAATAGCTTTTGTCCACTCAGTTGCAAAAAGACTATTTCACAGAACCAAACGAAAATGTAATGCCTACACACTAAAATAGAAACTAATGAATGTTAAAAGTGTTTAAGGAACAACAGATACCCAGACAGATTTATTGAGAAACACAGAAAGCGTGAATATATCCCTAACAAACCACATTAAAAAAAACCTCTTTTTATTCAACTTAAACTCAAAAGTGATGATGTTACAAAGGTAATCAACATATGACTAAAAACTGCATTAAAAATAGCATATCCAGCAGATAAATTGATTGCCTTGTCCAGAACAAAATGTTTGTTAGTACAAACAAAGGTTGATAGCTATTCCTTTTATGTTACCGCCAACTGTGTATACAAATTCATATATGTCTGCCAAAGCAGTTCCATCGATAGAACAGAAAGAAAGGTTTATGCATGATTCAAAGTACATATTCCAAATCGTCTGAGTCTAAGCGGATTAAAGGCATTCAGTAGTGCTGTTTCGAGACATTTTGTGGATACATGATATGGAGCTGATACATTGAAGTCTTTCAAGTTGATTATGCAACAACCGAATCCCGATGTTTTGAAATTTACTTAAGCTATAGCGATCACACGACTAAAACCAGATTTATTTGTTTAAAAGAAGTGTAATACATTTTTCTTCACCCTGATGATATTACATCCATTTAGTAGTAGCTCCTTTTCAATTTTTTACTGTATCATTTTCATTTCATTCGAAATTATAGTTTTATTTATAATTGACTGATTACAAGTCACTATTCTTTATTACCATTAATCTGATTTCAATTACTTCACCCCTAGTTCAATATCCTGGAACGTTTTTTCTTACACTGTTTTTATCTGACACAATTTCTAATGACCTTATTAACGATAGTGAAATCTACGCTACATCGTGATTCACATATTCATCTCTAATCACCTTCGTGTTTATCAGTATGTCAAGTCCTATCATAATTTTGATTTTCAAATACTAAAGTTTGTAAGTAGCTGATGAGAACCTAGAGAAATAAAATGAATTTATGTTATTCCTCACTAATCTATTTGTTTACATTTAACACCATTTTTTCAGTTCGGATTAAAACTATATTTAATAATTGAATTTATAACTGTTCCTAAGAACAGAAATTCCCACTGTATTCCATAAAGAATGACAAATAATTTGAAAAGAAACTAAAAATATTATTTTATGTTTAGATTTTCCTCATTCTGTTAATGATGCAAATAAAACTAGGCAAAGCGAAAAATTGAATAATAATAATTGAACATATTAAACTTTAGTAATTTTCGCACTTTGGAAAGAAAGGATTGTTTGGTAAAATATTTTTTTGAATATAGACTTTTTGTGAAACTAGGTTGTAAGCTGGCAAATCTTAAATGCACACATATTTGTTTACAATATTATACATCCGAAATAGATAAACTTATTACCTGAGTACACAACATTTCAAAATAAGATGTCTGACAAAAAAAGAAAGGGAAAAACAAACAGTCTATATTTATTTTGAAAAACGAGTCTTTTCCATAATGATATGACATACTATATTTGCGTAATTCTGTCTCACAATTCAGACAGACGTGTGAATATATATATATATATATATATATATATATATATATATATATATAAATTTAACACCGCAACTGTAGAAAATAATCTTAACTAAGAATCTTATCTGAATGTAACGAATAAACGATACATATTTTAGACACATCATTTAGAAAGTAAGAGGTAGGAAAGGATGAGACAAATGAATAATATAGATTCTCGAAACATTTTATGTAGAGATGAATTCAGCAAACGTCATAAATCGACTACAGATTACTTTTACACAAAGGCCTTTACCATAATGACTTAAATTTTTTGAAACAATCTACTAACTTATTATATACCTTGTAGAAATTTAAATAAACAAAGATTCTTGCCTACGCGTCTTTTTTTAAAACGAACCGGCTAATAGAGAAATAAAGTATTTCAAGCGGAACAATGTAATAAACATACATGAAACTCTGTACAATAATCCATCTGCTCAAAACTCAAAAACTTTTAGTAACCAATATACGGAAAGAAAACACAAAGTAAAAAATGTATTACAACGAATTTTTATCAAAGCTCACATCGATAAGCTTGTCTGAAAGCGCTTAAAAACAAGTTTAAACAAAAAGCCAGAGCTTGAGATTTACATCGAATTATTTCAAATTATTATCAAACGTGAAATATGTATTTTATTGGGCCGTCTGACATTACTAAGAGGTATAGATAAAAGTGTTATCAAACATTGTAATTTATAAAACAAAAGTCGAGCTGTGTGACCAATGTAATTAACAGTGAAAACTCTGTATTTCATTTCTAACTTTTAGAACAGAACTCAAACATAAGCGAAACTTAATACATGGCGTCAAATTGCTAAAATCACTAGCAAAAATAAATAACTCACTTGTAGTGCATTGTAGAGAATTTGATGTTCGTATTTTTTTACTCCTAATGTAGCTTGAAACAATTCATATAATTGTTCTTTCGTCATTACTAATTCAGGTTGAGGAACTTGTAATTTTTGTAAAACTGTAGATGGTCCAGCACCGCCACGACATATTTGATCAAATTTTACCATCCACGCACTGACAACATTAGCTTTATTTAAACCTTCAATTTCTGGTAAAAACTGTACACGATGTTCACCACTCAATCGGAATACTTCACGAAAATCATGCATTGAACAACCACCACCACGAACCATACTAGCAACACGATCACTGCGTAGAAATCCCTATTAATAAAATGATTTCATTAAAGAAAAGCATGACAAAAATAAAGTTTCTGAATATAAAGTAACAAACATTTAAGAAATGATACAAGTACAAATATTCACCCATCAAGTAAACATACAACATTTTAATGATATGATTAGTTCAAGCAAGCTTTCATCTTATCAAAAGAATACTATATAATATAGAAACGACAAGATAATGGGTTTTTCTCGTTAAACATACATTACACTAATGAGAATAAATACAAATATAATTCTTTCTTAATCGTAATGAGAATAAAATAAAGCTATTATCATACGAAACAATCAATTCAACAATTATGTAAAAGATGATCACTTTAAAACTAAATAAGTTTCATTTTTCCCAAAGCCATTTTAAAAATCTCACATATTTATATTGGATCACAATGTCTAAACAAAAATAACATTTTAATTTCATCAGCAACTAGTGATTGATACTAAAATATTTAAGGAATAATAAACTACCTACGGATTAAAATCCATTGTCAACTGAACATAAACTTTTGATACTAACTGAAGTAGAACATATCATCCGACTTGGCAAGAAATATTCAGATTGATAGTTCAAGTTAATAGCAGTTACATAAAACAATTGAAATTTATCAGTAAAAACTATTGATATATGACGTAAATTACACGCTTGAAGACACCATTAGGATATTTCACCTATTACATAATATCACCCTACCTGAAGGTAAACTATTCACTAAACCCATGTTTATGTACCAGCTTTGAGTCAATAACAATGAGGTTGAAGAATCAAAGTAGGTGAAATGGGTTTCGAATCTGTTACAATTTCGTTGACAGTTGATTATTGCAAACACTGATTTATAGTTTTATAGGCATATTCAAAGAAAGCGTTACAACTGAAATAAACCAAATTTAACCAATCAATTGACCATCATTGATTTATCACAAACTATATCTGATAAATATAAAGATAAGTAAAGCTGTTTCAAGTAAGCGTTAATATTTCAAATCCTATAACATAATTTGCTGTCAAACGATATATGGTAATAAGGGAATTTTCAGTTGTAAAAAAACAACATATGTCGTATTAAAACGAACACGCACTTTGAAAAGATTAATTATTCTTTTTTAACCTTATGATTTGACACAATGACAAAATTAATGTGTGTCAATTAAAAAATCTGGTTTTTTCAATGTGTTTGTTCCTTTCGAGTAAAAATGAACACAAGAGCATGAATATAAAACGCAAATATGAGGCACAATTGAATATTTTACGAATAAATGGGAAAGTAAAGAAGGAAAGGTGAAAATGAAGTACACAGTTGAGGATCAAATGGTAGAGTATATTTTTCCAGCACTGAAGTTGTACAGGAGGAGCTACTCAAACCAAAATAGACTATTAAGTTAAATTATTCATAAAATACATATTTCCTACAAGTATATTAAGATTGTGACTAGAAGTGGGACCTAGAATGCCTTTTGTTTCTATTTTTCCACATATCGGCTGTATGTAGCTGTATCTTTGTGTTGATCTCTACACCGAGACTCGAATTTGATATTATCACTTAAAATGCCGACATTTTATCAACTAAACCACTCAGTTTAAATGGCTAGTAACTTGTTTTTATTAATAAATACAACTGAAACATAGATACACAAACCTTAAAATTTGATTGTTTTTGCCTTAAGTTCAGTAATAACAACTTGATTATTAATCAGTTGCTTTGTATTATTTTGTCTTCACAAACAGTTCCACTAATGCAAGTGAAAGAATAACCTTTGTCAACTCACAACATTAATCTATACCGGACATATGTTCATATAAAACTTACCAAGATGCGGTAACAACGACTAAACCACTTAGGTGTCTACTCACTTATTTACGCCTGTTACCCCTAATGGAGCATAGGCCAGCAACCAGAATTCTCCAACCTACTTTTCCTGGGCTTCCCTTTCCACTTCTGTCCAATTTTTGCTTATTCTTGTCATGTCTGTCTCCATTTCTCGGCGTAATGTGTTCCTTGGCCTTCTTCTCTCCTTTTGACCGTGAGGGCTTGTCTTGTGACGCAGTTGGGTGCTTTCCTCAATTTATGTCCTATCCACTCCCATCGCTTCTTCCTGATCTCTTCCTCCTCTGGGATGTGGTTTGCTCTTTCACACATTAGGCTGTTGCTGATGGTGTATGGCCATCGGATCCGAAGTATTTTGCGTAGACAACTGTTAATAAACACTTGTATCTAATGGATGATGGCTTTCGTAGTTCTCCAAGTTTCCGCTCCATACAGTAGAACTGTCTTGACATTTGTATTGAAAATCCTGATTTTGGTGTTGATTGATATTTGTTTGGAGTTCTAGATATTTTCCAACTGTAGAAATGCAGCCCTTGCTTTGCCGACCCGCGCCTTTACATCTGCATCGGATCCAACTCATTGTCAATGATGCTACTCAGATATGTAAATGTTTTTACGTCCTCCAAGGCATCTTCATCAAGAGTGATATGGTTTGTGCATACTGAGTTGTATAACAGGATCTTGCTTTAAAGTTTGTGTATGATGAGACCTGCTGCTGCTGAGGCTCCTGCTACACTGGTCGTCTTCTCTTGCATTTGTTGTTGCGCGTGTGATAGAAGAGCTAGATCATGTGCGACGTCTAGATCGTTCAGCTGCATCTTTGTTGTCTATTGCATCCCGTGCTTCTGTCCAGATATTGGCGTCTTTATAATCCAGTCGATCACCTGACATCAGTCTTCACCTAGAACGAGTCTACCAGCAGTCGTCCGTGCACGATTTAGCATTTTAATCGATCATATACTAAGTAATTACTTTTGATATCATCGAACAAAATCATGACTCAATCAAAGTTGAAACAGAGAAACTTGAGGAAGAAAATTCCAGTCACTAATTGAAAAAAAGTTGGTTGGAATAAACTGAAGCATCCCCAGACTCTTGAATAGGATACTAATGTCGCTTCAACAACATTAAACAGTTACACAGTCTTCATCAAAGTGATTGGTTATGATGGGATTAAAACTCACGTTAAAAGCAACAGAAGCAACACACAGAGATAACATATCTGTCTCAACAAAAATTTTGGAGTTCATTCATTTTAACCACGGAATTCCACCGAAACTGAGAAGTTGAAAAATTACTTTTTACTTAAATATCTCAGAAATAACAGAAAACGATATTGTATCTACATCAGAGGTTAACTGCTAATTTACCTCAAATATACTCCCATCAGTAAGACACGTAACAAACAATAGCTAACCAAGGTAGCGCCCCTTCCTTTCCTATCGAAAATAAATATCAGTAATATTTATGCTCGATCTACTGGAAGTCAAGTAACGATCATAAAGGCTTGAATAACATGTTTACCTAGAGATATTGAATTTTTAAAGCTTGAATGAATGTAAAACAGGTGAACCTGGATGCGACAGATCAGTCAATTAAATTGATAATTAATAAAAGTGTATAAACGTAAAAACAAATCAAATTATTTAAAATACGTAACACTCACCTCATAATAACTTTGTACAGCATTTGTAAACGCTTCATCACCTACAACATCTAATTCACCACTAAGAAATGCTTGAAAACGTTCTTTAAATGTGTTTAGTTGTTGTTTAGTTATTTTCAAATAACGACGTATTAAATCAGTTGGTGGTTTGGAGTAAAATGGATATGCTATGCAACGCATTACAAAAACATATCTAGAAGAGAAAATAATATCGAAGAAAATGCATTAAAATTAAACGATATAGGAATTAAGCAGTACTACTCTGACTGAGAATCAACTAAGTTCCGTATTTATTCCATAAGTATGTGTAAACAACAATTTATATCAAATTCAATGTAGGTAAACTAGTCTGTATAGATGACATGAGTTTAATTACCTTTTAAAAACGTAATTAAATCTATTTTTACTCAAACGTAACCATTCAGTTCTAAATAAATAGCAGACTAAACGATAAAATCATAACATTTCATTCAAATAGTAAATTCATTTGGGTACGAACCTGAGGATTGACCAACTACTAATACTGCTACTAATGTGTGATAAAAGTATGAAATGTAAAGTGACTAAGTATTCATTTGCAAACATCTAACAGAGATATGTGGATAAACTAATGTTTGACATTATTGCATACAGGCATGATAGAATCCTGTTTCTATCAAATTTCTCACCTCATTTTTTATCTTTAATGTTTAGTTTCATAATACCGCGGTTTTTATTGATTTCTTTCTTCATATAAAAGGTAGGTAAATCCATTTATACACGTTTATTATCATTATTGTCACATAAACTAACGAAAACTATACTCAACTCCTGAAAAAATTGTTGCATAAATAACTTTTATACACATTCTCATACATAATTACGATAGCTTTTCCCGGAAGATTCAGTTGATCATTAAACTGATTCTTCTAAGTAATTAATAAATTAATCAACTAATTAATCGATAAACAATATATACGACTGAGCTCTTTGCTTTCTATAATACGTATAATTTGTTTTTGATATACACACATTGACTAAAATGTGGCAAGTAATCCGGGTTTGTTAATGGGCACTAGGTTTGATTGTCAAAAATAAACGGTTGGAAATAAAAGAATGGTTCTAATAATAAAAATAGCAATCAAACGTATCACCTGACCGATTCAATTGTTCCTCTCATCTTATTTATTAGTGATGACAGAATAAACAAGTATTTATGACCAGAGAGAGAAAAAGAGAGAGATAAACAAATGGTAATGCTAAATAATGAGGTAACGTGACTGATTTGTTCAAAACGAAACAGAAATAACATCAAGACGTTAAATGTTGATTTCTTTGAAACAGAATTTTTTCGCTACTATAAGTTAAGAAATTTGTGTTGCAGTTAGTAGAATATGATTTAAGAAGGATAATGAGTTCTAGTACCGTAGAACAATATATCAGTAAAGTTCACTTCGATTAAGTTTATTTATTTTGATATAATATTTAGTAATGTGTATGTGGTTCTTAGTAAATCCTAAGCATTAATCTTGTGTGTCTATTTTCAGTGAATAAGTTGGATATCTAATCCACGATTAGTCATTCATCTTCGAATACTTTGCTCAGAATTAAAATATTACATTTGAATTGTAGTTGTCAGTGAAATCTAGTAGGTGTGATTCGTTCTCTTTTCGTACTTACGAGAGACATATATAAGATTCAAGTATCGTTTACAATCTCGACAGCAATTATATATATATATATATATATATATACATTTTAAAAAACTCAATATGTGAAAAGTTAATAAAACTAGAAATAAAACATCTATGATACAACACTGATTTACCACAACAGAGAGCACGACGACACAACAGAGATGAAAACTTCTTTTCGATCCACATTTGAATGTATAAACACTATTTTTCGTTTGAGTAAATTACAATTAATCAGGTACTTACAATTGTAGAGCTTTACGTCTTTCTTGTTCTTCACGTTCAAGTTTTTCTTGCTCTAACGCAGCAGGATCTCTTAGCATAATAACGGGTTGATTACTTACACTACCTAAATCTTGACTTTGTGATACTAACGATGGGTTTCGACTTTGATACTTTTCTGGATGAGATTCTGTAGATTCTGCATTAGGAGCACTATTTGTACTATTCACACTGTACGAGCTACTTCCATGTCTTCCACCAACATATCGTTCCATAGTATTATGTTTTAAAAGTTGTGATTGTTGATGTTGTTGTTGTTGTTGTTGTGATGGTGGTGGTAATGGTGAATGAATATTTAAACTCATCGACGACATTGATATTTCATCATCTTCTTGCATACTTTTATAAGTATGCTGCTGAGACTCTTGACTAAAATATAAACAATATTATAATATCACGAGTCTTGAAAGTGCAAATATAATTTATCAACTGAATAAATCTTAATTCCATGTAAATCTATAACAAATAAAGAATTATTATATTTCCATAGGTTTTTACAGTTTACATTTTAGAAATAAAAGCCCGATAAAACAAACTTCATCTGAAAAAATTTGAATACTGTTGTTGTTTGTAGAAGACTCAAGAATATTAGTTCATTAACCAGTTAATCGAAATGATATCGAGATACACAATTAAAAATGACAAAAATATAAGTCTAAATTTATTCTTGAGGAATTCATTAGTTTCAGTTGGTTTTTTTTCTGAACTGTGAGGTCAAGTATTTAAAAATTGATCTAGGTAATGGATATTGCTCAATGGTATTAAGTGTCTACAAATTCCCATTCTATTCAATAATATGTGATATTATCACATTAAAGCTATATACACAAGATCTAGTTATGAAAAACAAATAATATATACTAGCATCTAAACAACAGGTGTTGTTTAATCCTAACAAAGACGTCGCTTAGAAAGGGTTTCAGGAGTTTTGACCTTAACCATTCAAGTACTCCTATTCATCAAGAAAAGTAAAAAGTTTTAACTGCAAATAATCATTCGCATTTATAACACAAATCACTTCCTAAGAAGTGACAATTTGGGTCGCCTATAAAATATTTATTACTTAGACTAAAATAGTCTCTGAAATGTGGCATAAAAGAGTTAGTTAACAACATCAATATATCAAAAATTACCGTAAATGTTTAAAATTATGAAGGAGAGTATGAAATTCATGATGAATATAACCTAAATAACCGGACAAAAACTAAGGAAAAGCCCAACCAGTCAGCCACAATTAACGTAGAAAAATACAAAAGTTTGAGTTGGGTTAAGCTGCCATACCATAATAAAATGAAATTCAGAAGATTAATGGTTAAGGAGTTACAATAATGTAGTAGTGTTAAGAATAAGAAAGACCGAACATTAGGAATATAGTTAGAAAAGAGAGTGGAATAGTATGTATGAAGGAATACTGAGACTCAGAATGTAGAATAGAGTCAAAAACTAAATGAATATATAACAATGTGGTTGATTCGGAACCATGCTGCCAAGAATCTACAAACACTGATAATAATTAACGCGCAAACCCTAACTAGGCACTCTGACGAGACACTTAAATAACATTTCAATGCTCATTTACGGAAATGAACAACTCGATTATCAGAAATCTAAACAAAATCAATCTCTTTGATAGACTCTGGAGTGGTTATTTTATTTTATTTTAATGAGGAATCCACAAAAATGAGCAAGAATATCAGTTCCAGTTTGAATTTTGTAACTACCTGTCGTCCACATTGACAAACCTAGATTTCCGAATGAACTAACCATAGTTATACTAGTCAACAACACACTAAAGTTGCTGAATTCATTTCACGATGTAATTATCGCTATTGCAGATATAATCAGATGTTAGTCAGTCAGTTAGTTAGTCACTCAGTGATACACAACGTAGAACCTGGAATATATGCGCATCTGTTGAAGTATAGATGAAATAGCAATGGACATTACACCAAATTAATTTCAGCAAATATACAAGATGGTAGATTTAAAAGGGCACTTTGTGATAATTATTATTACGGTAAAACTTTAGGTTTGTAGTTACTAATTATATATTCAAAGACATCAAAATTCTCTCGGTAAAGGTGTTGGAAATTACTAGCTCACAAATTACTAGATTGTTACAATTCCATTGGACCTCCCATTTTGTTTTTTCTTGCGCTTCCACGCTAATCTGTACGTAATACCGAGTCATTCTCGATTAATCAATTTATTCAGAAGCATTAATATCCATAAAAGTACCATAAGAAAAAAATCTAATTTATTGGTAGCAGCTAACATGGAAAGGGAGATTATATACAAGACTACAGTAAAAAAAACACTAGATTTACACAATGAAACAGACATTCATCACAATAATTTGGTTTCATATTATGTTGTTAGTTATTTTCCTGACAATTTAACCAGCTTTAAATATCTTTCTTTGTGGTTCCGTACCTAGTAAATTCCACTTAAGATTAACAGATAAATAAACAGACCATAATAACAAAGTTATCAAGAAACTGGTGGATCAGTTAAAAAATGTTGTTCATACCAGAAACGAATGATAACGGATTTAAAATTAATCACAAAAAATATCTAGTTATTTATTACATTGAATGGACGAAGAATAATAACAAACCTGTAACCACTGCGTGAAAATGTTTCATTTTTCCACTGACGAGGTGGTCGACCTTGTTGACTAGAAATGATTAGATCTTTTGATCCTGATGTGTAGCGTTGTTTAGAATGAGGAGATTGACTATGATCGCTGCTATCAATCTGATGAGGTGAAACTGAATTTTGGCGTCCACATGTAGTGGTGATATCATTGGAAGTAGCACGTACAGACCTAGACTGTACATTTCGTTGTCCTCCCCCAACATTATCCACTGGTAAACGACTAGTTGTAAGAGATATATTCGATTGAACAGGAACTTTGTTACAAACAGCAACATTTGTCACAGTGGATTTATTTCCATAATTTGTAAATCCACTTACACCGTCCTCTTCTTCACTTGATGAAGAATCCAGCATTATTTAATAATATATGGACAAGTATGAATCAAAATTCTAAAAGAAAACGAAAAGATAGTAAATATTAATAAAATAAATATATCTAAATATGTTAGTTCGTTATAAAGCAAGCCCTAACATGGAATCTTCAGAGTAAGAAGTAAAGGGACAAGTCAAAGAACACATTGCGCTAGGAAGTGGAGACAGACATCAAAAGAATGGAAAGTACTTGGCCAGAATTTTAAAGGACAGCTCAGGACAGAGTAGGTCGGTAATCACCAGTCGGTTATCTGTACTTCATAAGGGGTTATAGGCGTAAGTAAGTAGTATTTATCTATCTGTGGATAACAATGTACATTGTCATTTGAAGATGGATATAGAAAAGAGATAGAGACGTAGTAATTATAATCATCAGTGTTTACTGTCTAATACAATGTCGTATTTCAACACAAATACGGCTGTAAGAAGACGGGGAGACACATTAAAACATTATTCTAATTCAGCTTTCGTTCTGGTTTTAAACGAATTCATAAGGGAAAGTAAATAAATGAAATTAGCTTTGTTTCCACTATTACAACAATCAAACAGCACTCACAGAAAGTTATCACTGCAATGTAAGACTTTTTACAGTTGAGCATTGAATTGAACCTTTTGCGATTATCCTGACTTCTTGACTGTTCATCTTGCCAATTTCACCTTCCGTACGTTAACATAGTGTGACAACTGAGGTAAATGGACATTTGTGACAGCTCGTGAATTAATGAACTAACTTCAATTAAAATTCACATTAAAATTAAATACAGACAAATAATTTAGGAACATCAGTTAACCAGTAGTTACTTCCAGCTATCACCTAAACACTTATTTCCCAACAGAATTTTAATCTGAAATCCAGATATCCATTTTAAACATCCATTACCATTAAAATTCAGAAACGACAGCTCAACTCTCGGACAAAATTTCTTTCCTACCAACGATTTTAAATATCCTATTTTTGTCTCATTTATTAGAATAAGCGAGAAAACGCAAAACATATATATATATATATATATAATTATGCAGAAAAAAGACAGTTTTATTTGCATTAAAACTTAATCTTCTTGAATATATTTAACACTACACAATAACATCGTTTATAGCTTTTTGTTTAAAATGGAACAAAGATACAGAAAATTTGGACAGTAGATATGGTAAACGAAATTAAGGTTAATATGACACGGATGTAAGAATTTTATGACAATTGGATGACAGGATTAGCTTGTTTTTAATCTGTTTTTTACTTAAATACTAACTTTTATTTACGACATACGAATTTCGGCAAGGTAAATATCCCTAAATGAGCATCAAAACTAGAGTATACAGAGAACCATAACTAGCTTCGATTTCCTGAACATCTGGCACACACAACTCTTTATCGTCCTCAAATACTGATCAATCTAAGCAATAAATCCTGATCAAAAGCTTTATTGGAGGAACTAAAATAGATTTCAACTAAGCAAATAGCTATTCGGTGCAAATACAATTCAAACGCCGATGAGTAGTAGGCCCAAAGTAGCATATTAGAAAGGAATAAGTCAGTAGGAGATAGTGTAGTCAGTCAGTTACAACATAGAACTTCGTACGTGCGTACACTAGTTCAAGGCGCCATACAACATTACCAGAGAGATAGAATTGTTCGTTCGAATCCCATAGTAGTATAGGTTATAGCAGTATTAGCGTTAATGGAGAAGATTAGGGTTCGAAGATATAATCCAGTGAAATAAACTTAAAAACAGAAAGATAAAGGTAATGACGAATTCAGAAGACTGAAATTTTGAGAAAGCAAAAGAATGTGTGTATCTGCGCCATTGCAAACGATTTTCAACCACGTCATTTGAGGTCTCTAACCATCGGTAACGATCATCTCGTGGATTTCAACCAGGTAGTCTACACCTACCGACATGATTCGATTCACTTGTCAGTAACTTCATGGATTTCTGCCATGTTTTGATTTGGCCGCCCCTAGCTTTCTTCCAGTCTACTCCTACACTAGACAGTGTCGCTGGTCGAGCTAGTCGGTGATTGGACATACGTATACATATCTCATTCGCCTAAACTGATGAAGATTCATTGCTACATCAATCGACTTGCCATCCTTACGTATTATCCTATCCCCAATCCATGCACTGCTTACTCGGTGGTCCCAGAATACACGAGCAATGCTTCGAAGACGCCGATGATCGAATGCTAGTATCCTGCGAATATTTTCTGCTCTTACTGGTCAAGTTTCACACTCACAAAGTAGGGCAGGATGAACTGTTGAGCAGGAGACTCCTCCTGTGGTTAGTGCAACGATATCTCCCCTAAGCCATAAGTGCTGCAAGCAGTCAACACACTCAACTACTTCACTTCCTATCACTGGTTCACTTGCCGACGCAAGCCAATCCTGAAGCAACGTTTTGCATTTCAATGGGGAGAATCGCATTCCGAACATGCTTACATCGTTGCTTAAAATGGTTAAAAGACTGTGCATTTTGTCGGTATTTTCGCCCATCAGAACTGTCAACAGCATACTCTAAGTCAACAAGCGAGTCTCCTGGTAGAAGATCTACCCCTGAAAAGTCAGAGGAAGATAATGTTATCTCTAAACGCGTGTCTATGACTAAGTTGAATAAGAATGGAGAGAATGGTCAACCCTGACGAAGACGGCTCGAGGTAACCGATTTCGATGAAAGTTCACCATAAGCTCTAACTCGACTAGCAGTGTTCGAGCAGGGATCCTGTATGAGGTTAATGTACTTCTTTGGTATTCCTTTCAGTGACAGAGACTGCCTCAGAACGTAGTGATCGATAGAGTCAAACGCCGCCTTAATTTCGAGGAACATGACTATTGTGGACGTATGAGCGTGTGTCTATGTTCCAGGATCTGACGAAGTGTGAATATTTGACCTACATATCCATGTCCAGGCCTGAAACCAGCCCGCACTTCACTAGCTCCAGTTAGGCGTCGAAGTATTATTGAAGACAACACGTCAGATACTTTGTTGGTTAAACTGATTCCGATGTGATAGCCACAACAGGAATTTTATCCTTCCTTATAGACTGGAATAATCAGTGATTGAAACCAGTCGGATAGGACTACGTCCAGTTCCCAGATGCTAACGAAGGCCTCATTCAATATAACTGCTAAAACTGTACCAGCATCCATAAAAATCTCGGGAGTTAATCTATCAGAGCCTGCTGCTCTCCCTTACTTCAGATTTTTTATGGCATTTCCAACCTCATTGACAGTCGGAGGACTAACATTAACTTGCCATTAAGGTTGACTGGAAATCGTGGGTAACGTAAATGTGACTGTAGACCAGTTGAACTGTTTTCTAAAGTGTACTACCCATCGGGTCTAATCTCTTGGAGTGACAGTGAGTAACAGTCCTGTCTATTTCTAAGAGAGATGGGATGTGATACGTATGCCTAACCACCGACTTCCTCGACGAGCTATGTTTTGTGGTTAAAAAGTAGGTTGGAAGAAATCTAGGGGCATCCAAACCAAATGGCACAAATCCATAAAGTCACTGACAAGTGGACTGAGTCATGTTGATAGGTGTAGACTACTTGGTTGGGGTCCGCTAGACGATAGTAATCGATGGTTAGAGACCCTGAATGACATGGATCAAAACCGTTTGCAATGGCGCAGGTGCATTCATTCTTTGTATTCTCTCAAATCACAACCTACTTAATTTCTTATCACTTTATCTTTTTCTTCTTGTCTATTTCACTAGATCCTACTTCTTCAATAGTATCTTCGAACCCTAATCTCTCCGATTACCGCTAATACTTTACTACCTCTACTACTATGGGATTTGAAGAGACAACTACATCTCTGCGCTAATGAGGTATGGCAACTTGAACTGGTGTACGTACATAGGAAGTTCTATGTTGCTGTTGACAGAATGACTCAGGGAAACAATGATTTTTCGTTACAATATGTGATATTTGTTTACAATAATAATGTTTCCTGCTCTTTATTCCGATCTGTTAAATTTTGTGTAATAGTTCAAGGCCTAAAATTTGTCACCGGAATATAAATTAATATACACTTAAAATATAATTTATACAGTTAATTTTAAACTAGAAAGCCGCAGGATACGAGAAGACTGATTAGCTTACTGTGAATAGTTATGAAAAGACTATTTAATGTTAGCATAAAGAAAGAGATACAATAAGTTGTTGACGTGTAAGCATCAGGCTAATATAAGTAATGTTTAAAATTCTTAGTCCTAAACTTTTCTTAAAACATTTATCTATACTTGCCTACATGTAAATTTTCAGGATAGTGGACAAACTGTATATACTTTTAATAATTGAACAACTGAAAGATTATAACGGTGACGTTTTAAGGTGAAACAGTTATTAAAGGAGTTCATTTGAAGATACTTTGCAGTTACTGAGAATCACACAGAATATACGTCTAAACTCCACAATCTAAGAATATTAGGCTAATACACTTACAGCTAGGATGGGCTTATTTTTTAGGTGTTTCATCCAGATGAGTTATAAACCAAAAAAATACTTGTAAAATTAAAAGTACAGTTTAAAAAGGTTATGGAGTTCTGATAAATAATATTTAAGAGTGAGTAAATGCAAAGTAATCTAGTATATGTGACACTTGAAAATTTAGATCTGAATTCAGTAGAACAATAACGATGAATATAGTCAGTAAATCAAGGTAGACGGAAAGTGATAAGTGAACAAAAATAGTTTATTATGAACTTTTAAATCGATTATAAGCAAAGAACTTTTGGTGCTTAAGACATAAAGGTATAATCAGTTGGTAAAGACATAGATTTGCAAAGCTGGGGTGGCATTTCTACAATTGAAGAGCATCTGGAAATCAAAACGACTTCCGACCAACACCAGAGTCAAGATTTTGAATACAAACGTCAAAACAGTTCTATTATATGGAGCTGTAACTTGAAAAACTATGAAAGCCATTATCCTATAGATATAGGTATTCATAAAAGTTTCGATGAAATGTACTCTGG